AAAAAAAAAAAAACGATACAATTTTCCAAATGTGTCGCATTTGGCCTCTCTCTACATCTCGCAATTTATAGTCATTTTTCTATATAAATATATTCATTTATATTCGGCACACTCCACTCTATGGCTGTTTGCGATTCCGAATAATTCACACCCATACATCCTGATATAACAATACTTATATTCATCCGATCACCGTATATCGCTAGTGATTCGCTTTTCTTTTCCTTCCTTTAATTCGATATACATATATTTATTATATATAGATATATCAAAAATATCCTTAGTAAAATAAAGCATTTATATATATAACACGTGTGTGTGTATGTATGTGTGTATACCGTATACACACGTACCTTTTTTATATTATATAATATTATGTCTATTATTTTATTTATTTATTTATATATATATATCATATTTATAAAGAGTTTTTTTTATTTATAACGCGGTGTTATATATATAAGTCAATATACATGAATACATACTATGCTTTCATTCGTACATTCGTGCACGCATACGCGTTTATTATATAAACGTGTGTTTGTTTGTGTGTGTGTTTACGTTTATGTGTGTGTGTCTGAATATATATAAGCAGATGCGTTAGTGGTCCGGTGAATATTTTTGTTCTCTTTATGCTAAAACTTGCATAATTCGTCTAATATCTATTCTTGTTTTCTCTTTAGTTTTTTTCAACGAAATATTTATATATTAAATTGGATCAAAGGAGGAATCGGAATTTCTTCTTGCGGCAAATATACAAGATTCTCTTGCACAAACTTGTTTTGCAATAATTTTGTCCATGAAGCTCCAAAGGCGGAGGTGACGATCGAAAATCGCTATCATTCAACCACGATCAACAAATCGATGAAACACCTCGGAGGAAAATTAAAATGGTATAGGTATATGTTTTAAAGTAATACACGAAGACACTCATTATTATTGTATGCATTACGTGAAAAAAAATAAATAAATAAAGTCTGGAAAAATATACAATTATATGAGATGATGATGTGAAACAGTTGTTTTTTTTCTTCTCGATTTGTAGGCAGTTGAGATAATCTGAACAACAGACATAATAACTAGTAACTGAGACTATAATTGTATATGTTTGATTAAATAATGCACACAGGAAATGAGTAAACTTTTTTAGAGTACATATATGAACAAACATTCTTTCATGATCTATACAAGCAAGTAAAAATGCGTGAAATTTTTCAGACGCACCGTCAATCTATCTTGTATTTCTATATTCGGTTGAACAATGCTCGAATATATAAAAAAAAAATAATGATTCAAATATTTTATAGCAGTAATATATATTAAATATATATATATATATATATATATATATATATATATATATATATATATATATAATACGACAAATATTTTTTCTCGTGATATAAAAAATATAGCAACTATTTTTCTATGCGATATGGAATTTCACACGATTCCTAAGAGCAGAATATTATTGATTGATTGATTGATTGATTGATTGATTTATATAGCGAAGTGCAAACGTAACAAATATAGGCGAGCAAAGAACTGGCACCTTCTAATTTCCTTCTAATTTCTTTTATATTCGATATCTATACCTCTACTTATAGTTTAGGAACGCGATTTTATGCTGTCTCTTATTTTCAGTTTCTCTCTGTCGTTATTTTCAAGTGAAAAAAATCTATGATAAACTAACGTACAACATTTACAATATTTTTAAGATAAACAAGATCAGTCATTCAAATCTTTCTCTCTCTCTCTCTTTCTTTCTTTTTGTCACAAACATTGGGCAGTGAAGAGAAATTATGAATTTTGCTTCTATATTCTATAAAAAACTATACCTGTCAATATCTACATTTTTTCCTGATTTTTTTCTTTTTAAGACACTTTTTTACACTACGAAACGTCATTCGAAAAGCATCGCTTCGAAATCGGGAAGAAGGACTGACTTTTCTGACTTTCTGCCGGCAGTTTCGTGCGAACGGTGCGAAGAGAATCTCGCATGTGTATCAAACACAGGAACGTGACGTGGCGAACTGATGCGCGCCGAAAAAATGGCGGCCAGAAAATCCGCGCCTATATACGTCTAAAGCGCGCCTAAGTCTGGATCTGTCAATCAATTGAATTGCATTTTACTTTTGTCATTTATATGTTTAAGTAAAAGAATATTACGACGTACAATTATTCATCGTACAGATGCCTAAAAAAGGTGTCCGCGCAGACTTTTATGTACTGACTTGCGGTATATGCAAATTTTGTTGAATCTTTTCTTCAGACGCAGTAAGAGGAACAAACTACCGTTAGAATTGCCACAAGATTCTATATATATTCCATACATATTGGAATTTATATATTTAGGATTTTTTAAAACATGTTTTATATAATTGATTAATACTAAAAAAAATATATATATATAATTATAATATGTAACATTACTTACTATATATATAATTATATATATAATACAAGGTGTCCCATTTTAATATCCCACCCTAAATAAGTTTTTTTATTTTTGATTGTAGAAAAAAATGTTTCAGACAAAAGTTGTATGATTTCGAGGAGGACATAAGGTGGTGCCATTAGTTTGACCTTGAATAGTTGCTTGAGGGGCATGTAAAGGTCACCTTTAATTTCTTAAATGGAACCACCTATTTTCCATTACATATTCTTGTAGCTGACTTCGAGAGCTTTCCAAAACACTATAATGAAACATTTTTATCTCAAGTACTTGTTGAGTTATAAGACAAGATCTCCTCACCTCAAAGTGACCTTTACGTAACCTTCAAGCAACTATTCAAGGTCAAACTAATGGCACCATCTTATGTCCTCCTCGAAACCATACAATTTTTGTCTGAAACATTTTTTTCTACAATCAAAAATAAAAAACTTATTTAGGGTGAGGCATTAAAATGGGACACCCTGTATATATATAATTATATGTATATAAAAATAATATATATTAATATATATATATAGAATTTTAATATTTTTATATATATATTTTATATATATATATATATATATATATATATATATATATATATATAATTTTACGTGCATTACTTTTCTATCTTTGATGTATCCCTCCTCTTTATCCTGCTTTTGAAGAATAGATATGTCCGGTAATATTGCTAATTTTATTGAGGAGCGGAGTCCGCGTACTTTAAATAATCTGGTGAATACTATGAATACAGGCCAAAAGAAGGCGTATCTAGGAAAACCTCAAAATCAACGTGATCCAAACGCTATCTTACCCAAAATGCAAAAGACACAAGACCAACCAAAAGTTGATAAACCACAGCAACCTCCAGTTGCTGCTCAGCCTGGTCTTTCTAAGGGTGGGAGACAAAGGCGTCGATTATCATTGACAATAAATAAACCAACGAAGACCACAGCGCAGCAGGAAATTCAACAGGCGGGTCAAATGCCTCAACCAACCAACGTTGACTCAATGAGGAATTCTGTATTTGTGGTGGCCATGTCAAATAGGGAAGTATCCCTTAATATCAAAATAAGTCCATCGGCACCAACAATTATAGACGTTTCTCAAGCAACCTACGCTGAAATGCTCGCTGATGAATCACACGTTAATAAAACGTTACTGCCAGAATACCTCGATTATTATGCGACAGCATTATTGTGGTTTAGATTTTGTACCTTAAAAGTCAAACTTAAACAGCCAATAATAGCAGAAGAGAGGGATCTGCTACTTATGTTAGAACAGCAGAATTTCTCAATTCCCGAACCACTCTTACTGCAACTTCGAGTGTTTGGCACCACACAGACAATGACTAGGGAACATCTCTACCCAGTTTTCCCTACCCTGCCCACGGAATTGATTGACAATTTCGGTGGATATTATGGTGTTTTAAATGCAAATACACACAATTTGTATGAGGAAATACAATGTCTTGGCGTTCTAGGAGAAGCTGTTAGGCATGCCATTAGTAATGAACCTCCAGGACCATACGCATCAAACCTCAGTACCGACGACCTCACAATGAATCCTAACCTTCTGGGTTATAAGAATCTGGGAGTAAATTAAGTTCTCAGCAAAATAATCTATACAGTTTGAAATCTATCTGCGATAATTCGTAAAAAAAGAGCCAAAGATTGAAAACAAATAAAGATATAACTGTACGGTTTTAAATTAAAATCGGTACAATGCTGTCAAAGTGATGAATTCGTTCTATTTATGAGGGATGTCCAATAAATCGATAATTGCTTCTGTGAAATTGATCCCCCATTCTTCAAATTAAAAAAAAAATGATTTCTGGGTGTCCTCCCGAAGAGTTCTAGAGTTCTTCATCAATTTTGAAAATATTTGTTTAAACTATATCGCAAATTGAAGATAAGAACTCTAAAACTCTTCAGGCATCCAGAATTCTAATCATCTCTTAAAAATTTAAATAATGCAGGGCCAACTTCACAAAGATTCGATAAAGTGCAATCGGCGAGAAAAGCAAGATGTAAAATAATTTATATACATATCTACATTTTTCTATGAAAAAAATCTCGACATCTTCGAGAATGATGATTTCAAGGTGAGTTTGCTTTAATAATTATCATTCTTATATTTTTTTTTCCGCAATATTAAGAATCAAGAAAAAAAGTGCTCCAAGTCGCTTGAGACCTGATCTTAAAATTAGCGAAACTTTTTCAAGTTTGAATTGCGATTATTTGCATAGAGAACGTCGAGTTTCTCGCGAAAATCGCCGATTGCAACTTCGATTCATCGGACGAGCCTGCATAATTAATGATAACATCGATAAGTTTCGCGCTGCCTCCCGTCACTTTAGGCACTTTCCGTGGAAAACAGCATTGTTCAACACGTATTTTTTCGTCCATGCATTTTTCTTTATAGTTAAAGCTTTGGTTGTTAATATATGTGTATATATATATATATATTATTATCGTTAGACTCGAAGTATTTCACAATTTGCTGAAATTACTCTATTAATCTATGTACAAGTTTGCGATCACGATTGATGTAACAAATTAAGTCGTCTATCGGCTGTTTTATTCGAGAAACTGTAAACTTAACGTGTCGTACAATGTATGTGTGTGAGTCTGCGTGTCTATGTATATGTATTATTATTTTGAGCGTTCAGGCTCGGTAAGTGCATACCGCGATGCGCTCACGTAAGGCAAAGACTGCTCTCCGAGCATCGATGATGATCGGCATCATCATCGTCATCGTCATCTATATCTTGCTTCGATTTGGCGGCACAATTTTCGATCGACGTCGGGGAGATCCGAAAAAAGCGCCGATCCTCGCCGCATCTCCTCCTCCTCCACCACCACCACCACCACCACCTTCTCCTCCTCCTTCGAAGAGGAAAGGATGAAAGCGTATGTATATTCGTGTCTCGGTCGCTCGACAAGTGTCTACTTACGTCTCCTCTCATTTGTCGGCAGCGGGTCTCGTGACGGTCTGCGGTATCACCGTCAACGACCTCGGGATCTTGGGCAAAATCGGGATCGGGCTGCTGGTCGAGGACGACGAGGACGACGTCATAGTCGGCTTGGTCGTCACCTGGATCGACTTAGGCAGGTTGAGATTGTGTATAAGGTTCTGGCCGGTCGGGCTGTTCTCGTTCGCGGCCGGGTGGCCGCGCGTCGCCATGTCGCAGATCAGGGGCTCGAAGTCGCCGCGGCTCTGTCGGCTGAGCATCTCCTGCTGCAGCCGCAGGTGCCTCTGGAACTGCTGGCTGTGGCCGGGGATCGCCGCGGCGACCTGCGACGTCTTCTGGTAGCTGGACGATCCGCTGCCGGCGCCGAAATGTCGCTCGTTGCTCTTCGACTGGCGTTTGCTCGACGAGTGCTGAGTCCTCTTCATGTCCTGCTCGCTCAGCTGGAACACTTTGCCGGCGTAAGCCGAGGGTAGACTCTGGCCATCTCTCCGCTTCACGCCGCCGTTCGTTGTCGGGCCGCTTCCGCCACTGGTCGACGGCAGGCTTAATCGTTGCAGACTGGGCGGCGGTTTCTTGATGATCGACACCCCGGAGTTGAGCTTGAGCATCCTCGGGGAGTTCATCTTCGTCGAGTGCAACGACGCCGCGCCACCACTCGTCGGTCTGCCGGACATCGAACTCGGGCCGGGTGGTCTGTTCTTCTCCATGACGAAGCCACCGCTCAAACGACGGGAGTTATATTCCGTCGCGATCGGCTCCATGATCGGCTCGTCCATCTTCTCCGGGCCCTCGTACGATATCAGTCTGTTCTGCACCGACGTGGAGTAGTTGATCGCGTTGCGCGAGGCGTTCGGCGCGAGTATCAGATCCCCGGCTCGGTAGTACTTCTCCAGAATGATCAGGTGGCGCAGGAAGGAGCTCTGGTTGCCGTAAGGTCGCTGCAGCTGCTGCCAGAGGTGCTTGGTCTCGCGATCGTACTGGATCATCGTCGCGCACTTCTCCCAACCCTGCGGCGTCACCTCTCGCACGTTTTGAAAGTCGATGTTCACGTGAAGGTTCATCTCCTCCTCGCCGGGGAAGAGAGTGCGCACGCTTATCGAGGGATTCGCGCCGAGTCTCTGCACCACCGGCGTGATGTCGTTGCTGCTGCTGTTGTTGTTGACGCTACTGTTGTTGCTACTGTTGTTGAGTCTCGGCCTCTTCGGCAACCGCGTCAGGGTGACCTCGTTATCCATCCCGAGGATCTCGGCCATCTCGTTCGCCGCCGTCGTCGCGCCGTCGCCCGTCAGGGGGTAGGCGTGCAGGTCGAGCATCTTGCGCTTCTTCAGGTTCTCCACGGTGCTCTCGATGCTGCCGAAATACGAAAGGGACGAGATGTTGCCGCCGCTCTCGTCGCCGCTCGTCTTCGCCGCGCGGTTCTCGCAGGAACTCGGACGGCCCTCGTTCTTGTTCGGTTCGGGCGTCGACTTCTCCGACGTGCCGCTCGTCACGTGTTCCGGGGACTTGGAACTCCCGCTCTTCACCTGCGCGCCCTTGCTGCTCTTCTTGCTCTTCTTGTCCTTGGCCGGATTCGTCGCCTGCTGCGACGAATCCTCGTCCTCGTCGTCGGCCACTTCGATTCCACGACTGTGCAAGATCCTGTGCATATCGAAAATCAGTTTCATCGATTTTCTCAGTTTTCACGAAAGAACCCAGCAAACACCGATATATAATTGTTACATTGCTATAATAAAACGGAATATAACAGGTAATATAACGTGTACGTTACATGTAACATCTATGTTAATTGTAATTTCCCACTCATAGATGTAACATTTTAATATAACATATATTACATTGTAGTTATATTGTAATTATATACCAAATAGCACATTGATGTATTGGTAAGTCAGTGCTATCTTGGGATATAATGACAATATAACTACAATGTAATATATGTAATATTAAAAATGTTACATCTATGAGTGGGAAATTACAACTAATATATACGTTACATGTAACATGCTTGAGTATATAACATTTATATACTGTGTTTGCTGGGAGCCTTGCACCAAATATATCGAATTTTGATTTTCTATGAAATTGACTATTTTTTTCATATGTTGTAGCTTATGTCTAGCTGAACAAAAGACGTAAGAGCGTTAATTTAAATATTAATGGATAATCATCGAGTTATAGCCAGTTAAACAGTAGAACTTTAGTTTTTCATATTTAACCAGCTGTAAATCTATCTATTATTCAACTTTGAGTCAATTACATTTTTTGTTCAGCAGATCATAACATATGAGAAGAGCTAATCTTACTAAGAATTAATTTCATATGATTAATACGTGGTTTGTGAGCCCATATAAAATCCTAGAAATTGAATACGGTAAAATCAGCTGATTTTGTCACATGTTGTAACTCATAACTTGTTGAATAAAAAATATAATTGGCTCAAAGCTAAACAGTGAAAAATGAATATCCAAACCCATCCAAATAGAAAATGCAAAATATAGTTGGAAGCTTTGAAAATATAAAATGCAAAATACTTCTTAGACGCACCCATTTAATATAGGAAATAAAAAATAAGCATTTTTAAATGGTTTTTTTAAATATCATTTATATATATTTAAATTCTTATTTCTTTATTCAATTTTTATCAACTTTTTATAAATTTTCTTCATAAACTCTCTTTTTTATAAACTCTTTAGACTTTTATAAAATTTAAACTTTATATATTTTTAATATAAACAAAAAATTATATAAATGTATTTACATGTAGAATTATAAAAAATGGGATTATTGTTTACAGATATTTACTTAATGACTTGTTTAATAACATTTTAATTATTATACATATACATATTATCGATATCTCGATTAATTTTTAGTTTGCAAGAAAAATGTATTTGAAGTAAAAAATGAGTAATAAAAACCATTTAAATGTAAATGTAAAATAGTTTTTGAAAACATGTACTTTAAATTCAACATACAAAATAAGCATTTTGCATTTTATATTTCCATTTTAAACACACCTATTTCAAATAATGCACCCTAAAGCTAAATAATAGATGGTTACTGATGTACAGCCAGTTTAACGCGAAAAATTAGGACTTTGCAAGTTGTCTGACTGGCTCTACTCAATAACTAACGAATATTTTGTTACATCTTTTGCTCAGAAGTCTTTGGGGTCCCTTCTCGATTTAGTAGCTTCAATATATATACTCACCGCTTTCGATAACTCTTGGAGAAGATCTTGTGATTCGTGTTCATGTTCTCAAGGTCCCTGTATTTGAGCTGCAGCTGCACAAAGTATCGGCACAGTTTGCAGACGTACGTGCAGCCCTGCAGGAGAACGGGGATTCCCTGAGGACTGGCCAGCTGATTAAATTCGTCGATCTCCGCCTTGGTCAGCGTATGGGTGTGCGTTCGTATCAGCCGGCGTTTGCATAGCGCGCACATCAAGTAGCACTCCACCTTCTCGTAATGACTGACGCAGAGCGGCATCTGGGTATGCTGACTCGAGTCCCAGTCTATGTCGACCTGCAACAACATCTCTCGTTTGCAATAATGCAAGCAAGCGATATGTACCACAACATCTACTATCATCTATCTTTTTTTTTCTTTTTAGATGCACAAATCAGAAGCAAAGATTAACCTGATTTTGTAGACTGGCTTTGATCTTGACCAACCAACGGCGCTTGACGTGATGCCGCGCAGGATCCCGGCACTCGCGAGCCGAGCATTTGGTCACCATCAGTTGTCTGTGCTGTTTCTGCGGCTTCTGCTGCAAATTCGTCGGGCTGGTATTGGCCTAGAAGAGGGATAGATTTAATAGAAGAATAGAATTAATTTACAAAAGATTTCCTCATCAGTGTTATGCTTAGATGATTTTAAAATTAGCTAGATAAAGATGAGATAAAAATATGTAAATTCATTTTAGATAAGATAAAGGCGATTTTGTTTTAAATATATCCAGAAAAAAGATAAAATTATATGGCGATTCATCTAGATAATAATTTTTAAGACTGCTTATGTACACGCAGTTTTAAAATAAATTATAAAAGGGATATAAAAATATATGTATTAATATTTTTATTTATAAATTTTATCGCTTACTGCTCAAATTCTACTTAAGTATTTAAGTATTTTTATGTGCTATGATTCTAAGCCAAAACTATCTAAAAATTATTCTAGATAATTTAGTAAAGATTTTTCATCTGCTAAGATCCAGATACAGATAATATATATATTATTATTTATATAAAGATAAGAGGACGCCAAAGTTTCATCTAGATGACCATCTATATAATCTATATATCATCTATATATCTATATAATTTTATTTATCAAGGGAATCTTATCAACAAACCTTCCTGTCAACGTGACGATAGCAGGCGTCACAGAGACACGAGTCTTTTGTGAGGTGTCTCTCGAAGTTCAAGATCTTCTTGCGCCTCTCGTCGGACTTGAGTTGCGCCAGGTGCATCGGCGTGTCCAGGGAGCCGAACTTTCCGAAACAGTAGGAGCACACGTCGGCGCAGACGCGTCCAGGATGTATGGAGAAGGAAGAGGACTTCTCTGGAATGACGAGCGACTGACGATCCTTAGGTGCAGCGTCCTCGTTATCGTCATCTGTGATGATCAAAATTGGCAAATCGTTAGATCAAATTACAAAACTGGCCTTGGACAATGCGAAGATATTAGTGAGAATATATGTAAATTCAGGTGAAAAGCGACAGCGTTCTTTTCTTGGCATGCATTGTTATTGAAAAAAATTAATATATATATATATATATTTTTTTTTTATATATATATGTATATATATTAGGCTAAGTGTATAAGTGTAGTTTTTGGAACTAGTGGTCTGAAATATTAAAAAAAAAGTGTATAAGTGTAGTTTTTGGAACTAGTGGTCTGAAATATTAAAAAAAAAGTGTTGCGTAAAATATTTCGTTCATCTTATTAGTGCGCATCGCTTTCTTCTAACTGCATTAGACACATAGCTTTCAAAATGGAAAAAAAATATGAGAGAGCTTTTAACACGATTTCCAGTATACATTAATATTAATAATTGAATTAAGACAAGATGAAGATGTGTATTTAACTGCGCGCTTAACTTAGTTTTAAAAAAGTTTTTTGTTCTTGGAAGAGGCGATGAAGGAAAAGTAAGTGATATTATCAATTTAGTTATTCCCGCAACCAGGATTACCGCAAGAGTATCTGTGGTTAGTAGTGAACTTTCGGTTCGCACCAGAGCTGCTATCGCCCAAACCACTAGGTCCACCAAACTGAAAAAAAAGGAAACAAAACATAATTGAATCGATCGTCAAAAAATATATATTGTCAATTATATAATTAATCCGTACTAGAGTTTTTATATCTGCGATTTTGATTGCATACTAAAAATTAAGGCTCCTCGTCGCAGCCATGTCAGATTATGACGTCAAAGGCAAGAAAGCGTAAACGCTGAAAATTCTTAAGACGCCATTTTTAAAAGAAAGGATATTTCGATGAAACGCTACTTTAGCACACTTTTAAAATAGTTTAATTACAAATTAATTGATTATAAAGGGAAAAGGAATTTTAAGTGCTACTTCATCGAAATATCCTTTCATTTAAAAATGAAACTCTGACGTCACTATTCCAACACGATTGATGAGGAGCCTTAAATACCACAGCGCGATCTTTAAGTAAAAAACGCGAAAAAAATATTATAAAAAAGGAAAAATAAGAAAAAAAATAAGGCTCCTCACCGCAGCCACGTCAGATTATGACGTCAAAGGTAAGAAAGCGTACGCTGAAAATTCTTAGACGCCATTTTTAAATAAAAGGATATTTCGATGAAACGCTACTTTAGCACACTTTTAAAATCGTTTGATTACAAATTAATTGATTATAAAGGAAAAAAAAAAGGAATTTTAAGTGCTGCTTCATCGAAATATCCTTTCATTTAAAAATGAAACTCTGACGTCGCAATTCCAACATGGTTGATGAGGAGACTTAAAATACCACAGCGCGATCTTTAAATAAAAACTGCGAAAAAAATATGATAAAAAAGGAAAAACAATAAGAAAAAAAATGAAAATGGATTACATTCGATAAAGAAGAAAAAGCATGTAAAGCTCCCTCACCTCCTTTTGAATGGTGTAAATCTCTGGCGAATCCCCCTCTCCGTCCGCGCGACCCTGCTTGAGGACGATCATCTTGAGCGGAGGTCCCGATCCTCGCTTGTCCTTATCCTTGTCCTTCTGCGACACCTTAATCACCGTTTTCAGGGTCCCCGACGACTGCTCCTTCCTAATCTTCTGCTGATTCTGCCTCTTCGCGGCCTCCTCCAGGGATTCTAATCCCAAGGTTCGCAGAATCGACTCCTTTCTCTCCTTATCCTCGGGCGTCTCCAGGATCTTTCCCATATTATCACCGTTGCAAGACTCTCCGGACGTGGAGGTCTCGTCCGAGTCTTTGGGCGCGTCCTTGGGACTCTTGCACTCGTTCCCCAGCATACCCTGTATCCCGTGGTCGGGCGTCTGCTTCGAAGACACGTGGTTCTCGGACAGATTTCGCGAGAGCTGCCGCTTCTCCGCGCCCTTGGAGCCCTTGGCCTCGATCGCGATGTCGTTCTCCGACTTGCTGCGCACGCCGGTACCTGGTCCCTTCTTCTTGGCGTCTTGGAGTTCCTCGTCCGGCTCGCGTTCCTCGAAGAAAGCCTCGCGGAAGCTATCGTCGTCCTCCCCGGGATGTCCCTCGACCTCGTCCGCGTACTTGCTCAGGAAGGACCTGTTGTTCTCGTTGATCTTCGCCACCTCGTTGTCCAGCAGAGTCTCTTCCTTGGTCTGCTGATCGGACTTGCGCGTATCCCGCTTCACGCGCTTCACCTTGGAGCTGGCCGGGTCCTCCTTCCGGATCCTCTTCATGTCCCTGCTGCGCCGGGTGCGCGACTGGGAGGACTCGTCCGATTCGTTGCTGTCCTCCGGCTTCCGGGAACCTCCTTCGGAGACTCGAGTCGCGTCCATCGCCGGCATCTCGTCGGAACTCGGAGTCTTTCGTTGATGAACGCTGCCTCCCGCGGTCTCCTCCTGCTTGACCTTCACGCGACCTTCGTCGCGTCCTTTCTTCTGCTTGTCGCGGGCTCGCAGGACTCTCTTGCTCTTCTCGCCGTCGGGTTTCCGGGTCTCCTCGGGATCTTTATTGTCTGGCGATTTATCGTTTATCGGATCCGCAGTCTCACTGAGCTCCGGATTCTGATTCTCCGAGACGCTCTCGTCCGAGGTCGGGTCGCCGCTCCTGGCTTTCAGTTCCTTGCTTTCGGGGCTGCGTGCAGGCACAGAATTTACAGAGCTACTTGAATCGCTATTTGAATCACAGTTTGTGGTGGTCGTTGAGTTATTTGTCTTGGAAGCGTCGCCCCTTTCTTCCCTGCTGGTCTCATCGGCGGACCTGGAGATCTCGTTGGCGTCGGTAGCAGATTCTGACGTCATCGAGCTGTCGTCGGACGCTTCCTGTTTGTTCGCACGTTGAACCTCCAACTCCTGGCTGTCCGGGTTCTCGGGGACCAGAAGGTTCTCTTCGCTCGGCTCGGTGTCGTTTGCGGCGTTCAACAGCGACAACCGGGCGTCTTCGTCTTCAGCTACTAGTCTCTCCACCTCGCGAGATATACTTTCCAGCGTTTCCGATTCCTCCGAGTTGCTCGAACAGGTGATCTCCGATCCCTCCGCTTCCACAGGCTTCTCCGCGAGTCTCTCCTCCGCTTGCGAAGGCAACGACGTGGTCACATCGTCGTCCAAAGATTCCGGAGGATCCTCCAGTCTTGAGATCGTCTTGCTCGGGGTCCTGCTGTTGGATTTTCTCGCCTCGAGAACGTTGTCCGCAGTCTTGTCGCTGATCCTCGGAGACTTCCTCGTGGCCATCTTCTTGCTCTCGTCCTGCGACGTCTTGGACTCGCTGTCGAAAGCGTCGCCGGCCGTGCTGCAGCCGACGTTCTCGTTCTCCGACTCGTCTTGGCTGTTGTAAACAGCCGCAGCACCGCTATCATTACTTATATTACATGTAGACTCGCAAATATTATGTACATTATGAATCCTGTCGCCGTCGGAGACCCTGTCCTCCTGAATGTTCTGCGAGTGCGTCTCCGCTTCCCCGATATCGGACTTGACTAGTTTCTCCTCGATCTCTTTGGCAGTATCGGCCACTTTGGGTACCGAATTCTCCGAACTGTCCGACGTGATCTCGTTCTTCGTCACGGCCGACCCGTCCTCGTCAGCGCTCTCCTCCAATCCCATCTTCTGGGAGTCCGTGCTGAGCGGCGCGACGATCTCGGTCTTCACGTCGAAGTTCTTGCTCAGCCCGAGGCCCTTCTCCGGACCGAATATCTTGCTCTCGATGGTCTTCGCAATGTTCAGCTTGATGTTCTCGATCATCTGGTCTATCTGCGACTTGGAATTGCCGTCTGACTTGTCGGTGCTGTAGAAAGAATTCACCGTCTTCTTCATGTCTATGTTCAGACTGCCCCGACGACCCTTGGATTTGTCGGTGAATTTGGCTAGGATACTGTTATCCTTCCTGGTCTGATCCAGATTGTTAAGCTTCTTCGAGTCCTCTTGCGCCTCGCACTTGGGCGGTATTCGCGGATCTTCCGTCTTGACGTCCTCGTCCTTCGTGGCTTCGTTTTCTATGGTTTTGGCTTTAGTTTTCGAACGCAGCGTCGGTCCCGTTTCACCTGTTCTATCGACGCGGTCGCTATTGTTATTGTTCTCCACTTCCGAGCCTATGTCAGCTTCCTCGTCAAAGTTCTTCGACACTTCGTCCTTCAGGCACATTTCCTCCTTACTCGACGCCACCGCGGTCTGGGATTCGTTGCAACTGTGATCCGAGAAGCAAGAATCCATATTTGTATTGCAATCCGAGATATGTTCCATCGAGTTGTCCGAGATAGCGGTTCCATCGGAGTTCAATCTGTGACGCTTTTTGGAATCGTTATCCGGGGAGTTTCCCGAATCCGACAACTGTCGTTGCTTCCCGTTTCTCAAGCTCCTCTGCGACACTTGAACGTCGACGTAGCCGACCTTCGATCTCTTTCTCAATTGAATGGCATTCTGTATTCCCTGGTCCTCTGCGTACTCACCATCCGATGTAACTTTGATGTCATCGGTCTCAGGCTCCTTCTTGATCTCAATGTCACAAATGATATTCTCGTCCACCAGCATCTTCCTGCTCCTTGTCACCTTGCCCTCGGTCCTCTCTGTAACGCCCTGTTGATTTTCAGTTTCGTTATCACTCAACATCGAAGAAGCTATAACTTCGTCTATGGTAAGATCAATAGAGTTCTTGTCATCCAAAACTGCCTTTGGAAACTTCTCAACACTGGAATTGCTCTTTACACTGAGAGAATCCAATTCCTTACCACTACCACTCTTTCTACTCTTTGCAGCACCCTTATGCAAATCCCTGTTATCCTCCGCAGCTTTGATAAAATTATTATCCTTGGTATTGTTCCTCTTCAGGTTCGTCAACTTTCCTGTTTTGGCACCCTTGGACAAAGAGTCGGGACTCTCCGTTGCTTTTCCCTTCCTGCCAAGTTTCGGGCTAACTTTAACACTGGCCTCTTCTTTGTTCTGAACGTCAGCCTTGACTTTCTTGGTCCTGAGATTGTTCTTGGCACTTTTGCTTGGTGTTTCGCTTCCTTTGCCTTCGTTGTCTCTGTTGCTGGTCTGATTCTCCGAAAGCCTCGAAGCTGTGTCCACTGTCTTGACAGCTGACTCCTCCGATTGCTTAATCCTCTTCGCTTTCACACCCCTCTTGACTATCCTGTGTATATTCTTGCTGGTCTCCTTCTTGGTAACCTTGGACTTGAGATTTGCCTTGGCTGCTCTTAGGTTCTGCTTGCGTTTCAGATTCTTAAGGGCATTCCTGCGTGGCAAGCTCACCTCTAGCTTGACGGAGAGCTGGCTACCTGTTGCTACCGTATCAAAAATCTCTTGCGCAAGCTGCTGCTGCTGCTTCACACTCGGCAATGACTTGCCTTTCTTATTCCTGACCTCATTGGATGGCAAGCCAGAGTCGTTACTCGCCTTCTGTTTCGATTTGGAAGGCGCTAAGGGTCTCTTTTCCCTGGATGCCATCTCACTTCCACCCACATCGGGCTCCTGCAATACATCATTCGCTACAGAAAAAAACCATTTTCTCCCTCCGCAGAAGAATATTTCACTTTATTCTCATTCATTCAACAAGAAATTTTATAATATGCATTATAATATATAACAAAACATTTTACAATATAATATAATACATATTTTAAAACATCAAAATGTACACATTATTCAATCATTCACACTTGAAAGGACCACTTTTCCAAGGAGCTCAAAATTCTCAATTATTGAAAAATTCAAATTAATTCACGTATCCGACAAAATTCCACAAAAAGCTTCGTTAAAAAACCCTGAGCGGAGCACGTGGACGATTCATTTCGCGAGTCACATATAACTAACAGACGCAAACATGTTTCCTCGAGAAGGGGGGAGGGGGAGGCGTCGAAAGACCATTTTTTTTTTTTTTTTTTTTTTTTACCATCCCGGAGCAACCAGGACGAGACGGGGTTGTCTAGATGCGGCCCTGGAGCTGGGCAGAAAATTACGTGACAAACTTCGCACAAACACACACATATATATATATATATATATTCACATACACGCACACATGGATGCGCGAAGCGCTGCTGCTCCAAAGAGCCTGAAAGAAAGACCGAGAGAGAGAGTCGCAGGCTGAAATATTTCGCGCGATATCTCGGCCCGCGTCCGGGCTGCCGCGAGGATTCCGCGCTCGCGGGTGAGTCCGCGTCCCGGGGAACGTACCCGGGGTGGAAACCCGCGGGGGTTGCGGGGGAGGCCCGGAAGAGGTCGCGCAAAAATCCGCCACGAATAAACAAAAGGTCGTTCGTTCGCGGCGGGTTCTTTTTTTTTTTTTTTTTTTTTTTTTTCTTTTTCCTTTTTTCCTCGGGGCCGCGGACGCCGCCGCGACGCCCTCTCCCGGGTGGGGAAGGGGACGCGACGGGCGCTCCCCGGGGACGACGCTGCTCCGCGTACTCGGGGTACTCACCTCGGGGACGGAGAATCCTTCGCCTGTCGTGCGCTCGGCGTGTTAATTCCCCGCGACGATAATACACGAAACGATATTTTATTCCCCCGGGAGAAACGGCAAAAGGAGAGAGACTCGCACGGAGAGACGGGACGATACCGTTGCAGGGTGTCTATGCGCCGTCCCCCACTCCGCTCCTGGCGCCACCTGGCGGCCGCCCAGCGAAACTCCTCCCAGCCACGGCGGACGCGTACGCGTAGCGCCCCGTCGCGACGGAACCGTCTCTCCTTCTCGGCGCGGCTCTTCTCCGAGGAAGGTCTTCCTCCGGTGCGCGTTTTCGCACCCCCCTCGGGGGGGGGAGGGTTTCCGGTTCTCCTCGGGGGGAGAGAGAGAAAAAAAAATGAAAAACCTAACCCTCGCGACGCCGGAAGTGGGGGGGGGGACGTCACTTCCGGTCTTCTATATGGTACCTTCGCGCTAACTTCCTCGCCTCGTTCTCAGGAGCCGGACTCTCGTTTCTCTCCCGCGAGCTCTTTTCTCTTCTCACCTACCGAGCCGAGGTTCTCGCGCTCCCTCACGATCTGTCATCTGTCATCTGTCATCGGCGGCGGCGGAGGCGACACTGACTTATTCCGTTCCGGCGGCGGACGACGATAGACGGGGACTCGGGCTCTCTCTCTCGCGATAGGTAGCGAATAGGCGAGAGAGAGTGAGAGAGAGGGAAGACGCGCCCGATCGTAAGCGCTGCGCGCATCAATGGCGGACGGCGACCCTTAGCAGATTTGACCGAGACTCGCCAAGATGGCCGCCCTCTTCGCACGCTGCCTCGAGAGCCTCGCGTTCGCCACCCCTCGGCTCTCCGCCCCGGTAAGTCACGTGGAGGATCTCTCGTTTCGTTTCTCCGACCGGGCTCCCGAAGGACCTCTCCACGGCACGAGCGTGCGCGTCCTGCAGGACGCGAGAAATCGGATGAGAATTGTGCGCGAGATGAAAAACGCGACTATATAAATTGTATTTGTACTCACTGTAATTTTTAATGTCAAAAAAACTCGTATACGATGTTGTTATGCCTGGAAATTTCGGAAAAGGAAGGAATGAATTTACTGTAATAAATAATTACATGTATTGTAATGGAAATTAAAAAGGGAATGAATTTACTGTAAATAATTACATGTATTGTAATGGAAATTAAAAAGGGAATGAATTTACTGTAAATAATTACATATATTGTAATTGAAATTAAAGGGAGTGAATTTATTGTAACAACAAAAGTTTGTTTAATGTTCAAAAATTTATTAAAATTCATAATAAACTTACTTTAATATTGATAATTTTGGTATTAATATTTAATGTGTGGCAAAGTTAATTAAAAACTATTACTAACTAAAAATCTTCATATTTCAGATTCAAGTAAGATGGGGCAGCTACCAATCATCTTCTAAATATACTAAACCTGAAAAGTACACAGATTACGAGATTACAAAAGATCCAAATGAATGGAAATATGTAGAACGTCTGTTTGCGTCTAAAACTGTGCCTGAACCACCCACTGGAGATGTTGAACTACCGTCTGGCTATAAACCAGCGAAAGGTAAGCAATGAGATAAATTAAAAAACGTTTCATTTTTATATAAAAAATACACGTTTAAATCTTCTTTTACATCTCTGAAGATTTTCTCTCCTTCTATTTTAACAGCGTCACCCAAGGATTATCCCTATTTCATTGAACGTAGTAGAAATTATATGCAGCCTGTATATTGAAAAGATCGAGCAGAGGACTGAGGAGACTCACAATACTGAAGAAAATTCAAGGAGACATATGGACATTGGATCATGATGTAAAGGAATATATAGCAACAAGGTGTGGGCGGAAACCTGCTAGTAAGATACATGAATTTGCAGGTCTAGTTACATTTAAGGGCGACTGGGTTAGCCGCATTAAAGATTGGATGAATCTAAAAGGATTCTAAAAATCACCAGAGAAAGATGCTTCATAAGAAATTGTTATATATATATGTAAATATACAATAAAAACATTGAATCTTTGTTATGAAATACATTTGTCGTACATTTAATATTCTGTCTCACCTAAAATTATCCAATATCAAATTCCTAAACTTTTGTTTAAATAATGAAAATTGTTTTATGTATTTTTCACTCTTAAATATATACATTTTTTTTTGTTCGTTGATAAGAGGGATATTTATTTTTATTTCTTAGCATTTTAATATCTTATTTATTTCTGCGAAAATATATGTTTGCATTGTGATATCCAAAAATTATTTATAAAACATATGCCATACATATATGTTGTATACATTAAAAATTGTTAATTAAATCGAAAGATATAAATGTGTACATAAATATAATCTCACGCAATGTTATGCAAATATCAAATTAAGTTGTTATTGACCGCAACAAATATACACATATGTATATAACATTTCTATCATAAAATTATTACATTTTTCATAAACTTAACATAGAGTTCAAAATATTCTGTTCATATTCTCTTTTTTTTTTATACATTACTGTATATATGCATATGGTACATTTTTTTCCTACTGAAGAGATTTGATAACTTTTGTTCTATATAAATATATTATGAGATATACTTTATAGGAACTCAAATTATATGGATGAGTGAATATCAAGTGTCAATGGTTTGAATAGAAAATAACGAAATAAGTCAAGAGAATTTGCATTAAAAAAATAAATTTTAATAAATATGTATTCCAATAATTGTTTAATAAAAAAAGTTTTGGAAACTATAGAAAATATAGACATAAGACAGATATTTATGTATAAAAGAGATTTCGTTTAATATGGAAATCAAGAGGAAGGAACATATTTAGGAAAAAAAGATATTCCAGATACTGGTTTATCTCCTATTAGGGTTTTTGTGAAGAGCACGTAAACTTTTTTTTGATATTTCATCATTTCTGATATTTTATCATTTATTTCATGCGAATAGGGTTTATTTGATGCATATGGCAAAGTTTACTTGAAAATTTTTCCTTGATTGAACTTCCGTCCTTCTTTGTCCGTGCCAGTCCAGCTGAGATATTGCTTGACCAATTCTTTTGTATTTTCCTTCGATGGATCCAGTTTTGTCCAAGTATAAGATTCATAATCCACTTGCCAATCTGGACTTAACTATAAAAAATTTTTGTTTTCAATTTTTTTTTATACGTCTAATTATCTTCAAGAAACATATATTGCAAATGCTATGCATTTTCTTTATACTTAATTTGTCTAATTATTTTATGCATAAAAGTAAGATAAGATAAAATTATATTATCGAAAATTAAATATCTTACAATATATTTTATATTTTATATTTTATGTCAAAATATTGTAAACTTCGGGCATTAAAATTCGAAAAAGCATTGAATGAAAAAATACTTTAATACTATATAATATTTTGAAAAATTCTCGAGATAAGCTGCAAGAATGTGCAATAAAAAATAGAGATCTCCATTACAAAATTTCAAAGTAAATTTTATGACTTCAACAATACTATTATTTGTATATATACTAATGTTTTATTCAGAAATATCTTATATATTAATTCAAATGTATAAAACTTACTGTAAAAACAAGGTCTTGTCCACGCCAGACCCAAATGCCACTGATTGTATTGTTGTTGTCTTCTCCAAATATACAGGCACTGGCAAATGCACCTTTTCTCATTGTATCTAATCGTTGATACATACCACTAATTAAATTACAAGACATGAAGACCTGAATGAAGAAAGTTGTATAAGTTAAGATGTATAAAGTTTTTCTACTTTTCAAATTTAATTAAATATTTTAATAAATAAATATTTAATAATTATTATTATATTTACTAATTAAATATTAATTAAAAGAGTAGCTACATACTTTAGTTAATTCATGGTTGTATTTGTATTCACCAAGCCAAATACTATAATTTTCCGAATCAAACTTTTGCCAGAAGTAAGGGATAGATTTAGACTCATCTTCATTGGAGTAAAACCGTTTAAAATCGTCAAAGTCGAAAGAACTTTTAGGCATCGAAGTAAAGGGATTTTTCTTTTTCGGTTCAGCAGCTAAAGCCTCCTCTGTTGCATCAGCTTCATCTTCTGCCGCTGCAGTTTTGTCTGCTGCAGATTTAGATTCCTTCTTTGACTCTTTGGGTTCTTTCGACTCTTTAGCCTCTTTCTTAGATTCCTTCTCCTTCTTTTCTTTTTTTGAGCTCTAAATAAAATAATAAAAATAATTTACAAATTTCCTTTATTTATATATAACACATTAGAAATTTTTTAAATAAAATACCAACCTTTCCCTGAGTTTCTGCAAACTTCTTAGGATCATATTCAAGAGTTTTATCCGCCAATTTGAAGGCACCAAGTACAGCGATAGATTCGGGTTGATAGATGACTGTTTGGAACCATCGATTTACATTCATATAAGGCTTACGCAGTTCCGGCTCAAGGATATACTGATACAAGTGTAACAGTGTCATAGCTACGCAAATATCCGCCAGAGTTAATCGCTCTCCCACCAAGTAAGTCCGCGTAAGTAAATGCGAGTTTAGAGCAGTGAGTGCTCTATTTATATCTTCCTTAGCATTCTCAACATTCTGAAAGCAATTTATATATAAATGTAATTAATTATATTATATATAAATGTTATTTAATTATATGTAAATTTATTAATTATATAGAAATGTAATTAATTAATTATCAGCATTAATACTTTATTACTATAATTTAGCTAAATTAATTCAGCTTTATTATTAGAATTAATATTTGATATCGGTATAAATTTTTGACATTACATAAATGTGTGGAATATTGTAAAAGCATATGCATACAATGCATATGCATGTAAATTCAATACACACGAGTTTAATCTACCTCTTTGAGTTACAAAAATGGCTATAAAATTTCGCCAATTTTGCCTTTGTAAGAGGACACATATGGTATATGTGCACAAAATTAAATTAAAGAATGCAATTATCACCTGTTTATGGTATGGCATTATTCCAAGTAGCGGAAATACCCAAGCACAACTCGCAGGAAGAATTTCGGAATCGGCATAGCCAAGCCATTGGATGATCAATGCACGATCGATTTCAGTTTTTCCTCTCAGCTGTTCGTTGGCCACTATAAATATAAAATGACACATAAATATATTGAAATTAATACACAAATAGAAAAATAATTCTTTTTCAGAGAAGACTTACCATAATAAGCAATTGCATTGCTTTCTGTAATATATTTCCCATCGCTTGTTTCAAATGCTGGAACCTTGAAAATTTACAATATTATTATTTTCAAAAATAATTCCTGTAGATTGTGTGACTGGGATAATATTTGAGAATTTATATTATGAAATCTTTATAGAACAATGTTATGTTGTAAGGCTTCTTTACAGTTTCTTATTCTAATGCGCGCATAATAATAATGCATTATTAATTGTCCCATGTGGTTACATGGTTATATAATAAACATAAGTAAAAAGAAAATATCACTTTATGAGCATTCGCAATACAAATAAGATACTCTATTATACAGATATTATATAGAGATATAGAGAACATTTTATCATATGAACGTCATGAACACTATATTATATAAATTATATGAAAAATTCTAAATAATTTACTTTTGTGCAAAATTAAAAATGATTTCTACTATATTATTCTACTAGTATCATACATGATTAAATGAAAAAACATATCCATATGATGTATACTGATACGATCACTGGTATCATTTTACAATACCATATGATTCATCAAATCTTCAACACGTAACACTTCAAATGATAAAATTAACAAAAAAGATACACATATTCAACAAGCGAGCATGGTTTGCACGCAAATTTAATAATTCATCGTGAAATAACAGAGTATCTTGCAGGAGAAGGGGACCTCGTTATCAACCGTATGCGAAATAGGAGCGATCTCGCCGGGACTCACTTTTCCTAGAGGGAACTTCTTCAGGAACGCCTCGGTCTTGTTGGTCTCGCCGAAGACGAAGTCCTCGGCGACTTTGACTCGGGCACCGGAGAACTGTGCCGCGATCAGGGCCTTGTAGGCGCGGAAATTCTCCGGGTACGTGTATAAGGTCTGGAAGAGAAAAAATCCACGTTGCAACGTGTGGCGGAGCGTGCCGGGCCGCGTTTTGCCGCGACCCCACTTCGGTGTGCGAGCACTGCGGCCCGGATGCCGAGCGGTTAGCGTCGCGCGAGAGCCTACTTACTCCGGACGCCATTGTATCCAGTCGCGAAAAGAGGAAGTAAGAGGGCCGGTGTTGAAGCAAGCTCGACCGCCTTCACTCGTCCGAGCCGTGTGCGAGGTTGAGCGGGGATGTACGCGAGCGTGCGAGAGGTTAGAGATCAGATCCCTCGAGTGGAGGTGGATCGACCAAGTGGGCCGCCTCTGATTGGCTCGCGCCGTCCGCGTGAGAGCCGAAAGTGAGGGAGATGGAGAATGAGAAAGAGAGAGAGGAAGTGGAGAGGTTGAAAATTTGAAGCTGAAGAGATCCTTTTACCAAAGTGGAACAGAAAAGGCGAAGTAATGTCAATGTCACGTCACCTTGACCGAATTTCAACTCCAAATTTCATCAATATGACGTCAAATGATGTATTTTTTGATTTTCCGTTCTACTTGGATTAGCAACCCAGGTAGCAAATTGACGTCATATTAAACGTCAAAATGACGCCACGACGTCGAAATGACGTCAGGAAATGACATTAAATGTCAAAATGACATTATAAATATCAAAATGACATTAAATGTCAAAATGATATTAAATGACAAAATTACATTAAACGTCAAAATTACATTAAATGTTAAAATAATATTAAATATATATCAAAAAAGAGATTAAATGTCAAAATGACATAACATCAAAATGACAAACGTCAAAATGATATATTAATGAAAAAATTACATTAAACGTCAAAATTACATTAAATGTTAAAATAATATTAAATATATATCAAAAAAGAGATTAAATGTCAAAATGACATAACATTAAAATGACAAACGTCAAAATGATATTAAATGAGAAAATTACATTAAACGTCAAAATTACATTAAATGTTAAAATAATATTAAATATCAAAAAGAGATTAAATGTCAAAATGACATAACATCAAAATGACATAAACGTCAAAATGACATTAAATGACAAAATTACATTAAACGTCAAAATTACACATTAAATATCAAAATGACATTAAATGTCAAAATGACATATTAAATGTCAAAATGATACATCTAATTTAAATTTTATTGACGATTGATATATAAAAGTTCTTAAAATAGTTTAAAAAAATTATATATATCTAACCTTATTAACTTTTATGCTGATAATTGATTCAGAAATATCTAAGAGAGATGAATTCATAAATAAATAAATAATAAATAAGGAAAAGAAAATTGAAAATAGAGAAATTATTAAAAATTTATATTTTTTTATGTTATAATTATAAAGTAAATTTTAATTAATTATAAAGATATTTTTACAAAAGATAATACATGTCTAACCCAATTTAAACTATATATAAAATTATATTTTAAATTAAAAATAATGTTTTAATATTTTTATTTTAATTTTTAATTGCATTTTATTATTTTAATATTTAAAAAATGACATTTTTTTAAATTTTCGATTTTAATGTTTGATCGATCAATCGGAAAAGAAAGATTCCTGTATTCTGATTGGTCAGTCAAACGCTTTGTCCGGACAAATTTCGAAATTTGTCCATAATGAAAATTAGTAGAACCGCGATTTCTCTTTAGACTCGCGCATCTCAGATATTTGATCGTTCCATGGAGAAATTAAAAATGGCAGCCCTCAAGGATGTTGTTTCGTTGTATCAGAATTTGAAACGCGAGTGGACGAAAACCCCGTGTAATTTAAAGAAATGCGGCGAATTGCTCAATCAATTAAAGGTAATTTACGTGTTTCATTTATGGGATATCGAACGAGGTGATCATTGACAAAAATATATCTCGTTATAACCTCGTCGTGTTCTGTCAAAATGGATTGTCATCCTTCGCCCTTTAATTCAGCGTCTTCAAATTTTAACAATTACTCAATTATTTTGACATTTTGGCTTTTAGATATGCATGTAAAATTTTGATAATTATCGTATATAATATTAATAATTATATATTTATCCTTTGCAGATCGGTCTCACACATCTCATGTTTCTTCCAACATCAAACAGTACAGCTAGTCAAAATGAATTATTAATTGCCAGTATGTATCATTCATTCGAAAGTTTTCACAATTATATATATATATATACATATATTAATGTAATAAAATATATCAATACAATATAAAAATATTATATATATATATATTTTTTTTTTATATTGTATTGATATATTTTATTACATTAATATATTCTATTTTATATTAATATTTATTATTTTTTATATTACTATATATTTTGTAATATTAATGTATATAATATAGAAAGTAATATTAATATTTTTATATTGTGTATTGATATATTTTATTACATGAGTATATTTTATAAATATATTTTATAATATATATGAATATATTTTAAATATATATGTGAATATATTTTATAAATAATATTAATATATAATATTAATTTGTTTTTTTTGTACATATTTCAGGAGACATATTGGAGATTGGAGCGCAGTGGAGCATTGCTGCGGAAGATATACCTTCCTTTGAACGCTATATGGCGCAGCTCAAGTGCTACTACTTCGATTACAAGTCCGGTCTTATGGAGTCGGCTTACAAGTATCAACTGCTCGGTCTGAATCTTCTGTTTCTGCTGTCGCAGAATCGCGTCGCCGAGTTTCATACAGAGTTGGAGCTTCTTCCCTCCGATCAGATACAATCGAATGTCTACATAAGGCATCCTTTGAGCCTGGAACAGTACCTGATGGAGGGCTCGTACAACAAAATCTTCCTGGCTAAGGGCAACGTGCCCGCTGCGTCCTACAACTTCTTTATAGACATTTTGTTGAATACCGTTCGCGACGAGATTGGCGCGTGCATGGAGAGCGCCTACGACAAAATCTCCATTCAGGACGCCGCAAGGATGCTGAATTTAAATACGGAGAAGGACATAAAGGCATTTGCCGCCAAGAAGAACTGGAATCTGTCCAAGGACGGTTATTTCTACTTCACCACCACCAACGAGAAAAAATCCGAGGAGCCCATCCCCAGCTCCGAGTTAGCAGCACTAGCTATAGATTACGCCCGAGAACTGGAAATGATCGTCTAACGTTCGTTCATCTCCCTCAATGTACTTTACATTTATCAAATAAACTATCGCTCTTGTACGACAGAATGGAAGAACGCTTTTTTTCTTTGTAATATATTTAAAATAAAAAGTTGTGTTAAAAAAAACATTTGCTCTCTTATATGTCAGTATATAATATAATATAATATTATAATTATCAAATTATTTATTATTATTATTATTATGTATTATATATATATATATATATATATATATATATATTATATATATATATATATATTTATTATTATTATTATGTATTATTATTTATTATAAAATAATATAATAATTATAAAATATATTGAATGTAGGGGGAGTAAAATGACATTATTTGACAGCTGAAGAGGTTATATGCACATGTGTGAGTTCAATTTAGTAATTACGTGAAAAAATATTTTTGAATTAGACAATTTATAAATCATCTTAAAATAAAGATATTTATACAAGAGAATTTTTTGTCATTTAATCTTTGGTAAAGCAAAATATGACAGTTGTCAAAAGTGACATTAGGCGGCGATGACAGCTGTCAGATGACACGGGATGCCGGCAGGTGGATGTGGAAACATGGCGTCCAACGAGATTGCTAGAAAATTAATTAACCACAACGGAGATTTGTGAAGCACTTTATCTGTAATTATCATGTAAAAGAAATAAGCGAGGTTTACGAGTGCTCGAGCGATTTATTTGCTTTTTTTAAACCGTGTCGATGGTAAAATATTCGCGCCAGGAAGTTATCACTGCCGCAATCACGAATATGCACGTAAACACGTAGCTGCATCTATTACAAGCTCGTATCTTATTACGTGGCATTAGTTATCGCAGAGATATACCACGTTGCTTCATCAATAAGACAACGTTGCACGTAAGTAGCATCGCATATCTATCCTGAAAAAAAAAATATTACCAAGTAATAATAAATAAATTTATTACTAAGTTTAATTAATAATAATGAAGTATAATGATCTTACTAAGAAATGCAATGCTAGATTAAGATTTGAATTAATCACAATTTTTTATTATCTCAGAACATAAATTACTCCTTCCTTTTTTTGTTGTAACTGTTACAGGATTCCCAGGAATGCACGAAAAGAGAAAAAAGTTACAGACCATGCGTGCTTTAATACTCGTAGGTGGTTATGGAACCAGATTGCGACCTCTTACTTTAAGCAGGCCCAAACCACTCGTTGAATTTGCAAATAAACCGATGCTCCTGCACCAGATTGAAGCACTGGTATGAAATATTTGTAATTTGATCCATTAATTTATCAAGAGTTTGTAGAAGTACAGGATGTCCCATAGGAAAATACTGAAACTAATCAGCTGTTATTTTTTAATGCATGGAGTTATTGAGAAGACAAAAATTGTGTTGAAAAGAGGAAAGTCTACAGTTTTTAATAGATATAAATAAAATTTGTATATTACTGTATTTTGTTAATAAAAAGTAATGAAAAAAGTGCTAATAATTACATATGTAAACTAATGATAAATATTTCCAAAGAAGGCACCATTTGAATTTATAATTTATTATTAGTTTATGTGAATATCAGCATTTTTTTCATTACTTTTGATCAACAAAATAAACTGCAGACTTTTCTCTTTTCAACACAATTTTTGTTTTCTCAATAACTGGATGCATTAAAATTAAAATTGAAAAATGACCTTATTAGGTTTAGCATTTTCCTATGGGATACCTTGTGTAATTTTCATTATTCATTGATATATTTTTCAAACGCTTTTAGGTACAAACAAATGTTACGGAGGTGATATTGGCTGTTTCCTATCGGGCGCAGCAAATGGAGGAGGAGTTGGTTCATGAGGCGAAGAAATTGGGAGTGAGACTCATCTTCTCTCACGAACCGGAGCCGTTGGGTACAGCTGGACCGCTTGCGCTCGCGCGTGAATATTTGTGTGCCAGTGATGATCCGTTCTTCGTTTTGAACTCTGACATTATTTGCGATTTTCCCTTTAAACAGCTCCTCGAATTTCACGAGAATCATGGTAAAGAAGGGACTATAGTCGTCACCAAAGTAGAAGAGCCGTCCAAGTACGGCGTGGTTGTGTACAAAGAGGATGGAAAAATTGAGAGTTTTGTCGAGAAACCCCAAGAGTTTATATCTAACAAAATTAACGCAGGTAAAAATAGATCCTTACATAGAACTTATGGATCCATAGGCATCTGAAAAAATTAAATTATATTGACAAAACGCAGGTCTGTACATCCTTAATCCGAGCGTATTGAACAGAATAGAATTGAAACCTACCAGCATCGAGAAGGAAGTTTTTCCAAACATGGCTCAGGATGGGGAGTTGTACGCGATGGAGTTGCTAGGCTTCTGGATGGATGTGGGACAACCCAAGGATTTTCTAACAGGCGAGTGTTTTATATACATAATACGTGTTGTACAAGTCAATTTGCTTATTTACTGATATTCATGTGTTCTTCAGGAATGTCCATGTATCTTGCCTCATTAAGGCAAAAGCATCCTGAGCAACTTTATTCTGGACCAGAAATAGTGGGAAACGTCTTGATAGATCCAACGGCTACGATTGGCAAGGATTGCAGAATCGGACCCAACGTCACGATTGGGCCTGGTGTCACTCTGGCTGATGGATGTTGTATCAAACGAAGCACTATTCTTAAGGCAGCTGTGATAAAGGAGCACGCATGGCTTGATGGGCAAGTATTATATATACAGGGTCTAACATAAAGTGTCACAAAAATATACAAGTAGATCTTGTTATTTGGAGGCAATGTTTCCTCAGCAAAAATAACGAGGCATCAATAATTTTCGAATTATAAGCGATTGAAAATAAAGGGTTTTTCGCAAACTAAGCTTTGCGGAAATAAAATATTAACAAAACCACATTCTTCAATTAATTTAAAGTAGAATTTACTTTAATGAAATTTTTATTTAGGGTTTAGTTATAAAGATACATGATGGCAAAAATTAGGAACATGCAAAAAATCGTCCTCGACATTTTATGTCAGACATTCTGTATATGTACAAAATTAATGTCAAAGTAATTAAGGCGCCTGACTCTTCGCCTCTGTCGTCACAATCTGACATGAAGAAGCCTTAACAATATCATTTAAACACGCAGATGTATAGTTGGATGGAGAAGCGTTGTTGGACGATGGGTGAGAATGGAAGGTACAACTGTACTAGGGGAAGACGTTATTGTGAAGGACGAATTATATATTAACGGCGGACAAGTTTTACCGCATAAGAGTATTTCTACGTCTGTACCAGAACCGCAGATTATTATGTGACCAAAAAAGTATAATCTAAGCTCACGAACTAGTGCAGGTAATAATATTAGGTCGAAACATATGTATGTCAGAAAGGTTTTTTTAATAATTTTTCAAAACACACTTGTATGAACAGTACACTTCATTTCTATACGTTAATTATATTTATATAGCGCGTTGCGCATTTTTGTAGATACTTTCACGTTAAAATAAAAAAAAAAAAAAATACAAATTTTGCTTTAAATGATTACTAAAATTCTCTGTCTTATATTGCAATCGCTTGTGTACACTAGTGGATCCTTGGGGGGGGGGGGGGGGGGGGTTGAATTATCAATACATAACAAATAAAAAATATATATTTATCTATAATATCAGGAAGAAATTATTTTTATTGGTAAGCCTCGTACTGCTATTGCAGCTGCTGTCATAAAATGAGAGCATTTCTCTTTAGACTTTGCCACTGCCCGTAACATTTCTGGCTCTATTTCCATTTTGTTCCCCTCTACTTTCTTCGTGAATTCTATAAAATTTTATTATAACACTATCATCGAATATTACGAAAAGGAAATGTAAAACGACTTTTATTTTATAATACTGACTTAAAGTACCGGAACTCCAACTATCTAAATCCACCTCACTCCATGGTTTCTCAGATGACGAAGGAATCCAAGTACTCATAAAATGTGTAGTCATTTTATCAATATCAATATCTGTTATTTCCCACAGCATGCCCAGGAGACAAGGACTAAAAGTAAAATTAATTTAAACAATTTCTTATTTTGAAATTTAAACAAAATTCTTACTTATGGTATAGAAATAAACAATACATCCTTTTCTTTACCTGCATCCTATTAAATATTGATTTGAAATACCGAAAGGTGGATATCTTCCGCCTATCATAAGTAATTTCACGCTGCTACAACCGAATAATAAAACAGTGGATCTCACTTTTATTCTTTCAATCTCTTCTCCAGATAAATAATCTATTCCACTGCCATGACCTGTATACCTATATAGAAAAAGTACAAGATACAATTAAATGAATGGTGATGATAATGATAATGTTACTGAGAAATATGTTTTTTTGTACATTAAAATCTCATGATTTATTAGCGCATCTTCGAACAACTCTTCATTAAGCTCCGTTTTGTAAGTTTTCCATTCTGGTAGCCAAAAATTCATAAAAAGCTTTATACGTTTCTCCATTTTTTCTAGATCGCCTGATGGATTCACCATACATACTCCCATATCTTCTTTAGTTGTAATTATTTTACAACCTTCTACCATAGTGCTTTCATGTTCTTTAAATAATGCATATGCCAAGTGTAGAGACGGGAAACGAGTGACGGGATGAGTCTTAATTATTTCCATGGCTTCAAACGCTAAATAATCCATATTCTTGAAAAGAAAATAAAAAGGATTTATTATACGAAACAGAAATATAAATTTATTAAAATAATATAAATAATATAATATAATTAAAATAATATAAATATATATCTATATATATTAATTTATATATATATTTAATATTAATATTATTCATTAATATCAATTAACATATAAATTAATATAGATATATGTGTATTTTTGATACAATATTGTATACCTCGTCGATAATTAGAACTAACGTTTTCCGTTTTGCACTTTCCAAAGATCTTATAAATGGTAACTTTCCATAAATAGATAAAATAATGTTATGCGCCAGTTTTTCGTACTCAGGAAGAAGATATTTCACTGCACGCGCTATTTCTTCACGCGTGAGAAAACATGCGCTTGTAGATAATTTTCTCAGAAGCCATCTGCATCGCTTTGATATTTCGGTGCTAAAACAACACAATATTGAAAATCAAGATGTACAAATAACATATTGCAATAGGCTCTAAATAATATTCTAGCAAATATTACTTACGAAGGTTTGAAATCTAATATCAATTTATCAATCATTTGATGCATATTCTCTACAATTTCTAAATTTTCAATAGGATCAGCCATAAATAGTATTCTCCATTCACGCAACCATATCTTTTCTAATCCATTTATAGCTACCTGTAAGTAAACAATCATTTCAGGATTTTCTTATTAAGAAGCATAATATAATTTAAATTCAAATCTATACCTTCATTGTTTTGTTTTGACTTTCCCGCATCTTCCAATACTGTTTAGTATTTGCATAAGTGGCTTTTAATTCAGAGCTGTAGTTACCCAATAAATTTGTAATCTCTTGACAGATATCATAAGATACCTGGGTTTCTGGTTTCGGTAAAGTTATGCATAAAGGTTCTATGTCAGATGGCCCTGTGGGCAATATTGTAATATGCATGGGATGCATCACAGTAGAGGTGTGTTTTCCCTTATACCTTAATGAACTTGGAGATTCATACTGGGCAGTCACTTGAATCATATACCATTCTGTGGACAGAGAATCAAAAAGATGTAACAAATTTTATATAGAAACAAATTGAAATAACAAAAAAAAAATATATATATATATATATATTGTATACCTTTTGGTAGTTCCGAGAGCTTTGATTTTAAAGATTCATTATTGTCTGTAAATTTTGTTTCAAACTTTACATGTGTTGGATTCAATCCATATATTTGAGGCTTATCCCGTATAGGCTCGTAAAATTGACTCTTTTGATATCTGTGCAAAATGTGTTGTCGAAGTATCGCTGCATGAGATTCAACTAAATGATGAATGGCTGTGAGTTCATCTCCAATCTAGAAAAAAAGGATGCAAAGCTGATATTAATATTAACGCAAGATACTTCATCATTACATAGTTGTTTATATTTTTTATTAATCACAATTAATTATATAATATATTTTAAAGGGATTATTTCAAATATATATTTCAAAACACAAAATTTATATCTACTTCTTTATATATATAAATACTAATTAAAGATATAATTACCGCTAAATTACAAAGTGCCTGCATTTTATTCAAACTGGCATATTCAATACTTCCTACATAGTTGCATGGTACATTTGCAAGCAATTTTTCTGTATTATTTTTTATCTCCTTCAACCTCTCCTCTTCACTTTTTTCTTGTGATTCCTTCGTTTCTCTTACTTTTGATTCATTACCGAAATCATCAGGATGACATTTGCGCAACATTTGCATAATTTTATCAATTTTCGAGTTCATGTCGTTCGACATTGCTCAGAAAAGACACGCTGTAGCAATAAATTAAAAATTATACGAAAGTTGCATGTTTTATTGACAACCTTTCCACAAACTTTTTTACTTAATTTTATCACATCATTATAATTCACCTTCAGTGATAGCAGTAATATTAGATTGCGTTCTATTACGCATGCAATTTTGTTAATTATTGTTACTTAAATATTATATCAAGACGAAGAACTTTAAATATACATATGATTCAGATTATTTGCTCCACTTTGCAAGTTTTCAAGTTAAATGACAGTTAACTAGTACCACACGCGCGCAGTGAAAGTTACTAGTGATATCTAGGGATATCATTTAACGTTTCACGTCAATTTGACGTTTGATGTTATTTGACGTTTAGACGTCGATTTGACGTTTGATGTTATTTGACGTTTAGACGTCAATTTGACGTTTATGACGTCATTTGACGTTTAAACGTCAGTTTGCTACTTGGGACAGTGTCAAGTGTCACACGAATATAAAAATAGAATAATTTTCGGAGCTTAAAAAATTCTCTATTCAATAGCCAATCACGTGACATTTGTGTCTACACGTGTTTTGCATCGCGCGCATGAGCGTACAACTTTGCGCCAAATATCAAACCAATAAATATTCTTTCTTTGGGTTTGTTTTTATTGCTGCATTGATGAACTAATGCACACTGCACACTGCAATAAATTGGAGTGGGACAAAATATACTTGTCTCATTCTAACTTGTTGCACCAGTGTGCACTAGTTCATTAGTGCAGGGACAGAAAACAAGCCTATTGTTTCAAACGGACAATCAATCATGGCGTACTTTTACATCGTGCAATATAGCTCACCGGCAAGACGAGACCTGGGGTCGATTGTGTAACTTTTTCTAAAGTAAAAACGTGAAAAGTGAAAAATTTCCACCAATCACGCATTGATTTTAAGATAAAATCGATGTGTGATTGGAAGAAATTTTTCACTTTTCACATTTTTACTTTAGAAAAAATTACACAATCGACCCCCAGACGAGACATTTCAAGATCGACAAGGGCTGATTAATTACAGAAGAGGAAGGAGAAGACAATTAATTACGACACGTGTGAGTAATATAATTGAAACAAGATAATTATACAATAATTAGTTGAATTAAATTTATTATATTTTCTTTTAATTTATAATAACTGGATACACAATCTTTATATTATCTTTATGACATTAAATTGAAGAATGTCATAAAATACAGAAATCGACTAAAAGACTTGTTTAATTTTATATTTTTAAACAATTAATTAATGATAGAGAAATCGTTCTTTTATCATAATATTTCAGTAAAGTGCACGAACATGCTGTTTTATACAGGGTGTCTGACATAAAGTGTCACCGAAAATATACAAGTAGATCTCGTTATTTGGAAATGATTTTTCCTCAGCAAAAAGTCGAGGAAAGCCATCATTTTTTGGATGTTCCCAATTTTACCATCATGTATCTTTATAACTGAACCTTAAATTAAAATTTTATTAAAGTAAACTCTACTTGAATTAATTGGAGAATGTGGTTTTGTTAATATTTTATTTTCACAAGGCTTAGTTTGCGAAAAACCCTTTATTTTCAATCATTTATAACTCGAAAATTATTAATGCTTCTATATTTTTGCTGAGGAAAAATTGTTTCTAAATAACAAGATTTACTTGTATATTTTCAGTGTGACACCTTATGTCAGACATCCTGTATATATGTATATGCACATAAATTCCTCATAACATTAAAGCTTATGCTATATATACTATTACAATTATTAACAAGCAGCTATCATATACTGTATTACAGAAATACCTGAATATATTTTACTTAATTGTGTGTCACTAATTATATCATATTCAAAATCAGCGTTCTCCATTGACAAGAGATTTATAACACCTGGAGGTATGCCACACATTTTAAACACATTGCAAAATTGTGCCAGAAAATATAAATCTGGATTACATATCACAATGACAGAATTGCCAAAAGCCAAATTTAATGTTAATTCTTTAAGCAAAGAAAGCTCATCTTTTTCTTGAAGAATAGCAGTACCTTGTGGTTTATAAATTAATGTTACTTCAACATTATTATTTATAATGCTAAAATTCATTTGATTTTCACAAATATATGAAAAATATATCATATCTCTTATTGTATGTACAAATTGAGGTTTACTGAAAAAAGAAAAAAATCTCAAAAGATATGAAGAGAGAATAAACATATACAAATATATAAGAAAGAAGATATTATAGGATGATTCAACATACCTTTCACTTTCTAATGTGAATGCAAAATTACATAATATTTGCCTCCTGGATTGATTAGACATAGTACTCCAAATTTTGAATCCATCTCTAGCTGAAGTAGTGCATTCTACAATATCTTCACTATAAACATAAATTAAAAATGATAACAAATTCAATATATTCAATTTCTCATTAAACTATTTAAATTTTTAAAAATTAATGTAGAATAACTAGACGTATATATACATATATGCATATGTATGTATTTTGCATACCGAGTTGCATTTGCAAATAAAATATTATTGTGCATCCAATATTGTTTTCTAACAGGTGTTTGCCATTTGCCATCATAAAACAGATCATACTTTACACTTTGATGCGTTATTAGATTTCTTGGATTTGCACATGTATATTCTCTCACTTCATATAAATGCAAAGAATGATCTAATGATTTCTTGTTTAACTCTAAGTATGGAAGTATGAGACCAGGCTCAAAATCCATGCATGTGTTTATACATAAAACATTATGCTGTTGAAAAGAAACATATCCTTTTAATAGGCTATATATATGTACATATATATGAATGTATATGTTATATATAATTGCATATTATGTAATATAATTTTAATTATAATGTAATAACTTAATTTTAATGATGTACTACCTTCAAAGATTCTGCTAAATTTTTTGCAGCTATAATATCTTCTGACCATATGGATACTATATTCACAGTATCGCTTTTGCATATAGATATATCGTTAAGTGTAAGTAAGTCTTTCAATGATTGAAATGTTTTCAATTCAACAAAATCATATTTAAAATATTTCTTACAATACCACATAAAAGTTTGCATTATTGATTCTTGGATCAAAATTTTACTTACAACATTCATAACGCTTTTAAATTTCAAACAGTTTATTACTGCATACAAATCTGAATCTTCTAGAAGTATCATGTCAACGTTCATCACTACATAAAAATATTTAAGCGATTAATTATAGATTAAGATATGATTCTAAATTATATCTTATAAATATATGGTTTTCTTACTTATATTTTGTTTAAAACTATTATATATTTCTATTTGTGATTCTTTTCTAAAATATAAATAAAATATTAATATATATTGATAAAATATTGATATTTTAATGTCAATTTTAATATAATATTAATTAATTATTAATATAAAATATACAATACAATATAACATTTTTTACACTGAGAATAATTACATTATGGCAGTTTCCAAAAATAGCTGCATTTTATCGTCTTGAAACATATTGCAAATTGTAAGTATCATTGATATATTAATTATCATATTATCAGCTATTAGAGAACAAAAGAATTTTATATATAATATATGTTGTTATATATACAGTACATTTATTGTTCTACTTAAAACTAGTAAAATAAAATCATAAATTATATATATATATATATATAATCATTAATAAATTTATGATGCACACACATAACATATGCAATATCAATATATTCTTAAAATTGCAAAAATAACGCTTACTATACCATATATATCATTAAGTTCAATAGTTGTAGCAGTAAAATTGAGGTAACCAATAATATTGGTAATAACATCTATATGTTCACAAACTGATATAAAACAATTTAAATTATCTTGCATTAGTGATGCTGTGTGAAAGAATCTACAAACATAAAAACAAGCATCTCATGTATATATATTGTAAATATATGACAACGATAAAAACAATTTATACATTATTTGTAATTTAAATTTAAGCATTTCTTTACCTATGTGAAAGCTTATCAGTCTCTTTAAATTGCAATGTTTTACATAAATTTGACATTTGTTCTTGTGCTTCCTAAAAATATACATATATATATATATATATATATATATATATATATATATATAAATATACAAGATATATATATATATATATATATATATATATATATAAATATATATAAAGAAATATATATATATATATATATATATATATATATATATATATGTGTGTGTGTGTGTATCAAGTTTTCGCTCTTTATTGTTCAGAATGTTAATTATTAAATTTCATTAATTTGATATATTTCTTTTAATTAATTAATATATACATATATTATTCATGCTCACCATTTTATTGTTGTGATAGTCTAGATTAGTATAATATTTGTTAATAGTTTTTACACACTCCTGCATGATTATTAGTCTGGTTTCAACAATATTTTATAAAACGAGATTCAAGATCGAATTACATATGTGTCTACGACTCAAATCGGTCATATTATATCTTTGCACAGCAATTATTAACACAAAGTAAACACAAATAAAAACTTCATGCTTGTGCAAAAAATACATATATTTTGACAAAACATCAACAAACTGATAATAATTATCCTTTACATAATCATGCTTATACATAAGGCATTTTAAAGCTAATAACAATTTCAGAATACTACTAAACTAAAACATCGAACAGAGATTGAAAAGAGGAATATATAACCGCAATTATATTATATAACCAATAATTTTAATTATAGGAATATTCATATATTTTTAATTATTCTATATATAAAATTTCTTAAAGAATTTAATAATCATAAACAAACACAGATATGTCATTTTGTTATCTCTATTTATAAATTTTAAATTATTTTCTTTTGTGTTTTTTAAATATTTATAAAATATTTTCTTTCTATTTAAGACACACAAATCTTATTAATTATCTTTTATTTATTTATTTAATTATAATTTTAAAGTAAAACTTCAAAGTAATGCACAATTAAATATATGATACGTTTTTAAAATTTGAATTTCTTTCTACATATGTTTAGAAATTTATTCATCATGATTATTAATTACACATGTTTTTATTTTGTTACATTGTCTTTTATTTATTAATTGTGTGAGCCACGTGAAAAAGAAGAACACATTTAAACATAAAAAAATTGTATGTATAATATATATTAAATCTAACTAATACACATTTTTAATCAACAATTATAACACAATCTTTTAAATTGAATTTTATTTAATAAAAATATTTGAGAAACTTAATAACAATAAGCGAAATCTTTTTTAACATTATAATCTTAATTTTAATGAGTTATTTATACTTATATATAACAGTACAGAATTATACTAAACATACCATATCTATATCTTATGTCTTATTTTATTAAAATTAATTATGACAAATTAAGATATGCTGCACTACAGTAAACGCTGCAATTGCTTGAGATAGCGTTGAAATTAATAAATTAGGAGAATTATTAATATACTCTGTATTTTTAATTGACAAGAGATTTATAGTACCCGAAGGTATGCCACACATTTTAAACATGTTGCAATATGGTGCTAGAATACATAAATCTGGATTACATATTACAATGACAGAATTGCCAATAATTAAATTTTGCGTTAATTCTTGAAACAAAGTAATGCCATCTTTCTCCTTAAGAATAACAATTTTGGATCTGAAAACTCTCAATGTTTCAAATTTTTCAGTTTTATTATAAAATGACATTTTTCCATACACATATGACATATTTAGCCATTTAGATACTGCTTTGGACAATTCAAATTCACTGAAAAAGAGAAAATTATAAAAAAATATCATAGAAAAATAAACAGATGCAAATATATATAAGATTCATGGATGATTCATCATACTCATTGCATTCTAATATGGTTGCAAACTTAGATAACATTTGCCTTTTAGAATTATCAGACATAGTACTTAAATTTTTGAATCCTCTTGTAGCTGATTTAACACACTCTATAATATCTTCCCTACAATAAATTAAATAATTATTAAATTTAATATATTATTCTAAACCATATATATATATATATATATATATATATATATATATGTATATATAATGAAAAATCAAATTACATAAAAAAGATCAGACAACAATAAGTATGTCTATTTCTACCTAGTTGCATTTGCAAATAAAATGTTCTCATGTATCCAATATGTATTTTGTTTAGGTTTCTGCCACATGTCATTATAAAACAAATTATATGTTAAACCTTCATGCGCAGTTGGATTAATTGGAGCCTTTGTACATTTGTCCATCTTTCTGTGTAAAAATAAAGACCCAAATGTGAATTGCGCACGAAATATATCTTCAAACGGAATCACGACGTTACGACAAACATCCATGTAAGTATTTATAAATGCAATATGTTGCTATAAGAAAAAAACATTTTAATACATTTCAACATAATTTATGTTATGTTGTATAACTTTAATAATGTACATTTAAAGATCTTGCTAAATTTTTTGCGGCTGTAATATTTTCTGACCATATAGATACAACATTTAGTTTACAAGTTTCATTAAATATATATTCATTATTAGGTGTAATTAATTCTTGCTTCAATTGAAATATTTTAATGGGAACGTTCAAATATCCAACATTTTTATTTAAATGCCACATAAAAGTGTCTTTTATTGATTTTTGGACCCAAATTTTTTTTAAACAAGATACAGCACTATTAAGTTTCAAATAGGTAATAACTGCATGTAAATCTGAATCTTCACAAACTATTATTTCAACCTGCAGATCTGTAAAAATATTAAAGTATTTATGTATGAAGTACATATAAAAATTATATTTTTTATAAATGTTTTCCTTACATGTATGTAGGACATTTTTATAGTCATAATACAACTTCAATTCTTGCCCTGTACTAAAATATAAAATAACTTATAAAATATTATTTATGATGATATCAATTTTAATATAATAATGATAAATTGATATAATACAATTGTAAGATTTTTATATTGAATAATTACATAAAACTTTCCAAAAATGTGCTGATAACATTATCTTGATACATATAGTAGATTGTAAGTAATATACACCTGATTAAATAAAGGTCTAAAGAGAACAAAATAATTTTGTTTATAATATGTTGTTATAATAATGGAGTGGAGTGTTATTAATACATTATAAATAAAATAAAACTAATGATAAAATAAATTGTGACTACTTGTGGGACGCATACAAAGTAATATATAACATCTATATATTTTTCAAAATGTAATTTGCAAGGATTTTATTATGCGTACTGTTATTTTCAGTTTCACTTTCAAGCATAAAAATCGCACCATAATAATAGAGATAATCAAGAATATTGAGAACTATATCTACATGTTCGCAAACTGACATAAAATAATTCAAATTCTTTTCCATTAGTGATGCTATATTTAGGAATCTAAATAAAAAATTGAATTGAACACATTATACATATATACTATCACTAAGTAAAAACAACTTCTACATTTTATCACATTATTTGTATCTTAAGTTTAAATGTAATTTATTTACCTATGTGCGAGATCGTCAATTTCCTCAAATGAATTTAAAGATAAAAAATAGTCCACAGATAAATAATGTATGTGTACTAATGATTCCTAAAAATTAATATATGAAATAGTGTTACATATATTGTACAAAAAACATCTATAGAGAGGTCTCTTTTGTTTTTAATGTTAATACTAAATTTCATAATACTTTATTAATAGTTCGTTTTATTATTATCTTTTTCACATTTATACTCACCAGTATCTTATCTTCATTTTCATATTGTATATTGGTATAATATTTCTTTATACTCATCACATGTTTATTCATTATTAATAATTTAGTTTTCAACAATAGTTTAGAAAATGAGATTATACAATTGCATATATACATACGTTTATGAGAAATTAATCGCGCGCGTTATCAGCTTTGCACAACAGTGATAATTTTAAATACAGAAAGCGACCTTATGTTTGACAATGAGCAATAAATATATAGATAATATTTTGATACAAAGCAGTAAAACAGAGATTATGCTAAATATTTAAAAGCTAATAATAGCATCATAAAAATATTATTCTAGTCAAATAAAAAATTCGCTAAAAAATTATAATGTGAAACAGTAATGCTTAGACGATCGATTTTTATTAGGGAATATGTATATACAATATACATATTTATTTATCATTATTTTATTAATTACATGTGTTTTTAATTTGTATAAACATATTTTATTTTCTAATTGTGCGATATACATGAAATAAAAAATTAAAATTGTACAATATTAATTAAAGCAACATGTTTATAATTCTAATATTTTTAATTGACAATTTTGTGACTAACACTATATATAACAATTAAAATCTTTTAAAACACTAAATTACGAGATACGTTAATACAATATAAGGCAAAGAAAAGTTATTTGATTTTTTTCTTACTGCTATAAATATACAGTACATATGTTTTATTTCATTACAATTATTTACGAGAAATTATAATATTTTGCGTTATTGTAAAATTTAACAGTGTTGTCACAAAATTTTCTGTACTCAAATCAATATTAGTATTTTCATGATTAATTGCATTTTCGATTGACAAGAGATTTACAACCCCTGGAGGTATGCCACACATTTTAAATATGTTGCAATATGGTACTAGATTATATAAATCAGGATTACATATTACGATGACAGAATTGCCAATAATTAAATTTTGTGTTAATTTTTTAAAGAAAATAAATTCAAAGCTCTCGTGAAGAATAACAACGCCTTTTGGTTTATAAATGGTTATTTCTTCAAATCTTTCAGTGTTAGAATTAATTGTCCTTTTTCCATAAATATATGACATATTGATCCATTTAGATACTATTTCGGATGATAAAAATTTCCTGAAAAAAGGAAAAATCGTAAAAGAGAAACAAGAGACAATGTACAGATGCAACATAGAACAAATAAAATATAGGATATAATTCAACATACCCATTGCATTCTAATATGGTTGCAAATTTAGATAACATTTGCGCTCTAGAATCATTAGACATAGTACTCAAATTTTTAAATCCTCTTTTAGCTGATTCAATACAGTCTATAATATCTTGACTACAATAAATTTAATAATTATAAATTCAATATAATTTTGTCAAACCTTATATTTAAAAATTCAATAAATCACAGAATAAGAAAGAATACGTCTATTTTTACCTAGTTGCAGTTGCATATAAAATGTCATTATGTATCCAATAAGTATTTTTTTTAGGTTTTTGCCACATGCCATCATAAAATAAATCGTATTTTAAACCTTTATGCGCAGTTGGATCAATTGAACTATTTGTACATTTGTCTATCAAAGTTAAATCAAAATACGTACTTATTGTTTGAAATATTTCTCTAAGAAAAAGCATGTTGCCAGGAAAATCTATGTACGCATTTATAAATACAAGATTTTGCTGTAAAAAAAACATTTTAATATATTGTATTTTAATACAATTTATAAATGTCATATAATTTTAATGATGTACATTTAAAGATCTTGCTAAATTTTTTGCAGCTGTAATATCTTCTGACCATATAGATACAACATTTAGTGTAATATTTTCATTAAATATATTTTCATTGTTAGATGTACTAGATGTAATTAATTCTTGCTTTGATTGAAATATTTGAATAGAAATATTTGGATTTAAATGTCCAATATTTTTCTTAAAATGACACATGAAAGTGTCTTTTATTGATTTTTGAAGCCAAATTTTTTTTAAACAAGATATAGCGTTACTAAGTTTGAAATAGGTAATAACTGCATGTAAATCTGAATCTTCATAAATTATTATTTCAATCTGCAGCTCTACAAAAATATTGAAGTATTCATTTATAAGATACATATATAATTACATTTTTTATAAATGTTTTTCTTACTTGTAAATAAGACTCTTTTATATTCAAAATACCACTCTAATCTCGTTTCCCCGTTTCTAAATTATAAAAATAACATTTATAATATCAATGTTAATATAATAATGATCAATTAATATAATATAATTTAATATTTTTTACTCTGAATAATTACATAATATTTTCCAAAAAATTCTGTATATCATATTCTTGATATATATAATAAAATATAATTAATACATTCCCAACTACTTCAAGTGTGCCTAGAGAACAAAAGATTTATTTATAATATTGTTTCTATAATACAAAAGAGTGCCATTACTATTTATGAAGTAAAATAAAATTATGATAGGGACGTATATAAAAATAATATGATATCAATATATGTTATTTTCAATAAAAAATGTAATTGCAAAGATTTTATGCGTACCGTCATCTTCACCATAAACTTGCATCTTAAAAGTCGAACCAAAATTATATAGGTAATCAAGAATAGTGAGAACTGAATCTACATTTTTGCTAACAGACATAAAATAATCTAAATTTTCTTCCATTATTGATGCTGTCGTTAGGAATCTGTAAACAAAAAATCGAATATTTGAACACAATAAATATTACTAAATGTAAGTAAAAGCAACTTTTACATTGTATCATTTTATTTAATCTTAAGTTTAAATATTTATTTACCTGTGTGCGAAAGTGTCAGTTTCTAGAAATGATAATTCTGAAGTTAAATTTTGTATTTGTTCCATTGATTTCTAAAAGTATACATATATGTAATAGTGTTGCACATTTTACAAAAAACATAGAGAATGGTCTCTTTTTGTTTCCGAAGTTAATATTAAATCTTATAATCCTTTATTAATAGTTCATTTTATTATTATTTTTTTTATATTTATACTCACCTTTATCTTATCTTCATTTTCATACTCTAGATTGGTATAATATTTCTGTATACTTCTCACACGTTTATTCATTATTATTAATTTGATTTTCAACAATAGTTTAGAATTTTAGAAAATGAGATTACAATTGCATATATACATATATACGTTTATGAGAAATTAATCGCGCGCGTTATCAGCTTACTTGCACAACAGTGATAATTTTAAATACAGAAAGCGACCTTATGTTTGACAATGAGCAATCAATATATAGATAATATTTTGATACAAAGCAGCAAATCAATGATTATGCTAAGTAAAGCTAATATGATCATAACATTTTAGTTAAATAAAAAATGCGCTCATAATGCGAAACTGTAATGCTTAAACGACCTTTTTTATTAGGGAAACACGTTTATTCTATTTATTTATACACATATATAAAATTTCTACAAATAAAATTATATAAAAAAGTAACACAGATATTAACTTTTACATTTTGTCAGATATTTATTACTGCGTTCTTACAATTTATAAAGTATTTTATTGTTTTGTTAATAGAAAATAATCTACATATTATTTATGATTTTTTATATTTTAATATGATTTAATTAGTACAATTTAAAACTTTTATATGCATAAGTGTTTCTCGATACTGGTTTAGACTTTCAAAAGTTGCATTGTGTTCTGAGACAGATATTAATCATAATTAGAAATTAAATATTTTTATTTTGTCAACTTATATTTGAGCTTTTGTTTTAGTTATGTGACGGATGTAAAGAGAAAAGTTAAAACAGATCAACATCAGTTTTATAATATTAATCTTATCTATATGTATATAATATACATAAATATATATATATATATATATATATATATATATATATACACATATATAATATATTGATACATATATAGATATTTATTATCATGATTATTAATTACACATGTTTTTAATATGTATAAACTTATTATATTTTATTCTCTAATTGTGCGATATACATGATTAAAAATTAAAAATACCATATTAATTATTTAATTGTACAATAATATTAATTGTACAATATTAATTAAAAGCAACATATTCATAATCTGACATCTTTAACTGACAATTGTAATACATAATTTAAAAAAATAATGAATTAGAGAATATGTCATCAATGTAAGGCGGGGAAAAGTTTTTTATTTTTTCTTATTACTATAAATATATCTTCAAAAAAATTAATTTAAAAACTTATTAATAAAGATATCGTTTTCCGAATATTATAATCTTATAATATCACTGAGCTTATACTTGTGCATAAAGCCGCACAATTAAGTCGAACATTACAGTCTAACATTACACATTTATTTTATTACAATTATTTATGAGGAACTAAAATATATTGCATCATTGTTAATTTTAGCACTGCGTCTATTACATTCTTTATATCTTCTAAATTGTCGCATTTAATATTATTTGCATTTTTAATTGACAAGAGATTTATAACACCTGGAGGTATTCCACATATTTCAAACATATTGCAATATGGTGCTAGAATATTTAAATCAGGATTACATATTACAATGACAGAATTGCCAATAATTAAATTTTGTGTTAATTCTTGAAACAAACTAATTTCATCTTCTTCCTTAAGAATGACAGTGTTTTTTGGCTTATTAATACTTGCCACTTCAAATCTTTCAGTATTAGTATTATATATCATTTTTCCATAAATATATGACAAATTGATCCATTTAGATATTACTTTGGAAGATGAAAATTTTCTGGAAAAAAAAGAAAAATCGTAAAACAAAAGATAATATACAGATGCAATAGGAGAAATAAGATATAAAATAATTCGACATACCCATGGTATTCTAATATGATTGCAAACTTAGATAACATTTCTCTTCTAGAATCATTAGACATAGTACTCAAATTTTTAAATCCTCTTGTAGCTGATTTAATACAGTCTATAATATCTTGACTACAATAAATTAAATAATTATAAATTCAGTATAATTTCGTTACACCATATATTTAAAAATTCAATAAATCATAGAATAAAAAAGAATACGTTTATTTCTACCTAGTTGCATTTGCAAATAAAATGTCATTATGTATCCAATAAGTATTTTTTTTAGGTTTTTGCCACATGTCATCATAAAATAAATCGTATGTTAAACCTTTATGCGCAGTTGAATCAATTGAACTATTTGTACATTTGTCTATCAAAGTTAAATCAAAACACGTAATTGCTGGTTGAAATATATGTCTCATTGGAAAGACGACGTCTGGACAAATATCCATGTGCATATTTATAAATACAATATTTTGCTGTAAAGGAAAAGAACATTTTAATACATTTCAACACAATTTGTCAATATTATATTGTATAATTTTAATGATGTACATTTAAAGATCTTGCAAAATTTTTTGCAGCTGTAACATTTTCTGACCATATAGATACAATGTTTATTGTAATATTTTTCTCTAACATATTCTCAGATGTACTAGATATAAATAATTCTTGCTTTGATTTAAATGTTTGTATTGGAACGTTCAAATTTCCAACATTTTCTATTAAATGCCACATAAAATTGTGTATTATTGATTTTTCGACCCAAATTTTCTTTAAACAATGCACGGCTGTTTGAAGCTTCAAACAATTAATAACTGCATACAAGTCTGAATCTTCAAAAAGTACTATTTCAATCTGCAGATCTGCAAAAATAATGAAGTATTTTATTTAAAAGATACATAATTATATTTTTTACAAATATTTTCTTCTTACATGTAAATAAGCCATTTTTATATTCAAAATACCACTGTAATCTTGTTTCCCCGTTTCTAAAATATAAAAATAACGTTTATAATATCAATGTTAATATAATAATGATCAATATATATATAATACAATTTAATAGTTTTTTACACTCAATGATTACATAATATTTTCCAAAAATGCCTGTATATCATATTCTTGATATATATAGTAGATGGTAATTAATACATTTCCAATTATGTCAAGCATTTCTAAAAAACAAAAGAATTTCATTTATAATATGTCTTGCTATAATATAGAGGACTGCCATTACTATTTATTAAGTAAAATAAAATTATGATAGGCACGCATACAAATAATATATATAATATATATTATTTTTAATAATGTAATTGCAAAAATTTTATTATGCGTACGGCAAGTTTCACCATTAAAAAGCTGAAAATGTGCACCATTATAAAAGAGATAATTAAGAATACTGTGAACTGAATCTACATGTTTGCACACTGTCATAAAAAGGTTTAAGTTCTCTTCCATTACTGATGCTGTCTTTAGGAATCTATAAACAAAAAATCGAATATACAGGGTGTCTCAGACCTACCGTATTACATGTTAATGGGAGATTTCTGAGACGATTTGGAGAAGATTTTTCCTCAGCGAAAATGTCGAGAAAGGTCATCATTTTTTTAATGTTTCCAATTTTTAAAATCATGTATCTTTGTAACTAAGCCTTAAATTAAAATTCTATTAAAGTAAACTTTACCTGAAATTAACTAAAAATGTAGTTTTATTAATTTATTTTTACAAGGCTTAGTTTACAAAAAAGCTTTTATTTTCAATCGTTTATAACTCGAAAATTATTGACGCCTGGACATTTTCGCTGAGGAAAAATCGTCCCCAAATCGCCTCAGGAATCTTCCATTAACGTGTGATACAGTAGATCTGGGACACCCTATGTGTGTGTGTATGAACACATAAATATCACTATAAATAAGAACAACTTTTAAAAATCTTATCACTTTATTTGCATCTTAAATTTAAATATTTACCTATATGCAAAATTATCAGTTTCTATAAATGATAATTTTGAAGTTAAATTATGTATTTGTTCTGCTGATTCCTAAAAGTATATAATTCTAAAGTTAAATTATGCATTTGTTTTGCTAATTCCTAAAAGTATATATACGAAATAGTGGTATACATTTTAAAATAATGTTAATACTAAATTTCATAATTGGTTATTAATAGTTTATTATTATCTTTTTCATATTTATACTCACCACTATCTTATCTTTATTTTTATATTCTAGGTTGATATAATATTCCTCTATATTTATCACACGTTTATTCATTATTATTAATTAGGTTTTAACAATAGTTTATAAAATAAGATTGCAGAATTACATATGTTTATAAGAAACTAATCGCGCACGATTTGCCTGCTTTGCAAAACAGTAGAGATTATTATAAATACTGACGAAGGCAACCTTGCGCGTTTGTGCAAAAAATAGATATTTTGATATAAAACAGCAAATCAGTGATTTTGCCAAATATTTTAAATCTAATAATATTACGAATAGAGGATATTTATTTATTTTGTAAACTTATATATGTGTTTGATCTTTTGTTTTAATAGTGATGATAAAAATTAAAATATATAAGGAAGTTAAAATATATATAAATTATATATAATATTTAATTTTATATGTATAATCTTGACATATTAACAGATAATAATTATTTAATCTTTTATAATTAATTGCGTTATAAGATAATATACAAGGATTTGCGAAAAAATTTATTTGATTTTCTATACAAAAAATTTTATTGAAAAAAATTAATTTGCTAACAAAAGAAATCGAAAATTATAATCACTGATATGTAAACATGTTAATACAATTTGTTTATACAATATATATATATTTTTAACTCGGTAACTCTTGAATTATTGTAATTCATATATATGCTACGTTATCAATTTTACTTAACGCAAAGTACAATATGCTTGGTTGTAGTAAGTTGTTCATATATTGAGTTTGGCTTTGATTTTTCGAGAATTTTCTCATAGTTCATGTAGGCTATAATTTTACTTGAAATGAGATTTATAACACCCGATGGTATTGTTGCTGTTGAAAATATGTCACAATATTTTACTAAAGTGCATACATCTGGATTACATATCACAATGACAGCATTGCCAGTAATTAAACATTGTGTTAACTCGCGAAATAGAGTAACTGCATCTTTCTCTTCAAGAAAAATAACACCTTTTGGTATACGAATTTTTGTTACTTCAAATTTGTCATTCTGATGACAATTCACGTGATTCTTATAGTAATATGCCAATTTTATCCAATGAGATATTTCATTCGCTAATAAAGGTTCACTATAAGAGAAATAAAAGAAGGAAATATTTATAAAATTATCAAATATAATAGTATTAAATAAAAATTAAGATATATAAAAACTTCAATAATTTACACATACTTAGTTTGTAATATTGACGTAAGCTTGGATAATATACATATTTTAGAATCAATAGACTTTTCTGTCCAGATTCTAAATCCTTCTGTAGCTAACTCAACACATTTCTCAAAATCTCCTCTACAATATTATATATGTATATATATATTAATCGATTAAGTTATAAATGTTTAATGTAATGTTATTAAATTTTTTTAATTTTAAAAGTTATAAAATAATGTCAGAGAAATATGTGTATATCTGTACCTTGTTGCATTTGCCAGTAAAATACCATTGTGTTCCCAATACATATCATCGATAGGTTTTTGCCACATACCACCATAAAACAGATTATAAATTGTACCTGATTTTGGATTTAGTATCCACGTATTATTAGATTTTTCACTCATATATTCAACTTGAGATAAGAGTTTATATTTGCATAGTTTTGTGTAAGGTATCAAGATACCAGCACAAAAATTCATATGTGTATTTATGAATACAATATTTCCCTGAAAAGAATAAGAATTAGTTTTATAATTAATTTGGTAATAACTACAATATAATTTAAAATTTAAATAATATACCTGTAAAGACCCTGCTAAATTTCTTGCACCTACGATATCTTCTGTCCATATGGAAAGTATCTTCTTTTCAGAGAGATGCAAGTTTTGCGATGTAAGTAATTCTTGTTGTGATTGAAATATATCAATGGGAACGTTTAAACTATGTCCAAAATATTTTTTTACATGCCATTGAAAATCCTTATTTATTGATTTTTGGACCCAAATTCTATCTAACGAAGACACAATCTTTTTCATTTTTAAACAGTTCATAATTGCATACAAATCTGATCCTTCGAGAAGTATCATTTCAATATCCTGGTCTATAAATAAAATTTAAAAAAATTTTTTATATTAAAAAGTTTTTATAAAATTAAAAGTAATAATTTTGATATACCTTTTATTTTCTCACATGTAAACATTATTTTAGATTCTTGCATAATATCTGGCAGCGTCGAATTTTTGCTAAAATATAATAATATACATATATATATTCGATATTTTATATATACAAATATATATATATATATATGTATATATAAAATATCAAAGAGAATATCTATTTTAATATGATAAAAGAAATTATTGATTTATATTAATTATAGTTGAGTATAATATATTTTGCATTAGATAATTACATGAGAGCATTTTCCAAAAATAATTGCACTGTTTTTTCTTTACTTATATTATGAATTGTATTCATTAACGATACGATCAAGTGATTTTTATCATGGAATTCACCTAGGGGACAAAAAATTTTATGTATAGTTTTTTATATATAGTGCCTTTGTTACTTATAAGTAAAAAAATTTGATAAAATAAAGTTGATAATAAAAATGTGAAAATTGTGATGCAATATATTTTTACAATTGTAATTTCAAGTGTATTATTATACGTACTCATTGTGTCACACATCAATTTCGCTTCAAAAAAGTTTAAATAATCAATAATAGTTTTAACTACATCTTCATGTTCATAAATCGCTGCAAAATGAAAAAAATTATCTTGCATTATTGATGCCGTTTGGATCAATCTGTAAATGCAAAAAAAATATAGATACACATGCATATTATAAACATGAAAAATGTTATCATATTATTTACATCTTAAATTTAAGCATTTACCTATTGATGAAGTTATTGGGTTCTGAAATTCTTAATTCCAAAGATAAATTGGATATTTTCTTTAATGCTTCCTAAAAAAATAGATACAGTATTTATCTTTATATTTTACAATGTTTTATATTTTACTATATAAATCAAATTTTTTTGTTATTATATTAGTGTTAAATCTCAATTAATAATAATTCCTTTAAGTGTCTTATTAATATATATATATATATATATATGATTCATATATTTATACTCACCTTTTTGTTTATATTATATTTTAGATTATTATATTTGTTCATGATATTCACAGACATTAGTTTATTACTGCTATCCATGATTCTAACAACGCTTATTGAAACGAAAGTTAAAAATTATATGTCTACGAGAGATTGATCATCATCTTTGTAATGATACGAAACTTGTGAACATACGAAAACGACCTTGTGTTTGTGAAAAGGTACGTATATGTTATTTTGATAAAAAATAACGTTTAAATTATGAAAACGCGCGTTTTTAATTCCTCTGTACAAAAAAATTCTTAAAAACGATACAGGATACTTCTTCGCTATTGTATAATTATATTTTCGAACGCATTTTACATTTTTACAATTTATAAAATATTTCTTTTCCGAAACATAGAAATTTCTTTGCTATTTAAAATATGATTATTGGAAACTATATGATTTTCAAATCACATTGCGCTTAGATATTCTACATTTTTTCATTTATTATGACGACTTCTATTATTTAATCTGAATATTTTTATTTATTAAATAATGGTTCCACCCAGTTCTTTGGATGAAAAGACATAGTTTTTATATTTTCAAAATATTTGTTATTTATTTATATATTTGCTAATAATTAAAAACTTTTGTATATTTATTTTTATTTAACATAACAGCATATAAAAATGATTATATATATATATATATATATATATATATTTTTTTTTTTTTTAACACTTACAATATTGTGAGATTATCACCAAATTATATATATTATATTTCAATTTATATTAGCCGAAAAAATTCGATGCACAGTTAATATCATGTTTATAAACTTTACATGTCTTCTTCTTTTATCTCTCTGAATAATCAATTTTGAAAGCTTCTAAATAGTATATAGATCTCGAAGTCATCGTTACAAAATACAATTATTATAAAAATCGATATTACTTACATTTTTATAATCTTACTTCATCACAGGAATGTAAATGTCAATATTGTGTTTTCCGAGATTTAATTCATTAAGGCTTCTGGCTCCTCGCCGATCATGTTGAAATTATGACGTCAGAGGCGAGAAAATACACACTAAAAATGTTTTACTGTCAAGGGAAAAGAATAATTCTCAAAAAATATTTTAAAAGTGCGCCAAAGCCATCTGAAATAGAGTTTCATCGAAATATCTTTTCATTTAAACATGACATCTAAGAATTTTCAGCGTGTGCTTTCTCTGACACAATCTAACAATTTAAACAAGGACCCAGGAGCTTCAGCATAGGCCGTAGGCTCATCATCGAATCTTCTTCATTTCGTACTTTGATCATTCAACAACTTTCGGCCCTGCGAAAGACTGATCGTTCGCGACGTGACGCAGATTCTCCCCCGCGTACGAGAGCAGAGGAGAGACCTCGACGTCGTCGCCGACGTCCTTCGCGCCTGCATCCAGCAGCCACTTCCTATGCAAACTGAGCAGATCGGTGCGAGCGGTGCTCGAGCAATCCTGACCGGCGGAATCGCAGTTCTTCAACGGGCTGAACTCCTCCTCACGAGTCCCCTGCCAGACCGCGAAGTTCCTCGCGTAGGGAAACACGTCGAACACGAATTTCTCTATCTTAATACCGTTCGGGACCTTCGGCGTGATCCTCTCCCCATCGTCGTTGACATAAGGAATCTTCTTCTTCGCCGCGTGGAGAATCAGGTCCTTTTCGTGAGAGTACGCGATGTCCTTCAGAAAGTCAACCGTGAAGTAGTGATTGCATATGTTGGCGGCGTTGTACACCAGTTGTCCGTTCTCGTGACGGAGTTCCGCGGTCCCCTTTGTTATCTCGCTGTACTCCACCACCTGATAATGATCCTCCACCTACATTGATCGAGAGAAGTTTTATATTTTCTTTTTTAGATTTCATTTCCGGATCCTGCATCAAGTACATAGGATTTTTAGGCTTTTTTTCATATGTTGTAGTTTATGTCCTGCTGAACAAAAGATGTAATAACTTTGAGCCCATTATATTTTTTGTTCAGCAGATCGTAAGCTACAACATAGATAAAATCCTAGATAAAATCAACTGATTTTCTCACATGTTGTAATTTATGACTTGTTGAACAAAAAATGTAATAGGTTCAAAACTAAATAATAGATGGTTACAGATTTACAGCCAGTCAAACACGAAAAAGGACTTTGCAAGTTGTTGCGTAAGCTACAACATATGAAAAGACCAGCCAGTTCCACCGAAAGTCCAAATTCTACGTATTTGGTACAGGTCCTTTTAGATTCTAGACATAAGTCATTTATATGTACAGGGTGTCCTATAGAAAATTGCTAAAACTAATGTGTCATTTTTAATGCATGCAGTTATTGAGAAAACAAAAATTATGTTGAAAAGAGGAAAGTCTACAGTTTTAAATATAAATAAAATGTTTGTATATATACTAGTTTATTTTATTAAAAAAAAAGTAATGAAAAAAGTGCTAATAATCACATATGTAAATTAATGATAAATATTTTCAAAGTGCACACCATTTGAATTTGTGAAAAATTCTGTTTTTTTACGAAAACGTTTTCTAACATGTCATTTTTAATGTTATTGACGATTATTTTAATAGCTGCTATTAAATCTGGCAATGGTGAAAATATTTATCATTAGTTTATGTAATTTTATGTGGTTATTAGCATTTTTTTCATTACTTTTTATCAATAAAATAAACAGATATACTAGCATTTGATTTATATCTATTAAAAACTGCAGATTTTCCTCTTTCCAACAGATTTTTTATTTTCTCAATAACTGCATTAAAAAATGATTAGTTTCAGCAATTTTCTGGGACTCCTTGATATAGTCTACTTAATCTATAACAAAAAAAGTGTGCATGCCTTGCAAACTACGCCAACAGCTTCGGAGGGTGAGGATTTTTCAATAACTTTAACTCCGCAATCCGTTTCGAAGAGCAAGCAGTATCCTATAAATATAGGATCCGCTACTTTCACCAAGATGTTGTCCACAGAGTGCGCGTGAATGCTCCGGATACCACGCTTAACCATGTCGTCCAGTATCCTGTGGTTCTTCAACGCGCGATACAATCCTCCGTTGCCGTCCGGTGCTTTGGAGACCCGATGCTTGGCGTCCAAAATGATCTTCCCATCCAGGGTGAAACACGGTAGCATACCTTGCTTGAAGGCTCGGACGTTTCTTTTTTTCAAACCAAAATATTCGTGCTGGCTCAGATACGCCACGGTAGCTTCATGAGTAGCGTCACTGGTAAGGATGTACCTGAAGAGAAAGAGAAAGAGGATAAAACTTAGACATTCAGCTTCTTTTTCTTACAATATACTATTATATATTATACTACATACTATACAATATACTATTATATATATATTATTAATATATTATTTTTTTGACTACGCACCAAGTTATCTCTCCACGTACTCCACAACGTTGCTCTGCCATGTTCTGCAAGCGAAGTATCCTCTCCGCTTGCAGCTGGAAGAGAGTCTTATGGGATGGCAGGTCAACGTCGAACATCCCCTTGGGATAGGTCACCCCTAGACGCGTGCCCTGGCCACCTGCCATCAGTAACACAGCGACACGACCCTCAGCAACCTCCGTCAGACCAAGGTCCTCGTACCTCCCCAGTTCCTCCTTGGTCGAGGTCCTGACAGAGGCAATTTTTCCCTCATCGATGGGCTGCACCTTGTCATCCAGCTTACCCTGAGCGACACACTGGGAGGATTCCACAGCTCTTTTGAAGTACGCAGTGGTCTCTTGCAGATCCAATTCCTGCACATCGTTCTCCAGCTGGTTCCTATCCTCATCGGTGAGCTCCTCCCAAAATCTCAGGAGATGTCCCTGCTCGTGCTCGTCCAGTTTCCTCTTTAGAGCCTCCATACTCGTCGTCCGGCCTCTTTTGACACTTGTCAGCTGTTTTTGACAGCTTGTCGAATAATACAGTATCCGCTTATCGCGCGTCGCGTTTACCGTTCTCTCCGCAATTTCGCAGTTGTCGAGGGACAGAAATCGCGTTGAGGAGACCAGGTAAGCGGAGCAACAGGTATGCGAGCATCGGCCCACCTGTCTGACAGGTAAAGCGGCAGCCGGGCGGCGTCGACGTTCACCTTCACTTTCACGAGTCCACGTAGCCGGATTCGATTTCTCTTATCGACCCCTCCCGTTCGGCCGGGGCCTCTCTACACCCGTAATTCTCCTTTTCTTCGTCGCCGATGCCGTCCATGGCTGTCGGGAGGAAAGTCATCTCTCTTTCTCTCTCCCTCTCTCTTCTTCGATGCAACGATGAACTGGCGGATAACCTGTTATTGTTTCTCTCGTCTTCCTCCCGATTGTCGAAGCTGAACAAAAGAGATGAATATATATTTGTATGCTCGTGATCCTGATAAGAGGCGCTTTGTGAAATTATTGCCCGGATAAGCGCTGTCATAAATTGCTTATACTTAATAAACACGTGTAAATTTCCGGCCGCGCCGGCAAGCGCGAAAGGTGAAAGGTGAACGAGAGAGAGAGGGAATGATGAATGACCTTGATTATATGGGAGCAACTCTGGAATGCGCTTTTCTATATCGCGATTTTGTCATTTACATATTTGATAAAGATTTGTAAATAAAATATAATTATTGACATATATAAAAAGATTTATATATATATATATATATATATATATATATATATATATATATATATATATATATATATATATAGAATATTTTGTACATATATTTTTATTATATAACAAAATAAAAATGCCTAAATTTCGTATTTTGTTCTGAATAATATATTTAAATACGTTTGCTGATAATAAAAAACAACAGAATGGATGAGTGTATTGAATGTATAAGATAATTATAATGCAATTAATAATGATAAAAGAGTTTATTTTTCTGTTTATCTTTCTCTCTTTTCTCTCTCTTTACACTCTTTCTATATTTAAAATAATTAAAGAATATTTTCAATTTTTAAGAGAAAAACTGAATGTCACTTTTTATGTAAAAATTAATTTATTTTATTATATAAAATAAGCAATAAAAGTTGAAATATAATTTTTTATACGTTATTTTTATATATTTTATTATTGTTATATTTTTAAATAATTTTTCAATATATATATATATATATCTTCATCATCATGTTCTTATATATGTTCGCAGTTATACATCGATTTAATCTTTGGAAAAGGAAACTCTGATAAGCGAGTGATATACTGTCACCATGATACAATGTTGTAAGATAATACGAGTATTATTAATTGTTGTGCCAATAAAATCATAATACTTGCTCAAACATATAATTTGTATGCTTTTTTAAAACACACTTAAAGTATGGAAAGAATAATTAAAGATACATTTGTGCAGTATAATTATATAATTAATTGTCTTTTAATTATATATATATATATACATATATATTTTTTTTACTTTTTTAGTTTATTTGATTTTTACTTTTATGTAATGTATAAATCTTGCTGCATTTTACATTTTTTTACTTTTTTACATTTTCCCCTCTTTTGTTAAAATTAAAAGCAAATCGAATATTTTTAAATTTTATGCAGTAAAATAATTACATTACTTCTTTATAAAAGTAAAACTCTTCTCTCGACCGTACTGGCAAATATTATTTATTAAATCACAACGTTTCGACCCTTCTTGAGTCCTTATCAAATAATTTGTGAAAATAAAAATAAAATTATAATTTTATTTTTATTTTCACAAATCACTTGATAAAGACTCAAAGAAGGGTCTAAACGTTGTGATTTAATAAATAATATATTCTCAAATATCTACGTTTTTATTTATTACTCTTTATATTTTAATAAATAAATTTTTCTGAATATATAAAAAGCGACTCTTACATTTTATCTCGGGACGGAGAAAAGTTTCGACACAGTTTTGACATTTAAATAAATTTCTCGGATACTCGCAGATACTCGTTTATTATTGCCGAACGCGAGAAAAAATTGCGATTGAACTGCAGAGACCCGCGATACCTACCGCCAGTTTCGGCGCGTCCAGTGATTCCCGGCGGCGCCGCTAGATGGCGCGCGCGCTCGCCCGCGCTCCCACGATACTTCCGCGAGTCTGTGACGATGACGATCGTCGTCGCGGCGGCGAGGAAATAAGCGGCCTCCACGTGCGCGCGATGCCAGGACGAGACCTCTTCTACGACGACGACGTCCGGCTACGCGCATCGATGTTGTGATGTGTCAGCAGCGAAGTACTCGCTCTGCTCCGTAGATGTTTCTCGGTGAGTTGTCAGTTGTCATCCGCGCGCGCGCACTCTGCCCTCTTCCGTCAGCGGACAACGACATCGTCTTGGAGAATTCCTTCTCTTTTTTCCGCGAAAATCCATTTCGACGGATTTTTCGCTGATATCAGCGGATTTTGCGATCAGAACTTTGGTTTGACATTGTCGCCTACACGCGAACACGCCTTATTTTCGCGCACAGGAATTTATCTGCCCGTTTCTCTCGCGTCTTCTGCACTTTTTTGCCCTCTCTCTCATTTCTTTCTAATCGCGTTCTGTTGGAGAGTTCTCGTATACTTCCCGTATTTAAAATCACCCAACTATTCAGCGAGCATATCTCATTTTGACGTTTAATGACGTCATTTGACAGTTAATGACGTTATTTGACATTTAACGACGTTATTTATGTCAGTTTGCTACTTCGGTATATATTTTCTCAAACACAGAATTTGTTTTAGTAGCACTTTTTAGTGAAAAGTTGCACCTATTTAAAAACCGTCGAACAGAATTTCTTCGATTTAAATATTTTTGAAAAAAGTAAGAGAAAAATTCTTCTTGAAAAATTTTAACATCTCTACTTTATTATTATTTTTAGTCAGTTTGCTACTTCGGTATATATTTTCTCAAACACAGGATTTGTTTTAGTTGCACTTTTTAGTGAAAAGTTGCACTTTTTATCAAAAAGTTGCACCTATTTAAAAAACCGTCGAAGAGAATTATTCCTTCGATTTAAATATTTAAAAAAAATGTAAGAGAAAAATTCTTCTTGAAAAATTTCAACATCTCTACTTTATTATTTTTTCCGTTGCTTCTTTAATTCTCCAACGAGAGAGCGTATAAATATATATATATATATATATTTGTCCGTTTCTCTTGCACCATCTGCCCTTTTTTTACTTCCCACATTTTCTCCCCAAAAATATATCTTCAATTTAATTTTAAATTGTCAAAAAGTGCAAAGAATTGACCGAATTAATTAAATCAATTTTTTTCTCCTTTTTTTTCGATTCTCTGAAATTTGACAGGAGGAATTTGACAGGAGGAATTTGACAGGAGAGAGGGAGAAAGAATGAAAGAGGGGGAGAGTGCAACTGAAACGGTTCGCGGAGATCTATTTTGAACGCGGAGAGTGCAGCTAAAAACGAACGACCGCAGGACTACACCCTGTATACATTTTATATATATATATATATATATATATATACACATATATATATTATATATAATATATACATGTATATATTCGGCGGCCGATAAATGTTCGCGCGCGCAAAGAGAGATAGGTTATAAAAGGGAAGTGATTGACCGCCTGACACGATCTCGTCTGTCTCTCTCTCTCCCTCTTTCCCTCTCTCTCACTCTCCGTGTTTATCCGCGTTTAACCGCAAGTCGTTCCCCGCTTCCGATATCGCGATGAGGGATTCGTAGCGGAGGCTTAAAGATATTCTAATCTGCGAGAGGTAAATCTGTCAATCGGTGCCATCTCTCTTAAAACGCTGATAAGGATATGGCGATAAGGCGTGGGATTTAAACGTAGGCTTTAAAAGGATGGGTATACACGTTGCGTGCGTTTGCCTGTATGTGTGTGCGTGTCTATTTCATTTCCGTCAAGCTTCGTTGACACGATTACGCGAGGAGGCGGCTTTTTTGTTTCCCGCTAACCGGTTCGCGCCGGCTTCTGGAATCTCGAGATCTGCAGCACTTGATAATTCATTGACATTATTGTTGCATTCGATGCGTTAGAAACGTGTATATACTTGTCTATATATGTGCACGTACACACACACACACACAGGCACACACAACTTTATTGGCATCATCCTGATTTAAGGAAAATTGCGTTGCACGAGATGCATTTGTTTGTAATAATTTAACTGGCTGAACGAATTTTATCATGTTAACTTTTGTGCCTGAGATTTGACAGATCGTCAGCCAGGTTTGATAGGGTCTTGAGATTTTCATCGGAACGGATGTGAGCCTTTGCATTTTGTGAAACACAGGTGCCGGGTGCCTAGAACGCAGCTGGCAAAATGGGCAAGTTGTTGTCAAAGATCTTTGGCAACAAGGAGATGCGTATTCTCATGTTAGGACTGGACGCTGCAGGAAAAACTAGTATCCTTTTACGTAAACGCAATTGTATTCTTTAATGTGACATGCTATTTTTGCTTTGTTTCATCTCTTTTCTACCTTTGCGCTATTCAAAACTCTTATGTAATTTAAACCATTGTAAGCAAAATGGTTTGTCATGTATCGTGTATTATATAATAATGCATATGATGTCTTTTCTGTACAAATCTGTTTTCCTTAACAAAATTATATCAGCAATATTGTATAAACTTAAACTAGGACAGTCTGTGACAACTATACCAACTGTAGGATTCAATGTAGAAACAGTTACCTATAAGAATGTTAAATTTAATGTATGGGTAAGTCTGAAATTTTCCTGTTTAGTCATCTACAAAAATTAGGAAATTATTTATAAAGTTACTTTTAATCTCTTAATTAAAAATCACTAAAATTATCTATTCCTTTGTGTTTAGGATGTGGGTGGCCAAGATAAAATACGTCCGTTATGGCGTCATTATTACACTGGGACGCAAGGACTTATTTTTGTAGTAGATTGTGCAGATCGGGATAGAATCGACGAAGCCCGCCAGGAACTTCATCGAATCATAAACGATAGAGAAATGCGTGATGCGATTATCTTAATTTTCGCTAATAAACAAGATCTTCCTGATGGTGAGTGACATTGCAGAGCAATTATATAAACATATCTATTTATTTTTTGATAGTGATATGTATCCAAGCCCAGGTAGCAAGCATATGTCATTTTGACGTCAGTTTGCTACTTTTAAGATGTTTGATAAGACACTTATATGGTTTCTACATATAACTTTTGTCTTTGTACTTGTTTATCTAGCAATGAAACCGCATGAAATACAAGAAAAATTGGGATTAACTAGGATACGAGATAGAAATTGGTACGTTCAGCCATCTTGTGCCACAACAGGAGATGGGCTTTATGAAGGCCTTACGTGGTTAACCAGTAATCATAAATTATGAGCAAATATTTATTTTCACAAATTAGCATATATATATATATATATATATATATATATATATATATATATATATATATATATATATATATATATATATGGAGAATACACGTTTGCTTTGTATTTTTATTTTAATTTGTCATGTGGAGGCTTCTGTCAAGACAAACAACTGACAATGATAGGTTTGACGAGATCTTTTTCACGAGCAAAGTTATTGCAGGTGCAAAAGCGAAAGAGAAAAACAATATAAAGACAACTATTAATGGTGTGTTCCAATAATATCGATACTAGGTGAATAGTAATTTATTGAGGTACCAAGGGACGTGACCTTTTATTACTAGCTATTTATCCCAGTCCATGGAGATAATGATATACTGAATAGGGTTTGACATCGCTCTGTAACATATTCACACAAGTGTTTCGTATAAGTTGTACAAGTTACAAAAAAGTTACATGAAAAAAAGATCTAGTTATGATATTAAAGGGTTCACGGATTCACAAGGATTAGTATACTGTATAACTTACCTTTGTGCGGAGGATTTTATCTAATATCTATATAATTGTTATTCGAGGGGAAATTTGAGTTTTCTCGAAAAACTGAGAGCACCTCGAGTTTTTGACAGATTACAAGTAGATTTTTGACTTTGCAATATCTTGTTGTCAAAATGCTATCGTCTAATATGTATTATATAATATTCGTACACACATAGTCCGTGAATATAATACGTGAGTAAATTTGCAGCACCTAATGTCGAGACTTTTATATAGCGCAGCGAAATTTATTTCATTAGAGTGAACATCTGTCGCTTATTTATATCTTTTGTGCCGAAAAAATGCTCGTAATTCATTGATTTTTGGTGACATATGTCTTCCAACTTGATAAAAATGACATTTTAATTCTCACTTTTTTCCTTTACGTTTGTCTCGATAACGCTGGATATAGATGATTTTTTAAAAATGATATTTTATTTGAAAAATGCAAAGAAATGTGTCTAATGTATCACCGGCGTTCTTATTAATAACGCACAAGTATAATATATTGAAAAAAAATGTAGTGCAACATGGAGTTATCGGTTTACTGATATTGTGAGCTCAAAAACCAAAAACAAAGAAATAGGAAAAATAATAATGTTACAAAAAGAGCGTAACAACACATTGAATCTGCCAATATTTTTTACCGTTTAAGTGAGTATCAGATAATAAAGCATAATATAGTATTAGGTCGCAACAATCAGACCATTAAACGGCATTTTACGAATGAGATAAGTGTTTCTGTGACTGTTTCATTTCTCATAGTATAATCTGTAGCGTTAAGATTAGTAAGAAATAACATATTTCAGATTCATAAATGAATTCATACAAGTTTACAAGTGTTCAAAGTGTTTATATAATTAATTATTGAATCAAATTTGAGTTTTCGAGTAAATTATAGCGATTAATTATTATCGTCAAAAAATTTTGACATTTACATCTTGTTTACACATTCCACGGTACGTTAGCGACTTAGACTGTTTATAGAGAAACATTTTAGTTATACGAAATAATTGTATCTCTCTTTTTTTTTTTGTTGACTGGAGACGTTTTTTCAAACGTAAGTTTGCATAAAACTTTCTCAGCATCCGTACCATTAATATTAAGTATCTCGTTTGAGAAGGAAGTTGGACGCGAAGTTGAGAGCTTCATTCTCTGTGTAAAAAATCATATAAATCAGGCGAAAGGACTGTTTTTTCCAGAATGTATTAGCTATATTAATTAACACTTTATGGCCATGTATTTGTACAATCGCATCCCTCATCTCTGCATTTTTTAACAATGTTTCAAATAGCAAATGTCATTACGTATTGTGTACTAACTATATAAAAAAAATATATATATCTATATTCTTTTAAATACAAGTATGATAAATTGTTACGTTTTACCATTTGGCTTTAACAGGAGCCACTTTCTCATTATTAAAGAAATGTAATGTTGCGATATTAATTGACGAAATTTTTTGTACATAAATATGTTTGATATATTCCAAGTTTATGTCGAATGGTTTTTTTCCACACGTTCGCATTAACATTCTAAAAAAAGAAAAAAAACGAGAAAAGATTTTTGAGAACTAAAATAAAAAATGTTGACAGAGAGCAAGGAAACAATACACAGATAAGATTTCATTTTTCAAAAAGAAAAAGTTTCAGAAGAAAAATAGAAAAGGAAGAAGAAATAAACGAACAATTTCACTTCCAAGTAACAATTATAGAGAATATTTTGCTTCATTAATGTCAGTCTAAAGACTGAAGATAGCAAGAATCTTGCAGCATTAGAGAAAAGTTTATGTAAGACTATTTTTCACATATAGAAATAATTACTATATATAATCTCTTGTTACATGACGAGTTTATATCCGGTAGTAACTTTATTTAAATTTATATCTCTTGATTTCTCGGAGATAAAAATAGCGAAAAGAACGATAAAAATAAGATTACAACACCGGATTCTATAAAAGTATACATATAGTCCTCAATCTCAGTTCAGCAAGTAGTTTTGTTACGATATTATACTCTTTATACATAGAAAAAAATTCATAAGCATTTAAATATAGGTGTGTGTGCGTATGTGTGTGTGTATGTGTGTATGTGTGTGTGGGGCTTGCTACAAAATTTTTAGACAATTTAATATTATCAGTGTTATATAGAGATCCTAAAATATATTGCCATTTTGGAGGAAGATGCGCTGAAGATTTTTAAAGAAACATACAGTAACATATTCTTTATATATATATATATATATATATATATATATATATATATATATATATTCGTTTAGTTAAAATATATTCAGAGATTTGCCATTTATATTAAAATTAATAACATTTCATAAATACATATATCCTATCAGGGGCCACGAAAAATTAGGCTTGTTAAAAAGGTAAAAAAAAAAAACGCTTTGGAATATAAGAAATAATATTATACGACATGAAACGACGCTATATTACACATCAACCAGAGAATTCCTAATGCAACAATCGTATTGAATATTTCTAAAAAACAAAATACCTGTTTTTTAGAAAAAAAATAAGGACTCAGGAATAAGAAAAGTAATACAGTTCCGTTAATTTACAGTTATTTATATCTGTCGTTTAAATAAAGTTTATAGTTTGTTACATTGTGAATTACATATGCCTCTAAATATTATATTACAAAATATCGTTTATAAAACAAAATTCAATACTTTAGAAACTTTCATTAAATTATTCATAAATGTATAAAAATATAAAAAAGAACAAAAGAGTTTGTTGGTGCATCAGGAGCTTTTTGGTTTATGGTGTGTGTATATGAAATATATAATGTAATATAAATATAATAGCAATTTTTACGAAATCGAGGATCGACGAAGCTAGAAAGTATATATGTACTTGTATATTACTATCATTTGTATAATAAAATTTTTTTTAAATTGTGCATTTTCTGGTGTGTGTATATATATATATAATATATACACACACATACAATGCATTTAAACACACGTTCGTTACTTATGATAATAATAATTCGTAGATATATACAAAGAGAAGATAAAAATATTTTACTGTTTCTTTTTTATATATGCTTTATAGTATCCTCAAAGTTTACATAAAAAGAAAACGAATCGTAAAGTAAAATAAATTATAAAAATTATTCAGTGGAAAGTCATGGTTTTATTATTTCAACAGCCAGTATGATTATTTGTGAGTAGAATGAGACATCAGTCACATTATCTTCCGAATTTTACACTTTGGCTTTGACAATATTATTAATAAAAAAAATTAATATACGAAATGTATGGTATATACAAGATATGCAAAAAAAAGGAAATGTTATACATCATACTTTTAATTTATGTACTTTGGCTCTTTATAAAAATATAGGACAAAACTATGTAAAATCGAAAATTCTTAAAATAGATGAATAGAAGAAAACATCACTGATGCAATATTTTTACATAAGAAAAACTGAATTTTTTTTTCTCTAAAATTAATATAATCATGACACAGATACAGATCATAAGTAAAAACATTTTTAGTGTAAAATCAGTAGCAATATTGAGTTTCTTAGTTAATACTCTATGTTAATATTCTAATTATAAACTTATAGATCCACATGAGATTCATATAATCTTTGCGCGTTTTCACATTCGAGAGATTTAATGTATTAAAAATAAGCTTAAATTTCATTCAAACACGCGCGTTTTAATACAGATTCCCACATGGTTTAATTATATAGACTCTAAAATATCATGTATGTGTTAAAATATTTGTAATATATACATTAGAGCTAATAGTTAGTATATCGTAAAAGCCTTTCTTGTCGAACTGTGTGAGAGATTCACATATATACATAATATTCTGTTCATAAATATATTAAAATATGGCTCGCTCGATTCTTCATCGCGGACTCGAAGATCTCAAATTTGATGCAATAATTTCAAACACACGAATATCTCATCAGATCATTTTCTCTCAATAACATACTTAAAAAATTCGTTCTACTGTACAACTAACAACGCGCGATTTCTCTCCCATTTGATAAATATATCTCAAATACTTCCTATCTCGATATAACCCTGGACAGATCTGTAATAAATAGTTGGATGCTATCTACTGGATCGTTGCTCTTCCGCAAGCGCTATCAATCGTTGCCGAGTTTTTTTATTGTTTTGACATGTTGCCGAAATCAATCCGACTAAATGTTTCACTGAGTATTCCTAGAAAACAATTATTATACATTAGTATTTTTTATAATTTATTATTTATACTAATTTATATTATATTTAATATTATATAATAATATATTATAATCTAATTTATCTTATTTATTAATATTTTTAATATTATAATAAATTTATTATATATATATATATATATATATATTTATATAATATATATTATACATATAATTTATATTATATAATATATTATATATATAATTTATCATATGTGGAGAAAAAAATTCACCTTAGCATCGCGCATTTATAATAATTACGAATTTTCAATACCTTGTGCTCCTTAATCCATTCTTCAAAGCTATTCTCAGGAAGGTAATACGCTTTAATATACAATTCGACATATTCCCTGTGCGGCATAGGTCTTAACGATGTCACATTTTCAAATTTGGACTTTAGCTGCGTGAAATCGAGCTGCATCAGAGCTCTGCCGCCATTCGAACACTTCTTAGCATTGGAGAACCTGGAATAGGACATTTCCCATCAATATGGATCTTTCATTTACAATATTATATTTGGTAACAAAAATTCTGCTACCCTTCCACTAAGGTGTGTGTAATCAAGTGAGCAACGTTTTCCCATACCGCATTGCATACATCTACATTTAAAGGAATGTACGTTCCAATAACGTTGAGTCTTTCATTCAAGGTGCATATTTCCTAGAAAAATAAATATATATATATATATATAAAATAAACAATTAAATTATAATATATATATAATACATTGTATATAATGTATATATATAAAATATATATGTACAATATGTAGTCGACTTGTTGCTCAACAGGTATACATACTTGGATGAGTGCATCGATATAATTGCTATGTTGAGACATGACGTCCGTCACTTCCCAGTTGACCTTGTTCATCAAGTTTAAGATGTTCGCGACGTCGAACGCCTGCGAAGCCACCGCCATGTAAACCGGTTTCCTCAGATCCGCGGTGGATGCTATCGTTTGCATGTAAAACTGATGTAAAAATCCTCTTTGGGGACTGTTGGCGATGAGATGCTCCAAGTAAGGTCTCAGGCCTTCGTACTGCTGTCCCAAGAAGATCAGAGACTCGACGGCAACGATACGTTCTGTTAATCCGTGAAGCTTCTCGGGCTGCGACAGATTCACGATGGACGAAAGCTGAGGTTGTCTCACTTTATCGCAATTCCCATTACCATTTTCCTCCATCGCGTCGTTCTCAGAGATGATCAGACTCTCTCTGATTCGTGTTAAGGATAACTTCAACTTTGGACTGTACAAGGAATCGCTGTTGATTTGCTGCAAACAAGAGAGATTCAGAGTATTTCAAACTACATTGTCCAGTCATACAATTGTATGAAAAATCATAATCAATGTAAACTTACAAGATCCGATGTGAAGAACAAGTGAACCGTGTAGAAGCACAATTCGAAGAACTGTATCATACTTTGGATGACGGTGACTGCGATTGATCGTAGAAGTCTTGACATTTGTAGGTACTTGCCGCAGACTCTCAGTATGCTTAACGTTGTATTTGTAACCATCGGTCCAGACTGTTTGAGTTTGCACTTCTTTTTGCTAACTCTAGCATGATCTGATTCATCAACATATTCATGCTTCAATTCATCCGGAATATCATCGTCGGACTCGTCCGAAAAATACGCAGGTAGATTAACCTAAGTGAGAAAAAAAAAGGTACATCAATACATTATTTTGAAAAGCATCCCAAGTAGCAAAGTGACGTCAAAATAACGTATACTTGCGCTATCTGGGGTATTAAGACATGTGTTACGTACAGGATGTCTCATAGGAAAATGCGGAAACTAATCAGCTGTCATTTCTTAATGCATACAGTATGCAGTTATTAAGAATTATTTTATTGAAAAAAGTAATGAAAAAAGTGCTAATAATTACATATGTAAACTAATGATAAATATTTTCAAAGTGCGCACTATTTGAATTTGTACAAAATTCTGTTCTTTTACGAAAACTCGTAAAAACTTTTTCTAACATATTATTTTTAATGTTATTGACGATCTTTTTAATAGCTATTAAATCTGGCACTGTTGAAAATATTTATCGTCAGTTTACATATGTGATTATTAGCACTTTTTTCATTACTTTTTTTCAATAAAATAAACTGGTATACAAACATTTTATTTATATCCATTAAAAACTGCAGACTTTCTTCTTTCCAACACAATTTTTGTTTTCTCAATAACTGTATGCATTAAAAAATGACAGCTGATTAGTTTCAGCAATTTCCTATGGGACACCCTATATATAATGACATCGTACATCATCGTTCACTAAAATATCTTCGTCCATGGTATCATCCAACCCTATTGTGAATGGCGACGAGCCGCCCTCCAGGTATTTCTGCAAGTCGATCCCCGTAGAAGTGTCGCTGTCGCTTAAATTCGAGCTGTCTAAACTGTTCCAGGTCTTGCAGTTGTTGAGCGAGGGCTTCAAGCTTCGAAACTCCAGCAACTGGGTGGCCACGAAGTTCGATTTCACAGGACACAATTCCCAGCCGTCGTTCTCCAAAAATATCCTCAACTCGTCCAAACGAGACGCATGATAATGAGAAAAGTAAGACAAGGATTGCTTTCTTATGGACTCCTGCAAGTTCTCCGATTTGAAGCAGAGTTCCTCCCCGATCTCCATCAATCTGCAATCGACAGGTATCTCAAAAATTATTTGTACTTACTGCGAATGATAAGAAATGGTCATTTATTCAGCTCTTACCTACCTGTTTACTATACTCAGTACTTGAACAAACTGTTCAAATTTGATGTCTGTTAAATCAGCATTTGTCAGGTAGACTGATATCTTCATTTCCACATCGTGCCACACTCTGGCCATACTGTTCTCCAATTTCTGCTTGACGTACTGTTTGCTGAAGGTTTCCTCTAAATTCTTAACGTCAGATTTACACTCCGGTTTATCCTCCTGCGCGTTGTGCCAATTTACAACTAGATAATACGAACTCAGTATCGTCCACAGCGATTTGCACAGCTCCGTGAGGCAAATTATATATTTCTCGCGAGGCACATCCTGACACAATTGTTTGTATTGTCTCTTCACGTCGCCTCCCGCGTGAGAGTGAATAACAGCGAACGCGGTGTTGTGAATGACGACACTGAAATGCATGTGCAACTGATCTATGGCAGCCTGGGTCTTTCCTAATAACGTGTACGCTTCTTGAATGGAGGAATACACGGCGACGTCGAATTTAGTGCACATCTCAAAAAGCGTACTGTCTAAGGCCCTTTCCGCTTGCTCCAAGATATCTTGCAGCTTTCCGCTCAACGCGTTGATACAGTGGAAGTGTTTGTACGTCTGAGCAGCGCTCTGGCATTCCAGAAGAAGCGATATAGCTCCGGGAAAATTACCTTCGTTCAGAAGTTCCTGTAGACGATCCCCCGTACGTTGCTAATAACATAATAAATAGAATTAGTAAGCAAAAAGATTCTCTTCTCATTTCATTTATAATGCAATGTTAAAATTTTATAATTTTATAGAGATCACATATATTTAAAAAATATAAATCAACTTACCAGGGTCTTTATAGTATTCAAACTATTTAACAGTTCTTCGACCACCTGTCGTCTCTGATAATTAGCTAATATACCTAAACTTGCTGTCGTAAATTGCTTTTTGGCCAATTGCAGATCTGCCCTTCCCATTCTACAGATTTCCAAGACATCTTGCAGCTGTTCCTGCAGCTGCAGAATCTTGTCGAATTCTGTATTACAAGAACTTTGTTTTTGTAAAATAAGCTGTAACACTTTCTTTGAGACAACTTGTTGTTGCTGCTTGAGCTTCTTGTGACGTCTCTCAATATCCTTGGAATGTAATATCGTTGGCAATTTTTCTAATTCGTAGCGAGACGGATCAAAAGTACCATCAGTGTTGAAGTAAATATCTTCGATGGACTCTAATATATCCTGATCTGGTACAGGCTCGCTTTCTGTCGACTGCTCGGCCTCGGAACGAAGATCCTCACATTTCTGCGAGTCAGGGGGGTTAAGCAAATCAGGATTCAAACCCATAAGCGGCACTTTAGTTGTGTTCTAAAAAAAAAAATTATGAATTATTATTTAAAGAAGTAATTTTTACATTGAATTTTATTTTCCTTAATCTTTTATCTTCTAATAATATTAAAAATGCATAATATGAAACTAAATGAATAATAGTTTCTTAAAATATACAAAACAATCAAGTAATATGTATATGTATGTACGTTGCATATATATTATGACATAAATTTCGAAATATGACGTAAATCATCACTCTATTCCTTTAAAATAAATAGGAAATCGCGCGAAGAGCGAGAAAAGCGACAAGTGACATTATTTGGCAGCGAAATGTCAAATTACAGTCGCATCAGCATAACCTGATCCAACTGCTGAATACATTTGACGAGGAAAGGAAGACTTGCCTGCTTATTGATGAGGCCGAGAAATTTAAACTTCAAATCCTCCATGATCTCGGATTGCATCGCGAAACGTCAAACGTCAAACGTCAAGCACAGACGCATCATCAGCTGTTCGCTCGCGCCGCTGCGCCTCCCAAATGTCAAAGTGACATTTCGCAGATGCATGCGGGAGCGTGGCAAAGTACGGGAAGATCATCGACCGGTCATCTCGATGATCTCGATCTCTCCTCGATTATTACTTCAAAATCGCGCGATTTGCTTTTTTCACCTCGAACACAAAAAAATCGTGGAAACTCGCTCCAGACGTGCGAAACGGCGCGGATTCTTTGTGGAAGATGTTATCGGCAATGATCCCTCTCGAAGTCGGCCGCGACAGGTTTTTGGTGAAGGGATAATAATTTCGGGTTTTCAAGGTTTCCGATAATGAATTCCCGAGCGAAACACGCCGCCACGTTCGGACATGCAGATGACACGAAAGACTGCGGCGCCTCTTTCGGCCGTTTCGCGCACTATTTCATCCTTTCATCAGTTTTGAAAGGAAGAAGCGTTGCTCCAAAAACCGACGTCTGAATCCCAAAATCTGGGTAAGAGCAACTTTATACAGCTTATACGCAACAAATAATTGAGTAAACAAATGGTAGAAAGAAAATGGCTAACGAAATCGCGTTTACGTATGAAAAAGAGATAGTGCTCTATCTTTATATGGTTAAGCGAAGAATATCGAATCAGGAAAATTTCATTTTTCAAGCGATATTTTATTTGAGACGACGAATGCATATATGAAACTTGTGGTATTTATAGTAATCGATTTTTTGCTGCACTCGAAATTATCTTTTTTTTTCGACCATATAGATGAATAAATGAAGAAGGAAAGAAATAGAAAGAGAAACGAAGGAGAGAAACATCTAGAAAGAGAAATGATAAGAAAGGAAAGGAAGGAAAAGGAGAGTAAGGTTATTAGGTAATAGAGATTATATTTATAATTAATATGTATTTAACATAACCACAACAAGACAATATAAATCAAGATTTTTATATTTCACAAAATCCTATTATATATATATATATATATATATATATATATAAATTCAAATTAAAAAGAAATTACTTTCTAACAATTAAAAAATATGTTGCATCATACGTTTGAAAATTTATTTCATCACATTTAAATGCAAATTTATATATAAATTTTAATATATATATCCCAGCAAACACAATATATAAATGTTATATACTTAAGCATGTTACATGTAACGTATATGTTAGTTGTAATTTCCCACACTCATAGATGTAACATTTTTAATATTACATATATTACATTGTAGTTATATTGTCATTATCCCAAGATAGCACTGACTTATCAATACATCAATGTGCTATTTGGTATATAATTACAATATAACTACAATGTAATATATGTTATATTAAAATGCTACATCTATGAGTGGGAAATTACAACTAACATGGATGTTACATGTAACGTACACGTTATATTACCTGTTATATTCCGTTTTATTATAGCAATGTAACAATTATATATCGGTGTTTGCTGGGATTTATTATAATTTATTATTATTTTATTATTATAATGCTATTATTTATATACATTTATATCACTCGTCTTATTTATTTGATAAACGAAAGTCTGACATTATATTACATATCTGCGTGAGATCATTGATTTTTTTGTACGTCAAGTTGAGTTTACGCATATATATAAACCACCAAATTATTTTTGACAGTTGTATATTACCTTAATGTATAATACAATAACTAATTATATATCCTCTCCTGTTAGAAGTTTGTTCTTTGTGTTAAAGTAATCGATATCGCCAGTGATGTATCATGATGTAAGTATACATACATGTATCATCTACAAGCGAACTATTAAATTCTATCGTGTTTCCGATAGAATCATCAAGACGAGAGATCATTAATTAAGAGTTTCGCGTTATTTGAAACCGTAACACATATCCTTGTATTATTTCAGGACATAATTACGGAATAATGGTATAATAATCCGGCTTTAAACAATTCAGGATGACTCGCCATGAAGTTACATATATATCATCATCCCCAAGCGCCGACATGTGTACGCTAATCGCCGGCATAAAAAGCGCACCTTGGGACAAAATGGGAAAGTTATCCGAAGAGACAGGAACGTAGCAACGAATTGCGGAGCATCGGATCAAGTAGCACATCAGAAATATACGCAATTTTCAGCAAACACAGTATATAAATGTTATATACTCAAGCATGTTACATGTAACGTATATGTTAGTTCTAATTTCCCACTCATAGATGTAACATTTTTAATATTACATATATTACATTGTAGTTATATATTGTCATCATATCCCAAGATAGCACTGACTTATCAATACATCAATGTGCTATTTGGTATATAATTACAATATAACTACAATGTAATATATGTTATATTAAAATGTTACATCTATGTGTGGGAAATTACAACTAACATGGATGTTACATATAACGTACACGTTATATTACCTGTTACATTCCGTTTTATTATAGCAATGTAACAATTATATATCGGTGTTTGCTGGGTTCCCTCGCGAGGCTAAGAGGTGGTGGAAATATCGGCGAGCCGACTGTGTATAAAAATTTCACGAACGAAAGGGAAGGAGAGAGGACGACGTACGGAGCCGCAGGAGAAAGAGGTAGAAATATATATGCTCGACTTACACTACTTAAGATAGCCTTCGCCATTGAGCGACGAAGGGGTTGAAATCGATGAGAGCGACTGAACGAGAGCGTGGGTGTTCCAGGGTGAAGTCGCGATCTCGCGCCCTCCGATTGGTCGCATCCGGCGTAACCTAGCGGCCGATTGGCTTCCCACATGGTCACCCTGGAGGAGGGTGACCCTCGCCCTCAGGTGAGATCCGCGGCTCGACACGCGTACACACGGCAGGTGCGTTCGCAGTGTGGCTGCGCACCCATGCACTGTCACACGCGCCAACGGGGGTAGAGAGGACTCCCCATATCTTCTCCTACGGGCGTAAGAAGAAAAAGGAAGTGGCGAGAACTTGAACGAGCGGAAGAAAGAGGGAAAAGAAGAGGAAAGAAGAGACTCTCTCGAGTGTGGAGAGAAAGGGCGAAGGGAGAGACCAAAGTGGTGGGAGCGACATTCATCCCCGCACGCGTATAGGGATATCACACGTATACACTAGCACTAGCTGGAGTCCTCTCTCGGGGCGAGGAACCTTGCGCGGGAGCTCCATCCTCCCCGAGGAGTCGCTCGAACACCTTGGTGGTGCACGCAAGTGACCAGCAGTGACACACACACTCTCTCTCTCTCTCTCTCGTAGGGTGACAGGATATACGATACAATCACCCTCGCTTCGTTCGTCCAGGAGAGAGTTCTTCGGGGGAGAGAGAAATCCTGGTGAGAAAAAAAGGAAGTCAAGGACGCCGAGAGAAAGCGGAAGTCGCGTCAAGAGGAAACACCTGTCAGGAGCGCTCGCGAAGAAAGTGAGAGGATGGTACGGAGATTCTGCAACGGCGCGGTTGCACTTGGCATCGCCCTGACGGCCTGCGCCGCCTTTCCGCGCGCCGTCATGGCGATCGACCTCAGCCGCTTCTACGGCCACATCAACACGAAACGCTCGGGTAAGTGATTGTCAATGAGGGATGCTCTCGAAAATGGGGGGCGATCATCGTGCGGACGGAGAGATAGAAAGAGGGATTGGGAGAACAGCTGAGAACGCGAGGCGTGAAAACGTCTGCAAATAATTAATGTAATATATATAATAATTGTATTAAAAAATGTTATAAATAAAAACATGTAATATATAATATATAAAAATATGTATTTTTATGTATTATATTTTTTATACAATTATATATATATATATTATAATTTATTTATAATTTATTTTAATATAACAAATATAAAAAAAATATAATATAGAAAAATATATAAAATAAATATATATATATATATATACAATAAATATTTTGATAATATATGATCGCTTCTTTGGTGACATTATGCATACATTTTGTTATTAACATATAATGATAAAAATACGAAGAAAAAGTTGCAGAGAAAACATGCGTACAATATATCGATTATATTATGTAAAATAAATGTTACAGAAGTGGACAGAAGCATCTGTACAAGATGTAAATTTCTTGACGGACTTCGAGAAAGCGTTTAATGAACCTTTAATTGTGAACAATATTTAATTGCAAAGTGTTTAAGTAAAAATAAATTGCACACGCAGCTTTTTCAAACTTATAACGATACTGTAAATCTTTTTTATCATGTAAATTTATAATGCAATTTTAATTTACATTTTGTATTTTCTACAGATATTTCTCTCTATCTCTGTCACATTTATTTTACATAATATAATCGATATGTTATATACATGTTTTGCATGCAAATTTTTCTCCATGTTTTTATTATTACGTTATAATAAAGTATAGAATTATAAAGAAAATAAACGAATATTACCAACATTTATTAATTATTTTCAGACGTTTTGCCTCAACATTCTCAGCTATTTTTTTCAAAATTTTAATATTTTTTTAATAATATTTATCTTTACTCTAAAATGCAAAATAGAGATTTCAAAGAAAAAATCTTGAACAAACTATCCGACTGTTTATGATATTCTTTTATATATTTTTTATAGAAAATGTATCAGTATCTGACAAAACGTTTCAGTTTTTTAGCGACGATGAATTTTAATTAATAATTCATCAATGATGCACATTAAAATAAATAATATAATAGTAGCGTAACTCATAGATGTAACTAACTCGTATCTGTCTGCGCAAATATGACATTTACTACTGCAACCGCAAAAGTGCTCTACCACGGGAAAATTAATTTGCATCTCACGTAATTATGAAATTTTCTAATTGAAGAAACAAAGACGGTTATTAAATGTGTAAATCAGATAAGTTGATCCAGCAAGAAAACTAATTAACGAGTCCGCTCTTAATTCCTTCGCTTCTCCTGTCGGGCTATAATTAGAATGTTTCACTTGTTAGATATACTTTGGCGGTATAATTTAATGACATATTTTTTTGGGCGCGAAAATTTTATAACAAAATTTAATTTACTTATCAATGCAACTGTAAATCAATGTTTGTATATAGTTATATAAAATTTATATAATTATTTAAATAATTCAAATAATTATTAAAATAATTGTGTAAATAATTTATATAATTATATAAAATTTATATAATTATTTAAATAATTCAAAGAATTATTCAAATAATTGTGTAAATAATTTATATAATATATAATAAATAATAATTATATATTTATTTCAGAAAATAATCATATAACATTCTCTCTCTATCTCTTCCTCTCGCTTGAAATTAATTGAAGATCACGTCAGAGATTATGAAGAAAAAAAAGAAACAATATAAAGGACTCCTACGTGACGTATGAAACGTATGTCATGTAGAAGCTTAAGCTTACGTACCTTGTTAGTGAATAAATATTTTACATCTCATGCCTACGCGCGGGCTGCTTAGGAGGGATGGAGGCTTCCAGGAAACAATACTCGGCCCCCTTTGCTTATCACGCTCCTTTTCTAACATCCATTAAAGTTAACGGGTGCGGAGGACGCGATATTATGACAGGGCTGTATTTCGCTGGAAACTCCACATAGCATATGGGAGTGTGCTCTCTGGCGGATATAGTTATAAGGTCGGTCAATAACGCGCGTACTTGGCGTACCGAGTCGTATATAAGTCGCGTTTATACGCCGCTGATGACATTTAGAAAAATGCGTTTTTTCTTTTTTTTTTTTTTTTACTTGACTTGTCATCCAGGGTCGCGAAGAGGATCAAACGCGTCAGCGATTCTCCGTTTTAATATAAAGTCGCTGTCTAGCTTCCCTTTAACCTGCGCATGTTTATCGTTTTATCGACGATTCATTTTGCGAAATGAAATGTGTCTTTCAAATCTTACCGAGAAATATATTTTTCATCGAGTCGAGTTTCTCTCTCTCTGTGTGGAAAATTTATATTTTAATTGAAATGAAAGAGAGAAAGAGAAAATAGGGCAAAAGAGAGTTTTTTTGGGCAAAAAATTGATGATAAAAGCTAGACAATTTTTCAATATTTTATCTTTCTTTATCAATAAATTTGAGTAAATAAGGAAAAATATATAAATTATTTCTGATAAATAATTCCAGGCATACTTTTGTCGAACAAGAAGCTATTTATAATCTTTATCGAATGTGAAAAAGCAAGAAAAACAGATACAAAGTATCAATATATTTTTATTCAAATAAAGTCCAGGAAATGGGAGTTCTAAATTATGATTGTCGATAAAATGAAACATTTATTTAAAATTTCTTGCATTTGACGTCCATATATACATATTTTTTTACCGTAAAAAAATACATACGAGTACAATCTTTTTTTTATAAATACTCATATCCTTGTTTAAATATTCATATATATATATATATATATATATATATATATATATATATATATATATGAGAAAGCAAAAAAATATAGATCATCTCTTCAAAATTTATAATATTATTTTGTATTTTATTAAAAATTTAAGAATATTTTAATTATTATTTTTAATATTTTTAAATTTGCAATTTAATATTTTTTATAAAATAAAACCTTTTTACAAAAATTATTCCTCTATAATATTTTTTATAAATAGTTCATATGATATTCTCTGAAAAATAGATCCACACACAGACATACTTTTTTCGAATGAGAAGTCATTAATAATTCTTATTGAATGTAAAAGAGCAAAAAAACCCGGAAATAAAGTATCAATTTATTTATCTATTCAAATAAAATTCCAGGAAATAGGAATTCTAAATTATGTCACGAGGAGGGATGATCGTCCATAAAATGAAATACATTTATATTTAAAACGTCGTATATATATATTTCTTATCGTAACAAAAAATATATACGCGTGACAATCCTTTTTAAATATTCCCCAGCCGATCATTTCATTCGGAATACATTAAGGTCTTTTGGTCTCTCGGGAGCATAAATTCTGTTTTCTCTGGGGAATCAACGCTTCTCGTTGATCGCTCAAATATTTATTTGTAATATTGCTAAACGAACTTGTTATATTAAATGCGCCAAGGTCTCACACATTTGAAAAAATTTCTGTTAAATTTAACATGTCTCAAAAGACAGAATTCCACAGAAATTTTTGTGTTAATTTAACATAATATGCAGACACGAATACTCTGTGTGTTAATATTTTAACGCAAAATAAATGCAAAACTTCAAGTAATTTCAAATAAATTTCGTGTGAAATTAAACATAGTTTTAATGTAAAAATGTTAATTTTAGATTTTACATTCCCACTTATAATTATAAAATAAAAAATCAACATTTTCTTCTGTAAATTTTAGCAGATAAGTCTTGTCTCTTATAAAACAGAACATTTATTTTGTAAAATTAAAAATAGATGCATATTTACTTTGCATAGTTACTTTTTCATCCTTTTTTAGCTGTTTTAATAATTAAAAATTTAATTAACACAATATGTTAAATTAACACATGAATGTGTTAAATATTTAACACAAATTTTAACAGGGTCCATTTTTAACAAGAAAACACAAATTTTCCAATCAACACAAATGCAGAAAAAATCACGAAATTTAACAATCACACGTCTTTTAATATCAATCAGGTCTTCAATTCCGCAAAAATCCTTGACGATTTAATTGCGGTAAATTTTGCGATTAATTTCGCCAACAAAGGTCTTCTCTCATTGATTAAACGTGGGCGTTTTGTGTAAACATTTGAGGAAGAGAAATATTCTCGCGGAGTAATTTAATAAAGTTGATGGAATATCTCGTTTCTCTTTTTTTTACGCCGAAGAGAAAATCGAATTAGTCGAACATACGCGGTCAGAATTGACCGCAGGGGCTTTGCGAATATGACGTCACATCGTGCTCGTATTTGTAAATTGTGTATAATTGAAGTGCGTGAAACAAACGCGTAGGCGATTATGTGTATATATATATATATATATATACATATATATATATATATATATATATATATCGCGGATGTGTGGCACAATATTACACAATCGATCGATCGAAACGACCGCTGGCGACGGGGTGACGCAAATTATGTTTATGCTTTCATTATTTTATTAGTGCCGCAAATCCGGAGAGAGATGGCGAAATATTTTCTTTTGTCCGACATACAATAATAGAGACAGCCGCTCGAAATAAAAATAAAGGATCAATTGAAAGAAATGTACGGCTGCCAAAGGTTAAATGGTACGATATTTTGCATCTTTGAATAGAATATATTTATAGAGAGAGAGAGAGAGAGAGAGAGAGAGAGAGAGAGAGAGAGAGAGAGAGAGAGAGAGAGAGAGAGAGAGAGAGAGAGAGATCTCACGTAAAACATTATACAGAATATTTCCTCCTGAGACTATTAGAGATGAAAGCTCTCTTTTCAGGACTTTCGCTGGATCTTTTATATATTACATCCGCATTTATGTTGACCTCCGCACGGAGAGATAGAAGAATTCTTCGGGGCAAAAACTTTGAGAGACACTTTATTTTTGAAATGCCGGAAGACACTCGACAGTTTACATTTTTCAAAAGTTTCCGTAAAATTCGAAACTCCACATTTTCTTCAACCATTTTCTCTTTTCGAATAAACAGAGAGAAATATGTCGGAATTAACCTTTCTGTTTTGCTACGAACTCTTTGTATTTCTTGTATTTTTGCTTTTTTTGTATTTAATTATGTTAGTAATAATTTAATTATTCGGTTTTTGTTTTTTAGTATTTTTCTATTATATATATTATATTAATTTTTTCCTTTATTTTGTTAATTTTTTATGTACGTAAAAATAGAACTAATTTTTCATTGTACATCTCACTGCAAACTCCTTGGGGATACAATAATATTTATTCTATATAATGTAAATCCTTTTTGTCAGTACGCAATTTTTTATATATTATTCAATAATATGAATATTAACCATACATTTTTGCTCTGTAATGTTTTATAAAAAAACAGCTGCTGGGCATCGAATATTCTTTCTTATACCATAATGTAACATTTCAGGAATATTTTCACCGAATATTCAATAACAAAATTTCGTTGTGTCTTATTTCCTAGAAAAGTTCCGACATATTTTTAAAAAATTGCTTCGCTCATTAACAGAAAAGGGTTAAATGATTCTTTTTTAAAATATCATTAAATATTGTGCACCGGTAATGGAGCACAACAGCTGTCGCGTGAGTCGAAAATGCGGTTGCGTGCGTTTCTTCAATTAATGCAAAAGCTTCTCGTGCTGGCGCATAATTCGCGTTTAATTCCGCTTTAGAGATCCCTGGCTTTATCGTCATAATTTAATCATCCCGCGAATCACCGAAATGAACACATGTCGCGCCCCTTTTGAACTTTCACTTCCGGAAGGTAATTAAACCACCGCGTGTGTATAATATATATATGCACTTTAAACTTCCTGTCAGTGCATAATGTTTCACCTTGCTATCAATCTATAAATACATAGTAATTTTATGGGCATCAAACATTTTGAGTAGCAAACTGACGTCATTAAACGTCAAATTGTCATTTTGACATTAGATGTCATTTAATGACATTTAATGACAGGAAAAAGAATCCCAAATAAAAAATTGACGCCATTAAACGTCAAAATGTGATTTTGACATCTAATGACGTCAGAATGATGATGCTTGCTATTTGGGACTTTAAGCTAGGGGATTTTCCGAATGCAAAGATTCTTTGTAATTTGTTTCGAGCAAAGAAAAGTTCTGTTTTTGATATTTAAAGGGTATTTGTTCACTTACAGAAGATTTAGGGTAATAATAAAATTTTATTAAATATATGTATAATTGCGAATAATCTCCGAGAAGCTTAGTTTTGCGAAAAATTCTGTTTTTAATCGAGAAAGATTATTATTATTTGAAACAAAAAATATAAATCAAGGTTGTAAGTTTTAATTGATCACATTGGCTAATAATAAAAGATTGTTTACTAAAAAATATAAACTAATAAATAAATTTACAAAGAAAAAGAAATAAATTCCAAATAAAAGATAGCTTTATGGGCATTTAACATTTTTTTTGTTATATATTTTCTAAATGTTTTTTGTAATTTTTATTTCGAGTCGAAAAAAGCTCCCTTTTTGATATTTGAAGGATATCCGTTCACTGACAGAAGATTTAGGATAACAATAAAATTTTATTAAATAATTGCGAATAATCTTTGAGAAGTTTAGCTTTGCGAAAAATCCTGTTTTTAATTGAGAGAAACTATTTGAAACAAAAAAAATATAAATCAATAAATTTTACAAAAGACAAAAAATAAATTCCAAAAAATAGCTTAATGGGCATTCAACATTTTTTTTGTTATATTTTAGGGGATTTTTTTGAATGCTCTTTTTTATTTCGAGCAAAGAAAAGCTCCCTTTTTGATATTTAAAGGATATCTGTTCACTGACAGAAGAGTTAAGGTAACAATAAAATTTTATTAAATGATCGTGAAAAATTTCCGAGAAGTTTAGCTTTGCGAAAAATCCTGTTTTTAATCTAGAGAAACTATTATATATATTTGAAACAAAAAAAATATAATTTAATAAATAAATTTAATAAATAAATTAATTAATAAATAAATTTACAAAGGAAAAATAATAAATTCCAAATAAAAGAGATAAATTTTTATCACACATTTTTGACATTTAAAGTTGCTGCTGACACCCCCAGCTATCTGTTCATTGATAAAAGAGCTAATTTCGTTTCGCATTTTCTCTCTCGGGAAAAATGCGCATATTTACACAGAAAAAACAGTATCTTTGAAAGAATGCAAATATGCCTTGATTCAAGTATATTTTATCCTTATAATAGCGCCAAATATAAATAATTTTGGATAAAGGATAATTTATCCTTAAAACAAAGTGCAAAATATTCTTGTTTGAAGCTGAAATTTACTTATAAATATTGCAAGGACAAGTGAGCATCGGATATAAGCGGTATTTTCAAGTATATATAATAATTCTTAGTTCAAATGTGACTAAGTTTGTTTTTATCATATGCGATTTTTAAAACAAGAATATATCTTAAGGATAAAATGTACTTTACACAAACTTATTTATTATTAAGACAAATGAAAATTTGTGATTACAAAGAGCATTCTATGCTTAAATCAATCAAATAGCGGTCAAGAATAAAAATATACTTGAATCAAGGATTCCTTTTTTTCTGTATACGTCACATTTTTCATCCTTTATTCAGGTCAACTCAGACATCTTTATACATCTTTTCAGATGCTTGCCACCCGTATGAACCGTTCAAGTGCCCGGGCGACGGTATCTGCATCTCGATACAATATCTGTGCGACGGGGCACCCGACTGTCAGGACGGATACGATGAGGACTCGAGATTGTGTACCGCAGGTGAGCGAGACAATTAATTTAATGGAAGCAGCGCGCAATTAAGAGGGTAATGAGAGATTCATAATCTAATTGAATTACACTTACAATTAGCGGAGTTGAATCTCTTCGATTTAACTCTGCGTTTTATTATTAGACACAGTCAATGAATTCATTTGTACTCACAATATGTGAGATCGATTTTTCTTTTCTTATTTTATATTTTTATGTATTTTTTGATATATTTTTATATATGTGTATTTTATATCCTTTTTTCAGTATTTTTATATTTTATATGTATTTTTGATATACAATATTATATATATATATATATATATATATATTATATCCTTTTTTTATATTATATTTAATATGTATTTTTGATATATTTTTTATATTTGTATTTTATATCCTTTCTCTATATTTTTATATTTTATACATATTTTGGATAAATTTTGTATATATGTGTATTTTACATCCCTTTTATATTTTATATGTATTTTTAATATAAATTTCTCTCTCATTCACGTGTATCGAGTAATTAGTACGCAATTTAATCTGGATGTATTACATCATGTTGTAAACAACATTAACGTTTTGCAAAAACAATATCGGATGTACCCGATGACGTACTGTGCAACTGCACCGAAGATCATAACCAGAGTGAGGGAGAGGGAGGTATTCTCTGTTACGGTTGCGTCTGGTTTTATCTCTCTTTTATGGATTGTTCTAAAATATCGATTAATCGAGATATAGTTGCTTCCTTATCTCTCTCTCTTTTTTTTCAGAGAAATATGGGAAGAGAAAATTATATTAATTAAAAAATTGTATTTTATTATATAAATATTAAATTTATATTATACATTTTATTTTATTTTTTATTAATTATTTAATATTATACACATAATCATATTTATGTGAGAAAGGGAGAGAAAAACGACGCTGTGTAATGACTCTCTATGCACTATTTTATTTTATTTTACGACTCGCTTTTTCTCCTCCTGTTTTGCAGCCAAACGACCACCCGTAGAGGAAACTGCGAGTTTTCTGCAGTCTTTGCTGGCGAGCCATGGACCCAATTATTTGGAAAAGCTGTTCGGTACCAAAGCGCGGGATACGCTGAAACCTCTCGGTGGCGTGGAAAAAGTGGCCATTGCGCTGTCCGGTAAGTTTCTGTTAAATTAAATTAAGATGAAATGCGAAATAAAGATACTAGGAATTTTGCAATGCACGGAGAGCCCGTGCGCAAAATGCAAATAAGATAATCAATGATCCCTTCAGTTTATTATAAAGAGGGTAGCAATAAAATCTTATATAATATACTTTATATAAGATATATAATATATTATAATATATTATATATATATATGTATATATATTTATTATATTATATATATATATATATATACTATATTATAACATATATATTATATATATATATATATATATATATATATTATAGATATATAATATATTATAATATATATTATATTTTATTATAATATTATATATTTTCTATTATATATTATATTTATCCGGACATCAAGCAGTTTTCCCGGTATATTTTAGGTTTTTTACGAGTACAAAGATTCTTTATATTTTGTTTCCTGCGTAGAAAAACTCCGATACACATTTTGAACACTTAAAATTGCTTCGAGTATCCAAGTACTTTTACTGTTATATAAACCTGTCTTCCATTTTTTAAAGACGAATTAAAATATAAAGACACATATTAAGAGCATATTTATTTATTAAAATATACGTATATTAATAATTAAAATAAACTTTAAGAAGATATTAAAATTACTTAAAGAAGACATTGTTGATGCAATAAGAAACATTAAAGAAATTGTGCAATTTTTTACTAACTCAGGATTACACAAGAACATTCCCAGGTAGCAAATTAACGTCATGAAACGTCAAAATGACGTCAGTTTGCTACCTAGGTTCTCGTCCAGCAAAAGGTTTCTTCTTATCTCACCATTATATTTTACCTTTGAATTTTTGATCCGATCCTCTCGCGACTTTGGCATTTTTGTTTACATCCTGGTGTCTGGTTCCATTCAGAATCGCAGACGATCGAGGACTTCGGCGCGGCGTTGCACCTGATGCGCTCAGATCTGGAGCACCTGCGCTCGGTCTTCATGGCGGTGGAGAACGGCGACCTGGGTATGTTGAAGTCGATCGGTATCAAGGACTCCGAGCTGGGCGACGTCAAGTTCTTCCTCGAGAAGCTCGTTAAAACGGGCTTCCTGGATTGAACGGCACCCGTCAACGTCGCAGTCACCGACGACAGGTCGCCGTCGTCGTGTCGCATCAGCAGACCCTTTGTTTGACAAAGCCTAAGTCTCATTCTTCTTTTCGCGGACTCTCTCTTTCTAAGTTTCGCGGACTCTCCCTCTTTCTTTCGTCGCGACTTCTTTCTCGCGCCCGGGACACGTAGATCTTCGCTTTCCTCTTCTTTCCTCCTTTTCTCTCGCGAATCCTCTTCCGTTCTCGCTTTAACGCAATCATCGAGCACCGAGATGATCATGGAGATTTCTAGCCAGTCTGTTTAGGGAAAATGCAGTTATTATCGGGAGATGCGGCTAATGACTTAGTTAGCTTCCAAGGTAGCAAGCATGCGTCATTGAACGTCAAATGACGTCACTAGACGTCAAAGGACGTCGTTTTGACATTTAATGACGTCAGTTTGTTATTACTTGGGTTATAATCTCTCTCTAATAATTATATTAGATTATTATATTATATAATATAATAATTATATAAAATATAATATAATTATTATATTATTTATTATTATATTAATGTATATTATTAGATATTTTTTTTAATTTTAAATTGAAAACATCTAAAATTGCTAAATTGATATATGCAGTCCATTTTTATTATTTTATTTTGTAGCTTTTTTTTACATTATTAATTCTAAATAATATTACGCAATAAAATCGCGAATGTTTCGGCAAAAATCCTCTTCTAATGTTCCTTAGTTGCGTGTCAAAACGCAATCTCTCTTCATGTGAACAAATAATATGAGCTTTCAGTCGACCTATTTCTAAAATATTGAGCTTCCTCTCGTGTATCTTGCAACTACTACACTATAAACAGGACACTCTCACCCCGATGCGCATACGTGTGTCCCGATTTTATTCGACCTTTATCTTATTCAGTACTGCTACATACGTCGTCTTACAGAAGTGATGAACGACAATCGTTCGCGGTCGATGCAATCGTTCGACAGTTGTGCATTTCAATTATTTAAAGTAGCACACGAATCAACGGGTGTAAATTTTCTTTCAATTAACGGTTTCAAATATCGGTGCATTAGAGGAAGGAGTTTATATATTCGTCTAAACTTAATACTATTTATTATCCAATCTTCTGAAACTTAATAAGCCGTCACCAGGAGATTGCTACCTCCAAGTTTCAGGAAGAAGAAACTTTGTAAGCGGAAACTCGTGATCGGGAAAAGTAATCGCGCTCGAGCACGGCAAAGTGCTTTTTAATGAAAATTTCATTACTTCTCCGGGAATTGAATTTTTAACGGAATATAATCCTTATCAGTGTTGTGCTTAGATCATTTAAAAATTAACTAGATAAAAGATGAGATGAAAATATGTAAATTCATAGCTTAGATAAGACAAAGATGATTTTGTTTTAAATATATATATATATATATATATATATATATATATACAATATATAGATGAAAGATAAAATTATATGGCGATTCATCAATATAGATAATTTCCAGATGATATTATTTTTAAGACCGCTTATGTAAACACAGTTATAAAAAAAATGTAAATTATAAAAGGGATATAAAAATATATTTACATTTTTAGTTATAAGTTTTTATAAATACTATAAATATTTATAAAATTTATAATTAAAATATTTATTTAAGTATTTTTATGTGCTGTGACTCTAAACCAAATTATCTGAACATTATTCTAGATAATTTATTAAAGATAACACTTATTCATCCAAGATACAGATAATACATATTTTTATTATCTATATAAAGATAAGATGACGCCAAAATTTCATCTATATCATTTTATTTAGAGAGCACTAAACACTGATCCTTATAGAATGCAATTGTATGATAGCTTGCTCCAAAAATAACTTTGTTTTTCTGAAAGTTGCACAACTATCGAACTGATATGGCGGATTTAGAGGCGAGGGCGGGTGAGAAGTCGCATTTATATATTCTTACAATTGCTTCTGCGTGAAAAAAAAAAGAAAAACCGCAATAACATTCTTGTTATTTTCTCGTTATATCTTTCTAACGCAACCGAACGAACCAATGCTGTGAATTTTTTGTTACATTTATTTATAGAGTATATATATTTACGTTATATATATATATATATATATATATATATTTATAGAGTAGTAGCGTGTATTGAGAGACGATATATATATATATATATATATATATATATATATATATATATATGTATATAGCTTTTATTCGAATTTAGACGATTTACTGCTGGAACAGTATACTGATTTGAAATTGATGTTCTCTCCTTCACGTGTATATTTTTTAAGCTTGCAGCTTTATGTATATTACCGCAAAAAATCGCTCCTATTCGCGAATATAAGTTTCGCGACACAACTCTCTGCAAACGTATTTGAGCATACATACATTTAAAAAGAAAAAAGAAATAAAAATGTAGCAATAGATATACACACATATATAAATGTCCGTACCGAGATACTCTTTGTATTTTTCGCTGCGCATTTGATGGGTGAAGTCTTCAATGCCTTGATCAATATATATGGCACAGATTCGAGTGTAAGACGAGAAATGGAGACGCGAGTGAAAATATATATCGTCTTTTGGGTGCTCTTGATTTTTCTCGGTGCGTATTAAAGGTATAACGCAAAGTATAACACCCAGGTAGCAAGCTGACGTCAAAATGACGTCAGCGACGTCAAAAACGACGTCAGCGACGTCAAAATGACGTCATTTTGACGTTTAATGACGTCAGCTTGCTACCTGGGACACATACACACGCACTTATACAATAAAGAAAAAAATACACACACACACACACACACGGTAATGTCGAATGTGTGTATGTGCGCGTTTCGAGAAAATATGGGTACAAAAGGATAAATAATATGGAGCATCGCGTCGCGTATTCTTTCAGGGTATGACGCGTATTTTACTCACTATATAGGAGAAAAGATTATATATATATATATATATATATATATATATATATATATATATTATTATTATTGATATTTTCATTACGGCAACACGATACATATCAGTACACATACATATCAATGAAAATGATATTATATTAAAAAAAATATATTATATAATAAAAAGTATAAGGAGAAATGCGGATTCTCTCGAGGTAGCGCTTTTCTTTCACTTCGAAGAGAGAGTAAATTAACATCGTACTTATATACGAGTTATAAATTTATATATATATACACATGTAAAAATTGTAATATTCGTGACAATCGAGAAATGGCGGACGTATATGCGAGTCTGACGAGGCTTTTATCTTTGTACCTCGAGAGAAGAACCGTCGAGAGATGAAGTAATATGATGACATATCTACTTATCATTAAGCGTATCTTCTAATAGAAAATAATTGAGACATATCTTCTAATTAATAAGCGAATTTAAAGATATATATACATATATGTATATAATATACTGCATATATATATTATATATATACATATATATAGCGAATCATATATATATACATATCAACAGAGAAAATCACTTTTATCAGATGGTAGATAATATTTTGGTATATAAAGAAGAAAAAAGTGTAATATTCCCTCCAGATGTCAATTACGGTCCAAAGTAGGGCCTGGACCGAGGGCAAAATCCGAGGGAACTTGTGTGTGTTAGCGAACAACCCGAAAAGGGGATATCAGATCGAGGGGTCATGGCGCGACACTTCACTCTCTCTCTCTTTCTCTCTCTCTCTCTCTCTCTCTCTCCCTTTTCCGCTTCGTGCCTTGACCCTTTGGCCCCAATTTCGAATCGTAAGTTATAAGGTCAAATCTATTTCTCCCTCCCGAGAAAGGCAGACCGGAATTCCGACACAGTGCAACCTCTGATATACATATATATATATACGTAAATGTACCATGTGTTTATCCATCGTCTTGGAATGATAAGAGATCGTATACCCTTTTGTTCTTTATATTGTATTTTTTTTTTGGTTTTTTATAAGAAGAATAGATATGAAAAGATTTGTAATATATTGAGCGAGAAAAATTAATCGAAATTTCTATGTTGTAGATGTGTTTCGGGGAAACGATTTTTTCATTTTTTTTCTTTAATTTTTATATTTATAGAAACATCAATCTTTATATTAAACAATAGCTTGTTTTCTGTCATTTAATTATTTTTGCCAATATAATTTAAAAAATGTATACTATATGATATACATCTCTTTTTCAAGAAATTGATCTTTTTTATCCAAATGATGTATTGTGCTATTATTATTATGTAAACCACAATTAGATTTTAATTTTTTAATGAAGAATAAATTATGTATTAAAGAGTGACGATTTTTAAATTAGCATTTAGTCGAGAAATTATTAATATTTATTGAAACTTCTTTCTATAAATATATCGCCTATTTAATTAATTATCTTAATTTAAAAACGCAACAATAAAATTATAATTATAATAATAATTTGATCGTTCCAAAAAAATTGTCGATCCGTCCACATCGTTTCGCTTAATAAATAATATGGTTGTTCATTATTTTATTGTGTATCCTTTTAGCATTACTATTCTAACAAGAGGCTCGCAATGCGAATGAAAATAACTAAATTATAAAATAAAATTTGCAGAAAGATTATAACATATGTTATATTTCCTGATGCCTCGTGCAAGAGTTAATCAGTTCTGCATAATAGAACGATTGTAATCTACCAAATGGAATATATCATAATAAAATACTTTCATGGATATTTATTTATTAATTGCGCCAAATTGAACAAAATCCTTCGTTATATATATTTAATCAAATTTCCAATTTAACAATGTTTTATGTATTTTAATATTTAATAATTGAAAATTAATAATAAGATCTGGAAATTGTAATATCAATATTGGAAAGGAAAATAATTACATTCTCTCCTACAAATTTGTGGAAGATCCGGAAGATGTCTGCTATTATATGCGTGCGCGTTATTAATTAAACTTGATTGAAAAATAATGTAGTATTTTTTGCAGGTATATGCGCGATTATATATATATATATATATATATATATATATATAAAATATGTATACACACGTGTTATTTAATTCGTTATTGTTTTATTACTTTTATGGCTCTTTTATAATTGGTGCGTGTGTTGCGTTATATATATATATATATATTATTATAATATACATATATATATATATATATATATATATATACACACACATTGTGCTCTCTTAAACGTTAAGTTAATCAATAAACTAAAATGATATTATATAAGGAACATGTGTAATCTTCAACCTTTTGTCATTTCAAATTGATGGAATAATATATACGGCGCATGTCTGCGAATATTTTATATACATATATATATATATATATATATATATATAAAATATGTGCAGATACATATATGTATAAAAACGACCACCTTAATTGTCGAGATTTAATCATGTGATAATGTACTAAAATGTGTCTCACGCACCCTGGTATTATATATATATACATACACTGAAAACAAATTTATTGAATTGGAATAAATATTTATTTCAATACTGCATAATAAATCATTTATTTGGAATTAATAAAAATAATAATAAATAAGAAAATATATCTCCCTTTCAAAACGGATAAATATTTATTTATTTCAAATGAATGATTTATTAGGCAGTATTGAAATACATATTTATTAATTTAATATTTTTTTTCAGTGTATATATGTTACTTTTCGCAAATTTTTAATTGTTCTACTGCCAAAGCGTTTTCTTATTATACGGCAAACTGCGACATTTTACTATACGTACACTGTAATCAATCCTCCTTCCTTTCTGCTTCTTCAAATTTTTGTGTATATCCACTCCTTTTCTATTCTACTGAATACAGCGTTCTTGGAAATAATTTTGTCGCGCGATAGCATAATCATTAATAAATAAAGCGAAACGTTTCCTCAGTTTTAATTGTTAGACTTCAAATTATATATACAAACCACGCCATATCATCGATTTTATATATAATAATACGTGAAAACGTTTTATTTTTATTAAAATAGAAGACTTATTTTTTTTATAATTGTTTTCTCACATATTATTGGAAAAATAGTTTAATAAAAATTCTCAGATATATATGATATTAGTTGAGAATTATTATTCTTTTATATGAATATTTTGTTAAATGTAACAGTTATAAATAATATCAATGATAATTACAAAACTGTTAAAAGTAATTATTTTATTTTATTCGATACACTTCACGAAACAATTAGAAAATTACAATTCTAAATTATATCTTCTAATATTATATATTTGCTTTATTTAATGTAATTTAATTTATTATAATATATATTATTCTAGTTTTCTAGTTCTAACATCGTTTTCAAAATAAAATCTACATAAAAATTCATTTTAGTAAACAAATTTTTAGGGTTTTTTTTTATTTTGTACGGTGACGTCCACGAAACTGTATAATAAAAATGTTTTTTAATAAAATAATACGTTAATAAATATATATAATATTTCAATATAAATCTATCAAAATTTTAAGAGACTATCGTGACTTATTAAAAAATAATAAAAATTGCACATAATTAGAAAAGAATCTGCAAATGAAATATACAATATATCAGATTGACAGAAGATAGAATAAGATAATATACAACATCGAGATTTTTAATAATTAAATTATTATTTTGTTAATAAAATTCAGAATTATAATAAATAAAAGTAATATGGAAAAAATAAAATCGTAGAATTTTTAAAAAGAAATTATTAAATGATAGAAATATAAAATGTAAAATACCTATTTTATATTTTGGATTTGAAATACATCCAAATTTTCAAAACTACATTTTACATTTGTATTTAAATGATTTTTATTACCTGTTTTTTTTTTTTATTTCAAATACTCTTTAAAGAAGTCATTAAGTAAATGTCTGCAAATAATCAACTTTTTTTATAATTCCATTTTTTATATTCCATCAACATTTTTTATAATTTTTAAAACAAATAAATTTATATATAATTTTTTATTTCTTATTTATATTAAAAAAAGATTTACATTTACAAAATTTTGATAAATTTTTTTTCCTACAAACTTAAAATTTCTCTCAAAAAATTCTCAGTACGTTTCAAAATTTTAAAACTGCGAAACGCGCGCGCCGCGCGTGACGTCACGCATTCGTCCTCGCACACGTGACGCTTGACAGCCGCGCAGGCGCGCGCTCGCACAACATATCTGTCCCTCTCTCTACGCCAACGCGTAGTGCGCCTCCTCGTCGTCGATTTTCGTCGCTTCGCGCGTTCGCGTCTCCCGAGCCGTGGAGAGGGTCCCGTATTTTCCCGAGCGCCTCCCGGAGGGACAACCCACTTCTCTCTCTCTCTCTCTCTCGCGAGAAAAAAAATTATACAAATCTATGCATTAGCGCGCGACCGGGCGACCCGGAACGGAGGAGCGTCAGGACGCGACGTCGACCCATATATTTTTCTACACCTCCGCGAGAAGGGCCATGTAACCCTAATGTCGTAAGTATGCCGAGAGAATCCGGCGCGGCAACAGGTTCCCCAGGGTAACCCCCTTCCACGAGGGGGAACGCGCTTGGCTCGGGATGCCGAGGCCGCCGTTCCCCGGAGCCTCGAGAAAACTCGCCCTGGTCGCGTCGCGGGGTTACCCGGACCTTTTATCGCGATGGAGATTTTGGAGGTTATCAGAGGATTTTTTTTATCCTTTTTTTTATTATTATTATTATTATTATTATGTATAAACAGTTTTTCTGGCTGCACCCATCGTGTACAACGCTTTTTCCTTGTCTCTCTCCTTTTTTTCCGCGATTTAGTTTTTCCCTTTTTTTGGAAAATTACATATATATATATATATATATATATATATATATATATATATATATATATATCTTGGTCTTTATCTTTCTCTGGCATTTATGCATAAATCTCGTGGTAATGATGACGATTGAATGGTTAATTAAGCGAAATAAAATGAAATTTCACTTTCAGAGTGAAGTGTAACAAATGGAAGGTTTTAAGGTGAAAGATGAACCGATGGATGCATTAGCCATAGACAGTCAGGTTATGGTAAACCATTTGTATGAAAACGGCAGCAGGTATATGATGTACCGCTGGCGTTGTCCAGAGAGTCTAACGTAACGATTACTTTAAGGATGAGAACATTGTGAGCGTCGTGCTTAAGGAGGAACCAGGTGACAGATTTGATCCAGACTACATGGAGGATATTTGCTCCAGCACTTTCGACAAGGGCACTTTATTTTTGCCTATCGAAAACAATGAGGTGGACTTCTCCAACGAAATGGTGAGCGTAGCACATTCATAATTATTCAGTTGTACAGTCTACTTCTCTTATATCTGATCCCACATAGCAAGCGTACTATTATTTTCATGTCAAATTATGTCATTTTCACATCTAATTACATCAATTTGCTGTCATTTTGATGTTAAAAGCGTCATTACATGTCAAAGTGATATCATTTGACGTCTAATGACATTAGTTTGCTACTTGGAACATTATTTATATCCTCTATTTCTACCATATCTAACCCCAGATAGCAAGTGTACATCATTTTGATGTTAATAATGTCATTAGATGTCAGTTTGCTGTCATTGTCATGTCAAATGTCATTAGATGTCAAAGTAATATTATTTGATGTCTGTTTGCTACTTGGGATATTATATACATTGTCTACTTTTACCATATCTAACACCAGATAGCAAGCGTACATTATTTTGATGTTAATAACGTCATTAGACGTTAGTTTGCTGTCATTTTCATGTCAAATGTCATTAGATGTAAAAGTGATATCAATTGATATCTGTTTGTTACTTGAGATATTATATACATTGTCTATTTCTATCGTACCTCATCTCCAGATAGCAAGCATACATCATTTGATGTCAAATAACGTCATTTTGATATTAAACGTCATAAGATGTCAAAGTAACGTCATTTGACACCTAATGACGTCAGTTTGCTACTTGGCATATTATATACATTGTCTACTTCTATCGTATCTCATCCCCAGATAGCAAGCATACATCATTTTGATGTTAAACGTCATAAGACGTCAAAGTGACGTCATTTGACACCTAATGACGTCAGTTTGCTACTTGGGATATTTATATACATTGTTGTATCTTCTTTTAACAGTTTTTTATAAATTTTTGCAGGTAAAGTTAGAGCTGGAAGGGGAATCTACCAGCCATCAGAACTGGGCGGCTCAGATAGCGAGCGCGAATTTGTGCGACAAGGAGGATGGTGTAATGCAACGATGTTTGGCGAACGCGCAGAATTTTATACAGGCGCAGGACCCGGACAAGCAGCAACAGCAACAGCAGCAGCAGCAGCAGCACGGGTTCTGTCAGAACGGTCAGCAGCCCAAGTTTTACAAAATACAATGCTCAATTTGCAAGAAATGGTTTCTGAACAATGACTCTATGGTGACGCATCTGAAGATGCACTGCAGCGGCAGCCAGTGCGAGGTCTGCCAGCAGAGCTTTTCCGACAACGGCAGCCTGCACGCCCACATGTTGACTCACGTCGGCATGAGCCCTTTAGAGTGTCACATCTGTCAGAAGAGATTCGCCTACAAGTTAAACCTGCGAAATCACGTGCAGCTTCACATGCTGGACAAATCGTACGACTGTGACGCGCTGCAGCAGGCCTTCATGAAGCGGGCGGGCCTGAACACCGAGCAGATGTTGGACGACCGATTCTACGAGTGCGACGTCTGTCACGTGACGTTCAAGGAGAAGCTGAATCTGAACCGGCACATGTCCACGCACAACACGACGGACAGGCCGCATAAGTGCGCGGTCTGCTTCGAGGCGTTCAAGGAGAAGGCGAAGCTGAACATGCATCTGCCGCTGCACGCGGTCAGCAACAAACATTTCAAGTGCACCCTCTGTCACAGATCCTTCGCCCAGAAGACGGCGCTGAGCAATCACATGCTCGCCCACAGCGGCGAGAAGCCGCACGCCTGCAACATCTGCGAGAAGACGTACAAGAGGAAGTCGGAGCTGATCAGGCACACGATGGTGCACACGGGCGAGAGACCGTACGAGTGCAAGGAGTGCCTGATGACCTTCCGGGAGAAGGCGAAGCTGAACTCGCACATGCTCGTGCACACGGGCGAAAAACCGCACGAGTGCCACATCTGTCACAAGGCCTGCGCGCGCAAATCCGACCTGAACTCGCACATGCTGCTGCACACGGGCGGCCAGTACGACTGCAAGGTCTGCGACAAGATCTTCACGAGGAAGTCTGATCTGAACAGGCACACCCTGATACACACCGGCGAGAAGCCGTTCGCCTGCAACATGTGCGACATGGCGTTCCGGGAGAAGACGAGACTGAACTCGCACATGCTCATACACACTGGGGACAAGCGGCACGCCTGCCACATCTGCCAGAAGACGTTCAAGGAGAAGTCTTCGTTGCGGAAACACATGTTAAGTCACACCGGGGACCGGCCGTACGAGTGCTACGTGTGTCACAAGGCCTTCACCCAGAAGACGACGTTGAACAGTCACATTATGGTACACGCGGGCGAGAGACCCTTCGAGTGCACCACCTGTCAGAAGATATTCAAGGACAAGGCGGCGCTGAAGAAGCACCTCGCGATGCACGTTAACGAGAAGACCCACGAATGTCTTATATGTATGAAGAAGTTCGCTCACAAAGCGGCGCTAAATAGTCACCTGTCCACGAGCCACATATCCTAACTACACGGATCTAGTCTATTACGGATCTTTCTGTTTCCTTTAACATTGAGCACCGTATGTTTGTAGTTGTATAGCGTATTTCCATGATTACACCCCTCGCCCCATCCCTGTTTTATATGCTGATAAAGTCGTATTTTTTCCTGTGTATGGAGAAGTAATAAATTAATTTTTAAATAATATTATCTCCCCCCTGGAGTCGCACACGCAGTTTTACCATTTTTCCTCTTTTACCTGAAGGATGAAATGAAGTCTTCTAGAGCGTCTTTTATATAAATCGCGCATTACATGTGTTAAATGTAATCCGAAAACTGATATTGTAAAAGTAAATATTCAAATTTAACAAAAAGCAGATTTTAATTATTTTTCTAGAAAAAGGAAAAAATAAGATATCGAACGTCCAGGTGGAAATACGATGGAAAAAAAATGTTTATACGAATCGTAAAAGAAAAATCATAACTCTTTTCAGATCCCGTTCAATCTGAAAAATATACAAAAATTGTGGCTATTAATAATAGAATAAAATGATTACCGGATTGAAAGTTTAGAGTATCTTAGAAACGAATAGAATATTTAATGTATTAAATGTGGAATAATAGTATAACGAATTATAAATTTTTTGTAAAATAAATTGTATTATACAATATATTATATATATTAAAGAATAATAATTATTGTTTTATTAAACTAAAAAAAAAGATAGGGGCACGAAAAATATCAGAAATAAATAGGAATAAATTGCATATCATTTATTTGATCCATATTTTAAGAGAAAAGATATATATAATACATATCATTTGTTAAGATATCTTGCTTGGATCGCTCTTCAGTTTCTTTCTTGGTAGAGAATCGAGAACTAGAAGATGTCTGAAATCATCGTATACAATGAAATTTTTATCATTTATATGAAATAATGTTTTTTCTCTTGCACATATACATTTATTAAATTAAAAGTGACAAAGGAACAATTAAAATTATTGAACATGGAATTATCAGATAATTAGATAGTTGTTAATAATTAACAATTGTAAAAAAATTTGTAATATTTTTAATGTATATTTTTTTTTACAAAAATTTTTTTATTTAAATATGAATTCCGAATTGCTATAAATGAACAATTATTGTCGACGAGTAAAATATTTTTCCGAGCAAACATCTTGGTGGAAACAATTTAAAATTAGAAGTTTAAATATCAAGAATTTTTTTTGTTGAAAAGCTTGATTATTATATGTAGAGCAAAAGTTGCTCGAAGGAATCTTTTCCCAAATATTTTAATACATACCTATGTTGAATTCTGGTCTTCCTTGTCCTCTATCATTTCCTGTATATCCATTATTGTACATTTCCCGACTTCCTCTGCCATTATAATATCGGCCTCTGTTCATAGAGCCTCCACCCATTAAACCCGGAAACAGCGAATAATCTATAAATTACAATAATTATACAATTAAAAAATTAAAATTAAATTTAAAATTCGTTATATTGGACCATCCAACTTATGGGATTCACAATTCTGAACATAAGCGATATATAACACATAAATTTTATATTTGATGTTAGAAGAAAGAAATTGGATCGACAGTCCATCTAGTATCTTTAAAACAATGCGGAAAAAATTCACAAAGCCAATCCCCTCATATATATATATATAGTATTAACAGAGGGTTTCTCTCTGTTATAAGCAATATAATAAATAATATATAACAAGACTCACCAGATTGCGCGCTACATAGTTGAATCAGTAACATTAGTAATGCTGAAATTAGTAATATAATCTTCATGATTAAGCTGAAGTTCTTCCACCAGATAGGATTCCTGAGGCCTCAACAAAAACGACTGATCCCATGTGCATCTGACATCTTTTTATATATTTCTTAACGACACCTGTAATTACTTCTGCATCATAAAAATTATTTCGAATAATAGCTCGTTCTTTTTATATACAAGACTATTATCTATAAATCTTCGATCTTCTTTAATTGCAGATGTGAAATTTCAGATTTTCTTTTTATCTTATATATTAATAGAATTATATATATATATATATATATATATATATATATATATATATATCAATTGATATCGCAAAAGATAATGCAAAATAATATATTAATATTACTTTTATTTTCCGTCCTAGAAAAGTTATCGCGGAATATTCCAAATCGACGTATATATACAGTCAATTATCGATCATATAACAAGTAATTAGCGTGTACAACGTAGACAATTATTCGCATAATTCTGCGAAGAGTTTCGTTTATTCTTCGCCACTCAAACAAAATATGCGTATTTTACAAATAGAGACAAAATAAGTAGATATAACGGAAAAATCCTATTCACATCATCGCGACGAATAAAAAGATGTATAATAAATATATAACGTTTTTACATAAAAGAAAAAAATAAGAGTATTTTATAATTATTAATAAGTAGCGCGAAACGTCAACTAAATTATATATTTTAAATTATTTAATTATATATTTTATATTTTGGAATTATGCCGTCTCATAATTAATATTAGTCATATCTGCATCTATTCCGTTTTCTGTATCTTCCAACTGAGATTAACCCTTTATATAAACAGAGGGCGGTTCGGTGGGATGTTGATCTGCCCAGTAATGATGATGACCTGTAATGACATAAATATGTATATATTCTTTGTTTTAATATTTTAATATAGATACATGCTTGAAAGAATAATTCTAAAACTTACTTCCGGAACTGCTACTCGAAGAGGCACTGCTGGAAGACCAGGAATTAGAATTATGTTGATCATGATTAAAATGATTTTCACCATACTCTGAAAACACAAAATTACATACATTGTATATTTATCAATTTATTCGATTTTTACATATAAATCGCTTGTGGACGGATTTTTTTTTAATCGCACATATTATTTAATTAAATAAGCAAGTTAATTATACATTATAAAATATTACAAACTTTTTCTTAAAGTATGACATGTTGATGACGTTTCCGATTATTTGGTAAAAGATAAGAAATATGTGAAATAAAAAGCAGGTCTCATATTGCTGTCACAGATAAGTGTGATAAGTTAATTACTGGTGATATGAATGAATGTATAATTAGCTTTCGTAGTTGAAGACCGGAAACGGAAATCTGGGCGGTGCCGGCGCTTACTATTAATTCAAACGTTACTACCTTGTTTGATTTATGCATCATTGTACGATAGAGATTGCATCAGTCACATGTGTGTATTTCCAATCTCTTTCACATATGCAACTGCGATTGCAACCTTGATGCATTTCCGACTGTGAGAAAGACACTCTGTTGTCTCTCTCTCTCTCACACTCATTTCACAAAAATGTGCACAACAATAAATGTTTTGTTAAACGGAGAAGTTAAATTAGCCGTGCAACACCCATCTAATCTGTTTGACGAAGATGCCAAGTTATGAGCGCGTCCTTGATGTATAATTATAGACTATTCGCAGGAAACGAACCTGGCACATCCGGAAAGTGTAAGGGTTTAACGTGGGCGAAGCTAGAAGCTTGAGCGTGAACTCCAAGAGATCCTGGCAGGTGACTTCCGGTGAATGCGGGATGATGAGCTACGTTGAACTGGCCTATTCCAGTTCCAGGATAATCGCCGAAGCCACCAGGATTCTGTCCCTGAGGTTTGGAATCTCCTCTTCTCTTGCTGCCATCCAGGAAAGGATTCCCTTGACCGATAGGTTTTGTACTTCCTTCACCGTGAGGAATCACATTTTGATCGTTTGCATTATTATTATTATTATAGTCAGGTTTGGGTCTGTTCCAGCTAGGATCGAGGAATGGATTCCCTCCTCCGATCGGTTTGGCTGTAGTTCCGCTGTTCCAAGGACTTGAAGTGTGACTTGGAGTACTACCTGAATAATGAGGAAAATGTATATTTAATACATTTTTGTATATTTTTGTATATTTTTTATTTTTATGTTTTATGTTAAAATTATTTTATAATTAATTTATATACACATTTTTTATATTTAAATTATTTATTTATATACTTTGAAGAACTATTTTCATATTATTTTAAAGCGTTTTATCTTATTTGCTTTATTAAATTAAAAAATAACAATCTTTAAACTGTGTATAGCGAAATCCAACTTTTCATATTGAAAATTAAAAACTAAATATTTTTATGAAATGGATTGTTCATCACAAAAGCAATTTTATATTTAATGAAATATAATTTATAAATAGATGAGATTTAAAACAAGTTAGAAGTAATATTATTAATATATATATATACCTCCAAACAAGAATGGATTTGAGGGATTCCAATGTACAGAACCTTCGGGAGTTACACCTTAAATCAAAATTAAAATTTATTTTTATTTAATTTCATTTAAAACCTATTATTATATTAAAAACTTGTGCATATAAACAGAGGACATACTAAAGATATATCTGATCGCCTAAACATATCTTCAGGTAACTTCAGGATACCTTCTAAAGATCTTTTAGATATGTGGGTAAACATTTAAGTAATATATATCTATATGACTGCACTCTAAAATAATTCTTGTATTGCATATATTACTAAAATATTTACCCACGTATATATCTGAAGGATTTTCAAAGGATATCTCGAAGATGTCCTCTGTCTTTAGTATGTAAATTGTTGTGTGGATACACAACAATTTTTAATAGCCATGAAATACTTAAAAATAATTTTTTCACCTTGATTACACGAGGGGTCACCACTTGGACATCCTGCATGAGTTCCAGGATAAACTCTAGTGGTATGAAAAAGTGAACCGGATCCATGTGCACTCCCGACATGTGAAACGTGGCCGTCGCCGCTTCCAATAGGATAAAGCGTTTTAATAACGCCGCTGGGATGACCGCTTAACGTTCCATTGCACGGTTTTCCGGTACAATTGCCCTTGCCGTTTTCTTCGTGCGGATCAGCGGCGTCTCCGAATATACCTGGTCGCGTCCCACTTCCGTCTTCCGGTTTCTTGCTAGGCCAAGTTCCACTTCCACTACCTGGATGCACGGTAGAAAAAACTCCAAAGCCAGGGTGTCTTCCAGGCCAGGTACTACTTCCGGGTTGTTTGTCGGGCCAAGTCTTACTTCCGGTTCCAGCATCAGAGTGTGTGAATGGAGGAACACTTCCGTAAGCAGGTCCGGTAGTTCCTTTTGAGGCGCCCTTGACTCCAGGATAACTCGAAGTTCCTTGATATATCGGCGTTGTTCCAATTACATGAATGCCGTGCGTATTGTGATGTCCATGTGCGCTTGAACTAGCGCTTGCGCTACTGCTCGTCGAATGAAAATCGTGTTTCAGCTCTGTTCCGCCGTGTGAACTACCGAGTGAAGGATCGGGAATGTTCGTGTAACCAAACGGCGATTTGGTTGTGCCAAATCTGGTAGTTGAGGCGGGAAGCCCTGCATGAGCACCTGCATAAGTACCTGTATGAGCGCCTGTGTGAGTTCCCAAACCGTGCCAGGTACTACTTCCGCTTGCAGGGTGACCGGTGTGCAACCAGGAGCTGGTAGTAGTGATTCCGCTTCCGTAACTCGGCTTGGTGACACTCGGATGATGATAAATGCCGCTTCCAGTCGGGAATTCCGGGAACTTTCCAGGACTCAATGTATTCCCTTGAATTCCGGGGACAATACTGGATGGACTATTTCCACCGTACAGTCTTAGATCATAAGCATTAGGATGTAATGGGTATGTTCCACTATATGGCGTTTGAAGGCTCGTTTTCTTCCCAAAATTATGTGTCCCTACGTGATGTGAAGCGCTCGATGTTGCACTTGATCCAGCGTGAGAAGTAGCACCTGTACACACAATATTGAATTTAGATCCTCTCAAAAATTCTAAACTGATGGAAATTTCAATTATAATATCATACAAAAACGGATTGCACGCACTTTGTGTTGCATGGTGACCGGGTGAACTGATTCCTCCGTAAGGTGCTACAGTGGTCCCGAAAGTGTTTGCTACAGTCGACGGTCTTTCGCGTTCAGGTGTGTTAAAATCAGAGAATGGCGTTTCAGTGCTCCCTGGTTTGTTGAAAAATGGATTATCTTTCTTGCCATAATTATGTACTCCTACGTGATGATGTGAAGTGCTGGACGTTGCGCTTGTTCCAGCACTATGAGCATTATGAGTACTAGAACCTGAGCACATACAATATTAAGTTTAAATTCTCCAAAATATTCTAAACGCGTAAGGTAATATAATAATTTAAAAAAAGGGATTACATCATTTAAAATTGTTTTATTCTTTTTATATGTAAAAACTAAATACTATATTATTATTAGTCATAACGAGGGATTATTCTCATAAACACGTACTACTTTGGGTTGCATGATGACCAAATGAACTAATTCCTCCGTAGGGTCCTACAGTGGTTCCAAAAGTGTGCGTTGCAATCGGCTTTTCGTATCTAGGTGTGTTATAACCAGAAGAACTTGGATCATAACTGTTAGAATCCAGTGCGTGATGCATTCCAATATATGGTGTTTGAGTGCTCGCTGGTTTATTGAGAAATGGATTGTCTTTCCCAAATTTATGTACTCCTACGTGATGATGTGCAGCGCTGGACGTTGCGCTTGTTCCAGTGTGAGCACTAGAACCTGAGCACACAAAATATTAAGAGTTTAGTTTCTTCACGATATATTCTAAACTAATAGAAATTTTAATATCTCTAATATAATTGTAGAAAAAAATTATTTAATTTTATTTAAAATTGTGTTTCTGTGAAAACAATGTTATATTATTATTAATAACGAAGTGTTATTCTCATAAACACGTACTTTGGGTTGCATGATGACCAGATGAACTAATTCCTCCGTAGGGTCCTACAGTGGTTCCAAAAGTGTGCGTTCCAATCGGCTTTTCGTATCTAGGTGTGTTATAACCAGAAGAATTTGGATCGTAACTGTTAGGATCCAGTGCTTGATGTATTCCAATATATGGTGTTTGAGTGCTCGCTGGTTTATTGAGAAATGGATTGTCTTTCCCAAATTTATGTACTCCTACGTGATGATGTGCAGCGCTGGACGTTGCGCTTGTTCCAGTGTGAGCACTAGAACCTGAGCACACAAAATATTAAGAGTTTAGTTTCTTCACAATATATTCTAAACTAATAGAAATTTTAATATCTCTAATATAATTGTAGAAAAAAATTATTTAATTTTATTTAAAATTGTGTTTCTGTGAAAACAATGTTATATTATTATTAATAACGAAGTGTTATTCTCATAAACACGTACTTTGGGTTGCATGATGACCAGATGAACTAATTCCTCCGTAGGGTCCTACAGTGGTTCCAAAAGTGTGCGTTGCAATCGGCTTTTCGTATCTAGGTGTGTTATAACCAGAAGAATTTGGATCGTAACTGTTAGGATCCAGTGCTTGATGTATTCCAATATATGGTGTTTGAGTGCTCGCTGGTTTATTGAGAAATGGATTGTCTTTCCCAAATTTATGTACTCCTACGTGATGATGTGCAGCGCTGGACGTTGCGCTTGTTCCAGTGTGAGCACTAGAACCTGAGCACACAAAATATTAAGAGTTTAGTTTCTTCACAATATATTCTAAACTAATAGAAATTTTAATATCTCTAATATAATTGTAGAAAAAAATTATTTAATTTTATTTAAAATTGTGTTTCTGTGAAAACAATGTTATATTATTATTAATAACAAAGTATTATTCTCATAAACACGTACTTTGGGTTGCATGATGACCAGATGAACTAATTCCTCCGTAGGGTCCTACAGTGGTTCCAAAAGTGTGCGTTGCAATCGGCTTTTCGTATCTAGGTGTGTTATAATTAGAAGAATTTGGATCGTAACTGTTAGGATCCAGTGCTTGATGTATTCCAAAATATGGTGTTTGAGTGCTCGTGGGTTTGTTGAAAAATGGATTGTCTTTTCCAAATTTATGTACTCCTACGTGATGATGTGCAGCGCTGGACGTTGCGCTTGTTCCAGAGTGAGCACTAGAACCTTAGCACAATATTAAGTTTAAATTCTCCAAAATACTCTAAACTAATAAAAATTCCAATATCTCTAAATATAATCACATAAAAAATTAATTATATATTTAAAATTATATTATTTTATTTTTTTTAATATAAAAATACTATATTATTATTAACAAGAACTAAGTGTTATGTTCATAAACACGCACTTTGCGTTGCATGGTGACCAGATGAACTGATTCCTCCATAGGGTCCTATAGTGGTTCCAAAAGTGTGTGTTAAAGTTGACGGTCTTTCGCGTTCAGGTGTGTTAAAATCAGAGAAATTTGGCGTTGCAGTGCTCGCTGGTTGATTGAAAAATGGATTATCTTTCTTCCCAAAGTTTTGTACTCCTATATGATGATGTGAAGCGCTGGACGTTGTGCTTGATCCAGCACTGTGAGCACTATGAGCATTAGAACCTGACCACACAAAATATTAAGAGTTTCAATTCTCCAAAATACTCTAAACTAATAAAAATTCTAATATCTCTAAATATAATCGTACAAAAAAACTGATTATATTTAAAACTGTATTTTAATTTTTTTAAATATAAAAATACTATATTATTGTTAATAATAACGAGGTGTTATTCTCATAAACGCGTACTTTGAGTTGCATGGTGACCAGATGAACTGATTCCTCCGTAGGGTCCTACAGTGGTTCCAAAAGTGTGTGTTACAGTCGAAGGCCTCGTACTTACGCGTCCAGGTGGGTTGTAATCAGAAAAACTTCTTGGATCATATCCTTGATCTATTCCACTGTATGGAGTGCTCGCTGGTTTGTTAAGAAATGGATTATCCTTCTTCCCAAAGTTATATGTTCCTGCGTGATGATGTGAAGCGCTGGATGTTGCGCTTGCTCCAGAGTGAGCACTAGAACCTGAACACACAAAATATTAAGTTTAAATTCTCCAAAATACTCTAAACTAGTGGAAATTCGAATATCTCTAAATATAATCGTACAAAAAATTGATTATATTTAAAATCGTATTTTAATTTTTTTTTAATATGAAAATGCTATATTATTATTAATAATAACGAGGTGTTAGATCCATAAACACGTACTTTGGGTTGCATGGTGACTAGATGAACCGATTCCTCCGTAAGATCCTGCAGCAGTGGTTCCAAAAGTGTGTGCTACAGTCAACGGCCTATCGCGTCCAGGTATGTTAGAATCAGGAAAATTTCTTGGATTATATGCTTGATCCAGTCCACTGTATGGAGTGCTTGCTGGTTTGTTAAGAAACGGATTATCTTTCCCAAAATTATATGTTCCTACGTGATGATGAGAAGCGCTGGACGTTGCGCTTGCTCCAGAGTGAGCACTAGAACCTGAGCAGATACAATATTAAGTTTAAATTTTCAAAAATGATCTAAACAAATAGAAATTCTAATATGTAATAATATAATAATACAAAAAAGGAATTATTTTAAAAGTGTTATATTCTTTTTCATATAAAAACAATTTACTATATTATTTTTTATTAATATATTATTAACTATATTAATACTACAATTATTATATTATTAACTTATTAATAATAACGAGATGTTATTATTCTCATAAACACACACTTTGTGTTGCATGATGATTATAATGCCAATTATGATTTTTATTCGGGCTTCCATAATTGATGTGGGGAGAAGCACTGGATACAGCACTTCCTGTTTGTGGTATGGAAGATACATCATCTGGATATTCATCATCTTTCGTTTTTTCAATATAGCCAGGTGTTGCAGCCAATTTGAAAAGATGTTGTTTACCTAGTTATATAACATTAACACGTTATAAAAATATATAAATTTCTATTATTATTATTATATTTGTGTGTATGTATATGAATTTTTTGTAATTTTATTTTAATTTTCCCAAATTTATACATTAGAATGATATGTATAATGAAAAATTTCGTGAAAATTAAAATATAAAATAAGATTACTGTATATAGAAACTCTATAAAATGTATACGTATGGCACAAGCGAGAATAAAAACATACGTCACTTTGATATTTAATGACGTCAGTTTGCTACTTGGGATTAAAATATATATCGTGTCGCACTTTTTCATAAAGAGATTATATTGCACCAACCTTGAATGCAAGTTGGATCAAATGGAGAACAACCGGATGTCTCGACAGGCTTGGCTCCAGAATTCCAGGATTTCCGCGAATGCTGGAGTCCTGAAGTGCTGTTGAGTTCAGTGTTCCATTCGGGTTTCGTGACTGTGAAGGTTCCGGCGGTAAATCCCGGGTGGGTCGTGCTCCACCCTTGTCCAGGTCTCGTTGTGCTCGCAGCAGGCGCATTAATATCGTATCCATTATTCCAAGGTTTCCGCGAAGCCGGATGCACGCCGATGCTCCAACTTGTCGTTCCAGGTCTCCGCGTCGTTACAAAATTTCTGGAGCCGTCCCAAGGCTTCGTCGTAGACTCAAACTCGGTCGGCGTCGTTCTCTCGTTCCAGTCTGGCAGAGAGTTGGACGACACTCCGTGCTCCGGGTGCACGTAGACAGTCGCACCTGCGAGTCCACCCGCGGTTGCGTCCAGGTGTTCGGGTTTTAACGCCGTGTAAGCTTTGGCAGCGAAGTTAGTCGGGGTTGTGTAGGCTGCGGTGGGCTGCGCCAGATCAGCGGGTTCGTCGTTCGCGTACACGTTTGTAGGTCCGATCTTGTGTGCACCGGATAGACCAGGTTCACGTTCGCGGTGACGTAAGCCGTAAGGCCTGTATTGGCCGTCGTCGCATTCGCGACCGTCGTTTTCGTCCCCTTCTTCCTCGGGCTCGTCGTGTTCCCAGTAATCATCATTTTCCCATTTGCATTTGGAACAAGAGGGCTTATTATAGCCGTGATTCGAGCCTTTTATGCCGTCACGGCTGGCGCCGGGCTCCGGAACGACGCCGTAGGACTTCGCGTCGCTATCGATGTCCTTGTCTTGGATGATGCGGCCTGATGGAGAGTAGCTGCGAATCCCTATGTGTCTGTCGTAGGCTCCCGAAGACTCCGCCGCTCCTTTCGATGCACCGACATTACTTGATGACGCTGATGCACCGGTTCCAGCGTAGGCGGCTGCTGAAGAACGAATGTTATTTTTAGCACAGTATCCCATTGGAAATTGATGAAACCAATCAGTTGTATTTTTTAATACATGCAGTTATTGAAAAACCAAAAAACGGGAGTTTATGAGCTTAAAAAAAACTAATAAATAAAGGAATCTATGCATATTTCATTATACAGGGTATCTCATAGGAAATAAAGAAAGAAATATAATAAATAAGAAATATAATAAAAGGAATTTAACAAATAAATACTTCATGTATATTTTATTATACAAGGTGTCCCATAGGAAATTGCTGAAACTAATCAGCTGTCATTTTTTAATGCATAAGTTATTGAGAAAACAAAAATTGTGTTGGAAAGAGAAAAATGCAGTTTTTAATGGATATATAAATTTGTATAGGTTTTATTTTATTGATAAAAAGTTAGCACCTTTTTCATTACTTTCTTTCAATAAAATAAACTGGTATACAAGCATTTTATTTATATCCATTAAAAACTGCAGACTTTCCTCCTTTCAACACAAATTTTGTTTTCTCAATAACTGCGTATGCATTAAAAAATGACAGCTAATTAGTTTCAGCAACTTCCTGTATAATAAAATACGCATGGATGTATATTTTTTTATTTATTAGTTTTGGAAGCTCACAAACACTCGTTTAAAATTAAAAAAAAAAACATTATTCTTTGCTCATCCATCTATCATAGAATCCTAGGGCTGATGTGTATGTACCTCCCCCATGAATAATGATAGACTTCGAATGCGTTGAGAAATTTGCATATTGATAGGCGAGAAAACATGTTTGGCATTCAAGATATTGACTGAAGATATTCCACGATAAATTCAATTTCGAAAGTTTCTGAACAAGCTGCAAATTTGCAGCAACAATTCTCGTGTCTAACAAAGTTTACGTGAATAAAAAAATGCTATTCTTGTTTTCCATGACATGTAACAATAATCTTATATATAAAATACAAATTGTGATGCTGTGGCGTGACAAGAATGGCCTTTAACATTATTTATAAAGATGATTTCACTAACGTGCACATATATAGAAATAAGGATTAAAATGTATATATACAATACATACCGAAGGCGCCGTTACCGGCTCCAAGTGCATGTGAACCTGAAATTAAAACATAAGATTTGTCATAGAGATTACAATCCACAAATTACAAATTAAAATCCTTATATATTATATTAGATATTTATATAATTATTTTATTAAATTATTATATATCATTATTATATATAATAAAATATTATAAAAATAATAAAATTATAAATCATAATTAAATTATTATAATTATTATATGTATACATAAGATTATAATTATATTAACATTCACAATATTATCCTTAAATACAATCCTCCAAAAAATGTGCCTCCAGATACATTTGATTACACATAAATCATGTGTTTTAAATAATACCGATTTCTTTGAAACAATATTTGGCCAATTTAGAAACAAATAAACTAATATATCACTCGATCAAAGACAGACTCTTCAATTTTGAAACCCTATCTCCAATTCTATTTATGTACATTTAAAAAAAATATATAAATCCTTGACGCTGAATGAAAGACGTGTAAATAAGATCGATATTTCTCACATCACGCTTATGTAAAACACAATTGAATTTGAGCTCGTTTACCTGACTCAATGAAGAGTGAGCAAACGACGAGGGTCACCGTCAGGGACCTCAAACACCTCAAACAGCCGGTCCGCATTTCGGTCATCTCGACGGAGGCCGGTTCGTGGATGCTGCTTCACCGGTCGCCTCGGGTATACTGCAGCTTCGGTGGCCGACAGCATCCTGAGAAAAATCGAAAAGCCTCGTACACCTATATATAAGGATACCCCGGCTTGGCTGTGTGTGTGTGTGTGCTTGTGAAAGGGAATTGTTTAGGCGAATCCCGATCGCCGCGAGGCAGCATCCTCTCGCGCAACAAGATGGATATACATTGTCGGACAATGAGTAATTATATATTGTTACCAAGATGAGGCTTCTATAATGTCATAGAAGCGGCTATCGTTTGACGAGACGGTCCTGCGCGACTGCGTCATCCTTCTTTAGGAGTTTCCCCGAGAGGAGAGAAAGAGACTTCGATGCTCGTCACGTCGCATTTGCACATCCTGGACGGCTGTGCCACGAGAAAATGCAGATTCGATTCCGAGTTACGGCGGGATCGCGTGGCTGGAGTCATCGCGTGATTCTTATCCGGTTGCGGCAAAATATCAATAATGATGTTGAGATAATAAGAAGATAATAATTAACTAAATTGTGTGTGCTGGCATTAGAGAAAAATGATTTTTCAGAGGAAAAGAATTTTGTATTGTGAGAATTATTTTGTAAAATTTATTTTGTAAAATATATTTTCATTTCTTAATAATAGATGCAGATCTTGCTTGGTTTAAACAAAATTTTATACCAATCTCCATATTTGTTCCATTATTGAATAATTTTGTATATACTCATTAAAATGCCTAGTAAAGAAAAAAAGACTATTTGTACTTTAATTATTTCTTTTTGCTTTGATGAAAAATACAAATATAAATAATGAGATTGAGATAATAATTAGCTTAAATTGTCTGTTAGCAAAAAAATTTGTTTTAAGAAAGAAGAATTTTGTAAAATATTTATATCTTAACAATGTAGATCTTGTTGAATTAAAAAAATTGTATATCAAAAACTCATGATGTTTCTATTATTCTAATAATTTTGTACTTATTAATGTCTCGATAGTAGAAAAAGATGACTATTTTTATTTAATTATTTTCTTTTTGCTTGGAAAAAAAACACAAATAATAATGTTGAGATAATAATTTACTGAATTGTCTCTGTTGCCAATAAAAAAAAGATTTTGAAGAGAAAAAAATTTTTTAATGTAAAATCTCTATTTTGTAAAATCTTAATATCTTAATAACAATATGCAGAATTTGATTAAAAAAAATTATGTACCAAAATCTTGCGTTTTCATTATACATTTCTTCGATGGTAAAGAAAAATATGACTATTTGTAATTTGATTATTTTTTTGCTTGGATGAGAAACGCAAATATAAATAATAATGTTGAGATAATAATTAACAAAATTTTCTGTTAACAATAAAAAAAAAAATTTTTTTAAGAGAAAAAGTATTTGTAACGAGATCTCGATTTTATAAAATCTTGATATCTTAACAAAAATACAAATTTTGATTAAAGTTTTTATACTAATTTCTTCAATACAAATTTCTATATTAAAATCTCATGATGTTTCTATCATTAAACAACTTTGTATTTATTAATAAATGCTTCGACAGTAGAAAAAAGATAACTATTTATAATTTGATTATTATTTTGTTTTGCTCGGATGAAAAACGTAAAGCTAAATAAAAATGAAATAATGATAATAATGAGATAATAATTAACTAAATTGTCTTGGTTACTAATAAAAGAAAAAGATTTTTAAGAGAAAAATAATTTTAAGAAGACTTCTATTTTGTAAAATCTTAACAAAAATGCAGATATCGCTCAAAAGTTCTTATGATATTTTCATTACCATTAAACAACTGTGCATTCATTAATGAATGCTTCGATGATGAAGAAAACAATGACTATTTGTAATTTGATTATATATTTTCTTTTGCTCGAACGAGAAATACGCAATTTAATGAGGGACATTGTGTACAATTTTAATCTTTTTATTACTACTCGTGTATGTGCACTGAAATTATCAAATTAACCTGAAGAGCTGTCATTATATCCAATCGATTAATGATATCGTCTGTTTACGCACGTAATAAATTGCAATCACAATTCTCGTTGCCAATAATAGAAAGAAAAAATCGATAGACCGATTTCGATTGTCTTTCTTAACTTATTTAATTCTGTTTTCAAACGCAATTATTTTTCTTTTAATAAGAGTGATATTTGTTGAATCATTTATCTATTTAAAAAGATCCGATCAGAAAAATTTATATCATAGCCATATCTTATAAAAATTTATTTGATAAAAAAAAGTTTTCTTTTATCTTGATAAATTCTTTCACGAAAAATAATATTTTATATGTGTAAAAAACGAGAAGAGAAAATATATGAAATTTGTTAGAAAAAAATTATTTACGCAAGTATTTTGCATTTAAAACAAAATATAATTATATTTAAAATAAATGTATTATTTTTGTATTTAAAATAACTATATATTTAAATAAAAAATATTATAGTATAATTTAAATATATATAATTACATTTAATAAAATAATCCTATTTAAAATAATAATTTTTATAATAACTTTTACCCTCGTATAAAAATCTTTTATAATTATTGGACACGATAAGCAAAAACTTTTACAAAAAGAAGTCGATAGAAATCTATATCCTAGAATGTATATATGATAATACATGTGGTCCCATATAAAATATCGCGGAACAACAAAAGAGCAGACTGGTTCTTTCGACAACAGATGAGAGAAGACTGGTTCTTTTTTTTCGACGAATCATTTACATCGAAATGTGCTCATTGGAATTTCTCTCGCATTGTGTACATTTATATTTATAAATGTAGCAGAACTATGCGATCGCGTTACATCATCCTTGCGTAATTTAAATATGTATATGTACTTATGTAAAAAAATAAGAAGAGTAAAATGCATGAAATTTGTTAGAGAAAAATTATTTACGCAAGTATGTCCCACCCCAAATAAGTTTTTTATTTTTGATTGTAGAAAAAAATGTTTCAAACAAAAGTTGTATGGTTTCGAAGAGGACATAAGGTGGTGCCATTAGTTTGACCTTGAATACTTGCTTGAGAGTCATGTAAAGGTTACCTTTAATTTCTTAAATGGAACCACCTATTTTCCATTACATATTCTTGTAACTGACTTCGAGAGCTTTCCAAAACACTATAATGAAACATTTTTATCTCAAGTACTTGTTGAGTTATAAGACAAGATCTCGCCTCAAAATGACCTTTACGTGACCTTCAAGCAACTATTCAAGGTCAAATTAATGGTACTATCTTATGTCCTCCTCGAAATCATACAATTTTTGTCTGAAACATTTTTTTCTACAATCAAAAATAAAAAACTTATTTGGGGTGGGACATTAAAATGGGACATCCTGTATATGTCATTCTTGAGCATTATAATACAATACAAGGCTAATATACCTGTCATTCATTATTGTGTCATAACAATACACCCGTGAATCGCGCCGTATTTTTAGAAATGTGTTTGCGTGTTGCGATATATCGCGCGGCCTCCTCCTAAATGACGATATCCTGGATGTAAAGTGCAAACAATCATAATCGCGAGCGCACGGGATATATAATGAGGAAAAAAAAAGGAAAAAAAAGGAAAATATGCGCGCGGCCGCGAAACTCCTTATCGATCGACAGAAACACACGCGAAAGATGTTATCACGCAAACATGAAGATTTCAATTTTCTTCATCATCGCGTGCCGCATCCGCGTTAAAAAAAATTAGATAATCATACGATCCGCGAAATTCGCGATACCGGATGCGAAAAAATTCTTAATACAATGTGAAATAATGTATATATTATATATGGAATAAATATTTAAAACGTAGTAATTTATCTGTCAAATGAAGATATGAGATTATTTTGATTCCATTGTAAAAGTTCTTCTTCGTGCATATCGTGTCCGATAATTATGTGACGTGTATGTTAAAAAATTTTAATAGGCATAAAATGTATATAATTATTATTTTAAACATATACAAAGTACGCATGAATAATATTTTATTTATTTATCACATAAAATATTATTTTCTGTAGAAGAATATATCTGAGACAAAGAAAACTTTTTTTAACAAAAATGCGTATAAAAAGTAAAAAAAGAAAAATATATTAGATATGAGAGATAAAGATAAATTTAGATTGTTCACATATAATATCCATCATATTTGCAAATATTTACTTTTTTACGTCACGCAGATTTTTATGTAAACATAAAAATATGTACATAGGTACTTATAAATAAGAGAAGAAGAAAGTAAAAATTTGTTACAAACACTTATTGTTATTTATATTATATATATTAAAGGTTGTTTAAAGTCTGCAACAAATGCTTATTTATATTAGTTGTTTTCTGTGAATATCTGTACGTTGTGGATGTTTGTGACATATTTAATAAATATATATTATTGTCTATAGTTGCTCTCAACTGTTTAATTTTTTTTACAATATTACACAACTCGGCACCCGTAAATTTTTTTTAAACTGTAAAATATTATAATAAATTAATATATATACATGTGAGTATTGCCATATAACTATTTGTGAAAACATTAGAAAATTCTTGTCAACTCTTCATTATAAAAACTTTAATAATGTTATATGAATTTACTCCTTACATTAATTGTCGTTCTTCTTATAAAAAGAAAAATTAACTATGACATGAAAAGTCATCAAAACTTTATTAAAAAATCATTGAATCTTCTTAGTGTTACACTCTATCATCTGCATCGAGGATATCTTCTATTACATATATTACATCCGACAAAATTTGTTAACATTTTGTACAAAATCTTGAGATTTTTTCAAATAAACTCCATTAGTGAGAGAACAGCCTTTAGAATGATCCGCGAGTAGTCGTGTGCAAGAAAATATGAATGGAAAAAATATATGTTTCGTTTTTTATATTTTGTAATAAAAATATTACAGAATTTTCAAAATGTATACATTTGAATGATTAATCATTTATTTTAAAAAAATATTCAGTTTAAAAAAAATTCCTAAAAATACATGTTATTTTCAACTTCACACAGGTAGGTATAACCCCTTAAATAATTTAACGTATTATCTGTTTTTGAGCATTTCGTCAGATAAATCTCTTTACAAGATAAATCTCTGAACTTCTTATCCGCACTATTTTAGAAGGATCTTCTCTTTTTTGCAAGATGTTTACAATAATTTCGTCCAGACTAAAAAAGAACAGACACACACATTTCTGCACCATTCAAAATATTATAATTTTCGATTATTCAATAACATGTAGCGAACGACTGCGGCATCGTCTGGATAATGCTGTCCTAGCATGTTATTTGGCACATAATG